AAGTTGTTTAAATAACCCACTTGTCGACCGCGTTAACTCTTTTTCCAATATGGGTTATCATTAAATGAGGTGTTGAGAATGTGAAATGCGTATGGGAATGGGAATTGGATTGGGAATGGGAATGAGAATGGGAATGAGAATGGGAACGGGAAGTGAATGAAGCATATACAATTAACGAAAAACCACACAAATAAAAAGCGATTGTCTGTCATTCTGTGATTTCGATGGCAAGCGATAAGATAAGATTCCTGGGCAATGGGGTACAAATGCAGCTGAATGCTACCAATGACGTAAATACAACTCATTCTTTCCGCATTTAGGTAACACACACACACACACCTACAGAGATAGAGACAGATAGAGAGAGAGAGAGAGAGAGAGAGAGAGAGAACCAATTAGTTGTAGTTCATACTCTACTTATCAGCACTCGGGTCTTTCACAACAAAACATTTGTTGCAGCTGGGCCAAAAAGAAAAATGTACTTTTATTTGAAAGAATACTTTCTTAGTTGTCTATGTATCTTCTGCAATAACTTTTCTTTTTATAACTTGGAGTTTTCTTATCATTTTTGCTGGCAAAAAAACGTGCGAATTCAACGCGCACTTAAATTCCATAAATATTTGTAGATAAAAGCACAAAAATCAAACATTATCTCAGACAGTTCTCGTTCAAAAGAATTACATATACGATTTTGGCTGCTTGTAAATCGATTTACAGCAATTTTTACGAGCTCAACGCCTTTTTTGTTCGAACTATTCAAGATCAAAGTCGAACATTTTTTTAATGATTCGCTTTTGCTGTTATTGAACTCTGGTTCATTTGCCCATAGAATATTTTACGCATGATTGACTCAAAAAGATATACTACTCTCTCACACACCCTGCCCCCCAACTTCTCCTCTCCCATTAGCTGACGATGTAAAACGATCGCGTTGTGTTATTCGCAAATTGCTAAGAGCGAAGCATTTTAGTTTTATGGGCCGCAGAACTTCTCCCTTTTCACACAAATTAAATGAATGGCGAATTGGAGTAGCTGGCAAAGCATTCGGTTTCATTTGACTGACCAAACGGATTGGTGATTCATTGCGCGGTTTTCCACTTATTTAGAACAACAAAAAATATTTGTAAAAAAACGCATAACACATGTAAACAAAGCGGAAAACATCTTAAGCCTAGAGTACATTCTCCAAATTGAATGATCTTAATTTGCACAAGAGCAGCCTGGGAAGATCACATTCTTAATTGTAGTTTAAGCTTTAAATTCCTTGAAACTAGATTGTAAATAAATAAAATGCCTGCCTACATTGTGATTGCTGAAATTCCAGTTCTGTTGGCATGGAATTTTATAATTATTGAACCATTTCGTAATTGGGATATATACAAATATCCATTTCATTATTGCTGTTAATCACCACCAACAAATTCCCTAATGCTATTTTTAATCAGGCGCTGATTTGATTGCCAAAGAAACAATTTGGGGTGCTGGCAGTTCTATATTAAGATGTATACACGAATAGTACGGCTGAGCATTGTGCGAATCGATTCTATTTCTGATCGTATGCTTGTTGCGTATACATATCGGCAAAGTATGTGAGGAGAGCAGAAAAAAAACCTTAAACATTAAGCGCCGGCAATTGAATTCGTTTCGCTTGCGATTTCATTTGTTTGTTGCAACAACAATAACATAGACGCACCCCCAACGCGCCACGTGCCAGCAATCGAGCCATACTCAAACACTTCCCTTTGATAGCCAGCCCCGTGGACTCAATCAGAGCAGCGTCAATTTGATTAAATGTCTTTTAATTGTTGCTTTCGCTCATTGGCATCGATTTGACATGAACTACACTGCATACACACACACACACACACTCACATACACTCAATCAACACATTTACTTTTCATTTTAGTGCATTTTCTGTTTTCGATTCAACCATTTAACAAGATTCAACCAATAGAACAAAAAAACAAAAATCAAAACTAAAACATTCACCTGGCCTTTAACTCATTTTGCTCAAACATTTTCGCATTTTTCTCTCCTTTTCTTTCTCTCTCTCTCTCTCTCTTTTCTCGCGCATATTTACAGCCATCATATCCTATACAAATCCCAAACTGCAAAATGCATCAATCTATGCGCCAACAACAACGACCGCTCACACCGGCATAGAAGTAGCCACATTATCATCGTCATCCTCGACACCACCATCACAACCACCAATAAGTTCATCATCAGATTCATCTGCAGTACCGTGTGTGGGGGTGGCAGCGGGCGCCAGTCATGCTGGGGGTTCGCTTCATGGATTCGTTGCGAAATTGCGTAATTTCAAGTTCGACAATTCGAAAAATATTAGAAAACGTTTGCATTTCGATTTTATATCAAAGGACAGATTTTTGGGTATGTTTCAAAATTTTCCTAATTAAACAAATATTTTACCATATTGACAGTTTTAAGATCGTTAAAAAATGACTAAATGGTATTTCTTTTTTTTATTTATTTGACATTTTAATTAATCTAAAATGCTACTTATAAAGTCCTAATGTTTTTCAGAAAACTTACAAAATAATTATAAAAGGAGAATCATTGCCTCAAAATTTCAGAAAAATAAAACAAGTCATTTGTAAATAATTTTTCTTCTCTATATCAGCTGTTCATATTTCTGTGAAAAATATGATTACGAATTTTCCAATTTATATTTCATTCATTTTCCTCAGTGTAGTATTTTGTTAGTTTACAAGCCATTTGATTTTATTAACCTTATTTGACATATTCATTAAACATTTCGTGAGCACTTTTACGAGCTCGAAATGACGGAATTAATTTCAATGTAGCCAGCTCAATACTAGTCATTTGATTTTATAAATAAGATATTTAATATTCGTTAAATTAACTAAGAACTTTTACGAGCTCCCGAATTAATTTCAACGTCGCCTACTCAATGCTCGCTCCCGACTCGAGCTCAAACTCGTGGGCGTTCCAGTTTCCACAAGAGGCATTGGCGCCTCACGCACAACGCTCACACACACAAACACACACACGCACACACACACACACACACACAAACACACACACAGAGACAGAGAGTCATGCGTAGACACTTCCCTTCATTCACAACTTAATTTGAATGTTTTATTGTATCTTGATGCTACTTAAACCTCGACTTATGCATATTAAAATTTATATATGTACTCAATACAATATATTTTGTCTGCTTCGGAGCAGCGGAGGTGTGTTCGAAAAATGTCTGCTGTTAATGAAGCAGCTCCCACACGTGGGCTGCAACATGTGTTCTGTGTGGTTGTTGTTTTCTCTTTTTAAAATTTAATGAAATTTTTCAATCGTTTCTCACCTAACCGCAAGCTAGAAACTGAATAAACAATAAATAAGAATAAAAAACGAAAAAATTGAGAAAAGCGGGAACAAATTTTTTCGTAAAAAGCTTTCAGCGTAAGTTACAAATCCCTGACAACTGATTTATCCGCTTGGCAGTTCCCAAAAAAAACGCATCCAAACATGATCCATTTCACTGGCACTAATCAACTTCGTGTAAGTTTTAATTTGCTGGCTGCCACAAAAAAGATGAAGAAAAAAATGTGCCACATAAATTCCATGTGCCAGTGGCACGAAGATCAAAGCCAGTTGTGGGTGTGCGGTGCCGGTGGTTGCACCACCACATGTTGTCGCATGTTGTCCCACAGGTGAACAGCGGGTATTAGTCAGACACGGTAACAGGTAGAAAGTTGTGTTATTATTTTTTTGGGCTCACTTTGTTAACCCTCTTTTTTTTTGCAATTTAATTAAAAGCAAGTAACATGTGTGCCAAAAAAGAGCCAAAAAGTCACTGACATTTGTCCACAAACAAATTTGATAGAAAGGTGCCCCTTACTCTCTATCTCTATATTTGTATCTCCCTCTCTGTCTTTCTTCAATTTGCACACGTCATAAAACACTCATCGATGTGCTGGCCCATTGAGGTTCATAGCAAAAGACCAGCGAACCCCGCAGTTTGTTTGGATCATGCTAATCGATAATATGTGTATGCTCAACACGTTGCTCATGTTCAATTGGGGAACAGTGGGTGGTAATAGTTAAGCATCAAGTGTAGATAGACATACTATGAAACATTAAATAATAGACAACTCATTCAGCGAGAACTGAGCAAGTATCTTCAACGAGATGAAATGGAATTTCTAGCAGATATGTAAAGTGTAAGAATTTTTATAACATAGAACATAAGTCACGTCAAGAATTTCCCAAGTTTCCCAAAGATAATATTTGTATTTGATAATCACACCTTTTGATAACCTCTAACTTACAGAGTAGAAGTTACGGAAATCGCTGAGAAGCTTCTTCAAGATAACAAATAATATTTGATAAGCACATCTTCTAAAAATGTGCTTTATTTTAATTATGAGAGCAACTTGGAGATTAGATTAGCTTGCCTATGTGTGAATCAACTTTTGTGCAGCACTGTCATTTGCTACTTGTTTATGCATAGCCCACTTTCTGGCTCTTTCGTCTTTCTACAAATGTTCCGACTCTAAAATAAATGATCCACGCATTCATTTCCATTCAAGTTTTCGCCATATACCAAATCAGTATTTTTTTTTTCTGCAACGAGTTTAATGATCTTCGGCTAACTCAACACCTAACTAAATGGTTCGATAGCAGTGAATATCCTGCATTTGAAATATTGGCTAAATAATGCGATAAATCATTTTGATGTACGCATTCTGTTCACATTTTGTTTTCTGTACATGAAGTGTATCATTTATTTGATGGAAACTTCTTATAATGCATCGGCATGCAAGGAATGCCATAAACTTCGTTAGGGGGCTAAAGACATTTTGTAGTGCACAGTAAAAGCAACATTTAAACGATTGGACAATACATAAAAACTTTACGATGCACTCGTTAAACTTCTTGGCCCATCAATTGCGGCACTTCGTATTCGTGTCTTTCATGGAACCATTTCTAACAGATCTTATTATTGCTTTTGTTCCAGGCGGTCAGCTAAAGACGAAAAATGGTCAGAAATATGTGTTCAATGGCCCACCATCGGGTGTTTATGTCTCCAGGACGTGTCTTGTCATCTCGGCAGTCATTATGCTGGCAGCACTCATCTCCTCCGTCCTCATCACCTACTTCCTCACCTCACAGAGCCTGCCAATTGTGGACACCAGCCCCAGGTGAGTAAACCCAATTATTCATTTATCTGTTGATATGGTTAAAGCTGTAAGACTGATTTTGGCATTGCAAGAAAGGGGAACAAATTTAAAGTTTAACAATTTAAGTGTTTTGGTTTTTTGGCTATGAAATCAGTATTTTTATTGATGTAGCTTAAGTTGGATAACAGGAAGTGTCTATAGTAAACCTTATTAGTTAGTCATTTTAATTATGAGCTGCTGTAAATAGTTTTGTAGATCACGATGAGATAGGTAAACGGGGCAGTGCAGTGCATTACAAGTGCTATTAAATAACAGGTACAAATTTGTATCTTTTTGAAGCTCTTCAATGATTTAGCTTGTAATAAATTGTGGTCTGATTGTTGTTTAATACTTGTGTTTGTTTCAAGGAGTATATCTAAAGTCTGGTTGCTTCGAAAAGTATCTAGAACAGTTCGTTTTGAAACGATTTGTTTTTTGCTGCCCTATTAAACTGGGCAAATCAAAGCTGTCTGTGAATTTGAGGGTGTGCCTTGGCTTATTAATATTTTTAGTATTCGCATAAGCGTTTTTGTGAAGCCAGCTAATTGGCAGTTGAGTTCGAAATGACCTCATTTACCGACTCGTCTTGAAAGCGAATACGAAAACGAAAGCAATTGGTTTCTTCCTTTTTGACTCTGACGCATTTCGAGGTGCGGAAGGGTCAAAGGAAGCAGCTGTCAGACTGGGTGCGTCCGTTGTATGCAAAAGCAAATATAATTAAGCACTTTGCACTAAAGCCAGAATTCAAACCCTTTCTTTTTTTTTCTTGTTACTTTTTGCAGCGCCGAAGCACACATCAAGGATCATCACGTGGATGCAGCAACGAGTCCTTCACACGCAAATGCAACGAACTTGGCGAGTGCCAAGTTTGATATACCTGACTGGCTGAAGCAGAACCAAGCAACAACATCGTCGCCAGAAATAGCCGTTGTTGTGCCTCCCGTAGGAGATATTCCCGTCATAGAGGAGGCACTGGAGACCAACACCAAGTCAATGGATCGCCCACTGCAGCTATTCGAGGGTTGGCGCCCCCAGAACTACAAGTATGTAAAATGGGAGGCAAGAGATAAGGGGGGGCAGTTCTAACTAAACAGCAGTTGCTCAATTTTGCACATTAGTCTCAATTGAATAATGTGGCTTCTCCTCAAATTGCTTTGCATGCTCGCATTTCAATTGGAAGCCACGCAAAGATTGATAGACGTGTTGGCAGAAATTGCTGACTTGGAGTGGTGATGGCTTGTCTCCACCGTTTCCGTCTCAGTCTATTGCAATTAACGTTGAGACTTCTACGTACAGGCATCAACTTAAGAATGGATTTACATTTTAATAGGCGCTTTTCAATACTAAATTGATATTAGGGCGTGTTACAAGCAGATGTCAAAATGACACGTTACAAAATTAAATACACCGGTTATGTATATTTTATATTTTTTCCAATTCATTAATCGCTTTGAAATGAATACTGTCTAGAAACGACTATAGTTAGTAATTGAAATGCAAGAGCTGTCTCAGGTCAGTCGTTTGATGTGCAACGTATTTTACACTCTTACTTATTTTACACACTTTGGTCGACTTGATCAAATGGGAATACTCTACTAATACTAAGCTGGGGCTTGCTTGAGAAATTATTTGTAGCTTCCAAAATATATATACAATTGTAACCATTTAATTGCACTCAATTATTATTTAATTTTTCCTCTACTTTACTTCGGTAATAAACGAGCTGAGTTTCCTCGTTCAATTCCTATCATGTGCCGGAATGCAATTATTTTCTCTGCAGACAGTCCATTTAAATCACGTGCTGGCACACAAAAAATTCAATATATATTAGTTCGTCTTGTCACTGCAAAAGTTATGCAGAAAGTAGTATGAGGCATTCTAGAACCCTTGACCCCATGTCGTGCTCTCGATTGTGCATGTCCTAGCATGTCCTTATTGACGTCATGCCAAAGATCCTTGTCGGACGTGTATTTGTTTATGCTTCAAATGTGATGCACAGTTGCCCAAGTAGGTCAAGGATTGCGAGATTGAAAAGAGTTCGCTTCAGCTGAGTAGTCGCCACTTTGGCTAAATACACATCAACATATCCAAACAGATGTCAGCTAATGCAGACGTAACAACGTGTTTAACAAGTGAACGCAGCAGGAGCTGACCAAATATGCGACTCAGAACGTTGGCCAAACTTGTCGGCTAGTTAAATCCAACTGAATGACACTTAAGAGACGCGGAACTGCGGCAAAAGATCTAAAGACTAACTTTTGCACAGCACGCATGCCAACTGTCAGCACGCTAAATGCATACACTCAGAGAAAACTATTTAGTAATACCGTTCTAGTTCATTTTATCTATGAAAATCTGGCTTAGAGAATGAAATTCTAATTTCAAACATGATTTTATTTTAACCAGTAAAAGTTAATACAAATTTTCTAGTTATAAAAAAGGTTCCTAAAACAAGCACAGATATTTCTTAAATTTAAATCTGGATTACTTTAAGTTAGATATTTAATTAATATTTAAAATACTCAATACTTAGAAAAGGGATTATCTTCTTAACTGCTTCTCAGTTAAAAAATTCTTATATTAAGTGCTTTGTATTTGATTCTAAAAATATTATTCTTATAAATGTAACCAGAATAATTTAAACTCGTTTCGAAATATTTACTTAATAACAAAGTAGTTAGCACTTTAAGAATAGAAAGTTAAAAATATTCCTGAACTAAGAACAGAGCTTTTTGCTCTGAGTGTAGATACGACAAGAGATGCGATGAGAGATGATGCTCAGTAGCTGCCGCATGCATTAATATAATTGACACAGAAAACGCGAAGAAGGCGCTCAATTTGCGGCTGGCACGCAGCTGGAGCACATGGTCCAATGAATGGCAATGGAGTTGGCTATCGATGGTATTGGTATCGATGTTAACTGATTTTGCAGCTGTGTGCTGATCAAAGCACAACAACTGTCTGTCCACGGCAAATTGCGTTGAACACGCTTCCTGGTTGGCCCCTTGGGCTGCAAACACATTGTAAACCAATCGCTGCAATTAAAAGCAGCCACAAGGCGCAACAGATAGCACCACATTGCAGCATTGCAGCATTGCACCACAACGCAATGCATCTGCCGACTAGTTATTTGCCAGTGGCATTCTTGGCATATACGTATATGTGCCCAGGAGAATTAATCTTCAATCTTATACCCTACCTACTCACTGCATGCAATTCAACTTTGTCAGGCTGTTTATCAGATACATTTTTGTTTTAATTTATCTGTAATATCTTGTCGAAATGATTAGCACCATTCAAGTAATCTTTATTCTATGCGAATTATCATATCAGTTTCATGACTCCCCCTCTCCCTCTCTCTCTTTATTTATTTTTAAACAAGAGTTATTAGACCTACTTTAACCTTAGTTGCGCTTAGTAGCGCATTTAATTCTCGATACTTTCCGCGTTTCTGATTTGTTTGTTTTTCTCGCATTTTATGGCTGGCTATTTTGCCATTTCATTTGGCCAATTCACCAGACCTTTCTGCCTTTCTGCAGCGTCATTATTTTCAATTGTTTGACCCGCCGCTGCACTTTAATCACATGAGTGCATTGATTGATTGGCACTTTGGCAGTCATTGGAGCTAAAACTAACACCTGCACTTAAATAGCTGGCCAATCACTTATCGGAACTTCCGTTCTCTCTTTTGTTGCAGGATTGTCATTGAGCCAAATGTCGATTCGTCTAGCAGCAATGGCAGCGTGTCGATTGAAATCGAACGTGACCCCAAGGTCAACAGCTGGGAGCCAATCGTCCTGGATGTCCACAATGTCAGCATTGCGAATGTGCGTGTCATTCGATCACCAATTGTGAATGGCAGCGACGAAGTCGAACTGGACTTTGACAGCGACTATGGCGACAATAATGATACATTCATCGTCACACTGGCCAAGTCTCTGGCGACGGAATCGAATCTGCGTGTCCTGCTCAGCATGGATTTTGTCAGTCAGGTTACGGACACACTGCAGGGCATCTACAAGACGAGCTACACAAATCCGAATACCAATCAGTTGGAGTAAGTATTTCGAATAAATAAAATATGTAAATAAGGGTGTAATTGTATTCAATTGGAAAATGTTTAAATATTTCATCAAATTGAACACATGTTTAATAATAACCTTTGAATAAATTTTCATTAATATTCAATAAAATACGGTTCTTAATTAACCCTCTGTCTGTCTGTCTTATTAAGCTACGAGAATGTCAGATCTTGTATAATTATACTATCCACAGTAAGCTCTTAAAACATTTGAAAATATGCGAACCAAGTTTGCTTAACTCTTTAAATACAAAATAAATTCAACAGATGTAATTTGAGAGATCCAAGGAGATTATAGAAATTGATAATGAGAATGTATCTCAATATTGGTTACATGTTGCATATCTCTGGCGCCGTTTACCACAAATATATTACATAAATTAAAATCTTAAATAAAGCACAACAGAACTTTTTGATTGTAGAATATACAGTGTATTCATCAGTCGGCCACACTCGACTGAAGCACTTTAATGACTACATTACTCATGATAAATGTCTTTTTCATTATAGATGGGTAATCAGCACTCAGTTCTCGCCCATCGATGCACGTCGTGCTTTTCCCTGCTTCGATCGTCCCGATATGAAAGCCAACTTTACCGTAAGCATTATTCGCAATATCAAGCACAAAATGTGCCTGTCCAATATGCCAAGAATACGCAGCAGGTGAGCAGCTAACAAATAAAAAAAAACATGTTTAAAACATTAAACTTAACCTCTGATCAATATTCATTTTGCAGCTCCCATCGCACTGGCTACATTCGCGATGATTTTAAGACCACGCCCAAAATGCCCACGTACCTTTTAGCGTTCATTGTCTCGAACATGGTTGACTCTCTGTATGGGAATCTGGATGGTGGACTTATGCCACGCGTGGAGATCTGGACACGACCAACGTTTGTCGAAATGACCAACTATGCCTATAAAATGGTGCGCCAGTTTTTACCCTACTATGAGGAATACTTTGGCATCAAGAATCAGCTGCCCAAGATTGATCTCGTTTCGGTGCCAGACTTTGGCTTCGGTGCCATGGAGAATTGGGGTCTGATTACCTTCCGCGACTCGGCACTGCTGGTGCCAGAGGATCTTGAGCTGGCTTCGTCATCGGAGCATATGCAATATGTGGCACAGATCATAGCCCATGAGTTGGCACATCAATGGTTTGGCAATCTGGTCACTCCCAAGTGGTGGGATGATCTCTGGCTAAAGGAGGGCTTTGCCTGCTACATGAGCTACAAGGCGCTAAATCAATTGTATCCCGAATTTCAGATCATGGACACCTTTACAATGCTGGTAAGTCAGACACAATCTTAAAAAATGGCAGAATTTTATTGAACATTTGATGGAAAACTAATTTTCAAATATTATTTATATTCCAGGAATTCAAGGAATCGATGCAACATGATGCTACCAATACCTCGCATGCGATCTCTTTCGATGTGAAGACGAGCAGCGATGTGCGTCGCATCTTCGATCCCATTAGCTACTCCAAGGGCACGATCCTGCTGCGCATGCTCAACTCCATTGTGGGTGACGAGGCATTCCGTGCGGCAACGCAGGATCTGCTGAAGAGCTTCGCGTACGAGAACATTGATCGCGATGATCTCTGGGCCTACCTCACACGTCATGGACACGAGAAGGGCACTCTGCCCAAGGACATGAATGTCAAACAGATTATGGACTCGTGGATAATACAACCCGGCTACCCGCTGGTTCATGTGGAGCGCAATGGAGCCGACCTGGTGCTGCGGCAGGAGCGTTATCTGCTGCCCTCTCGCAATCCGCTGGATCACAGTCGTTGGTTCATTCCCATCACCTACGAAACGGATGAGTTGCACAAGGGCGATAATATACCCACACACTGGATGACCCAGGATCAGGAGCAGATTGTGATCAACGATGCATTTACCAAAATGAACAACAGCGACAACGTTCTCTATTTAAATCTGAACAGACAGAGCTATTATCGCGTCAACTATGACATGACTTCCTGGCTGGCACTGAAGAAGAACTTTAGCAATCTACCAACAATTACACGAGCCCAACTCTTGGATGATGCACTGCATCTGGCGCAGGCAGAGTACCTCTCCTATGACATACCGTATGTTCCAATCATAATTGTAACCTTTCGCATTGATCTACAATCATTGTTATTTCCAGTTTGACATTCTTGATGGAGCTTTTCACAGCCATGGATGATGAGCTGCTGTGGAGCGCAGCCAAGCCGGGCCTCAACTATCTCATCTATAATCTGAAACGAGAACCAGCCTATGAGACATTCAGGGTAAGTCTTAATCTCTCGCCTCTGCGAACTTTCCCAAATTAAACTTGTCAACAACAAAAAAAAAACATATAAATATTTTATATGTAAATTATGAAAATCTGTTTTCCTTTAGGCCTTCATGAAGTTTATTGTGAGACCCGCATTCGATCGTTATGGTCTCCATGAGCCCGACAATGAATCACATATGCAGTTGAAGCATCGCGCCTTGGTAGCCAATTTCGCCTGCAAATTCAACTATGATCGCTGCACTCAGGTGGCCCAAACGAGGTTCCGCGAATGGATGCGTGATCCCAAAAGGAATCCGTGAGTAAATTGGTCATTGTTATTGGTAATCAATCTAAATGAATTTTCTCTTGCAGTATCAAGCCCAATCTGAAATCTGTCATTTATTGCACGGCGCTGGCGGAGGGCTCCTATCAGGAATGGTATTTCGCCTACAAGCAATACAAGAGGTCAAACAGTGCCTCCGAAAAGGAGGAGATACTCACCTCACTGGGCTGCACCACAAAGCCATGGCTGCTGTCCAAGTAGGTTTATTATTGATATACATACAAATAGCATACTTAGTCTAATTGTTGTCTGACTTATGAATGTGAAAAGAATTGTAATTCGAATTTTAGGCAAAGTTGTTCGTATATTAAATACTTTTCTGCTCTTACAGATACCTGAATTTGACACTTAACTCCACATCGGGCATTTTGAAGCAGGATGGTGCCTTGGCCTTCAGAGCTGTTGCATCAAATGCAATTGGACATGAGATGGCATTTGATTTTCTGCAGACGAACATTAAAGAAATTGCTGACTAGTGAGTAACTTGGATCAAAATTTCAGTTCACACTCCTTATTTATAAATTTATTGAATTTTTTTTTTGTTTTTTACAGCTATGGCGATGGCTTCTCCACCATATCGGAGATGATTAAATCGCTGACCATCTATATGAACAAGGAGTACCATAAACAGCAGCTGCAGGCATTGGCCGCCAACTGTCGCAAACTGGGCCTAAAGGCCGTCGAAATAGCCATTGGCATGGCGATGGAGCAGGTCAACGATAATATCTATTGGCGCACTCACTCCTATGATAAGCTCAAAGGGTTCCTCGAGGGCATTGTCAGCGAGTTCGAAATTAATATCTTCTAAGCAACATTCAATTAGTTCTGAAGCTTTTCAACCAAAAAAAAAAGAATAAGAAGAAAGAAAAAAACTCGACTTTATAATTATTCAACAGCCTCAATATTTAATTTTATTTGCGAAAAGTGATATAAACGTGTAAGTTAGCCAACTTAGTTAAGATACAAAGAGAAATCAAACATCTTTATACTTTTGGCTTCGATTGCTTCATGTATTGTAATTTATTATTTGAGTTTTTTTTTCGTAACGTTCCTATGTTTCAAATAGTAGATGGCTAAAAACTAAAGAGTATCCTTATCACACCTTGTTAAGAACATTGGTTATTTAGTCACTCCTCCTAATGCTGCTTGGGTAAAATCATCAATTTGTCAAATACACTAAAATAAAAACACTCGGAACTTAACTACTAAGCCATTTTAGCACTAAGTAAACCAAACAAAGAAGAAAAAAATCATATTTTAAAACTTGTATTAAACAAACTTGAGAACTTGTGCACAGATTTAAGTTTATTTTTGCTACTGGAGAAACGAGTGTCCTTAATGCATGGTTTAAAGATTTTGCACAAGCAAACATACCTAAATATAACTTATTTATATATTTTGTATAATGAATAACACATAAATATATATTCGCTTAGTGCACAACCTTGTAAATAAGTTTTAATGCATATTAATATTATAAATATATAAATAAAATATGTAATTACGTACATTTTAATTAAAGTTATCTTTTTTAATTTCCCCAACTCAACAAGAAAAAATGACTATTAATATCAGCGCGATTCTATTCCAAAAACGTCTACAAACTACTCGTTTTGTTTTGAAATTTAATAATTGACGGAGCTGACTTCCTGTTCCATAGCACAACCATCTAACAGAAAGTTACTCTAGACTGGTCATATCGTTGCAGTTGCTGACGATTCCTTGAATATTTCGAGAAAACAAGAATTTTGTGCTTTTAACTCTTATTCGTTCAGCATGCAGTGAAATGTTAACAATTGTTTGGATTCTTATTATTATTAAATGAATATCGATAAGTTGGATCCTTGCAATTTTGGACCAATATGTTCTTCAGAAATCTGGATATGGGTGCCCCTAAAATTATGCCGCATTTTTTAATTTGATGTCAACGTAGCCAATGCAGCAACCTAATTTGTGACACTGGTGCGTGCAAATGCTATCTACCCTATACAACAACCTGCCCAGAAAACGAGAAAAGAAAAAAAACAGTATTTAAAAGCAGTTTTTACAAATTCGAGTAACTGATGTGTATTGCGTTCGCCTATAGTTTATATAAGGTGCACCTAATTTTGCGTAGATACCAATAGAAAACTTTTAACATCATATGCGAAGTAAAAATACTGGAAATTGAATGAAAAAAATAATATCTTTACGATTTCAAATTCATTTTAATATTGACAGTGTGGCAGCGCTGTAAACAGCTGTTTGCACTATATCTCATGGTACATAAAAAGGGCATTACACTTAATAAATTGGCTTGTGACGCCATTACTGCTATGTCAACGCCATGCTATGATTTCATGTATTTGTGACGTAATCACATAACGACGCTTCGCTTGTGGCGCACCTTGAGAATATGTAACACATTGTTTGAAATGAATATTCGGCGTGCACTGTAAATGTCGGTGATAAACAAAATTGAATAACTATCAAACAGTATTTGAAAGTAAGTATATTTGTGGGAATTTCTATATGAATGATGTATAAATGCGGTATATCTGTAGTGAGTGCCAATCGAAAGGACTGGACACCAGCGGAGGACGCAACCTTTCTACGCATCTGGTACAGCAATCTGGTTGCGCTACGCGAAGGTATAACACGAAAAGATTTCCACAAGGACTTGGTGGCTGATTTCATAGATCAAGGAATCGATGTGGCATCCTCAAAAATCCAGCGAAAAATGCAGACGTTCAAGCGAAGATATTATAAGTAATATTTGTACTTGCTGATCCCTTTTCAGACTTAATATAATGGCAAACTCCATTTCAGTGTTAAAGACAACAAAAAAGCGCAAAGTGAGTGGATACATTTTGACCGAATGGTCACAATTATGAAATATGAAGAAGCGGTAAATAAAACTAGCTCTGAATCACAGCTGGAAGATAACTCAAGTAAGTGATTCTTCAGTATACTTTTTGATTTTCTAGTTAACTCTTAGCTTTACTTACTGTTAAAGAATCATCACAAACTGAGGACGACATTAGAGCAACATCATCAGACGGAGCACTTCCAAAGAAATCGCAACGTCTACGCAACAGAAAAGAGACTAATAAAACCATATCGAATATGATTAAAAAATTAAAACAAAGACGCACATGGAGTCAACAAGATGAAGACATTTTCATTGATATATGGCAAACTAACATTCAAAATTTTCGAAGCCAAGAAAAAAAGCGCGAAGCTTATGAAAAAATGGAGTCAGAACTGCGTAGTCGAGGAATTGAAATCACCATCCCAAATATCAAAGCGAAAATTGATACGTTTGCTCGCAAATTTCGGTAAGATCATAAATTATTATAATATACTTCAAACCACAACATTAAACTGTTCAATTTTCCTATATATATTCAGAAATGTGGATTCGGATACCACATGGATTAACTATGCTAAGGTTGGTGAACTTCTGGGTATTTTGGAGGCATCTGATCAGCTTTCGGAAAGCCGTGATGATATCAATGACAAAATACAAAATCAAACTAATTCAACAAGAATCTACCCAGAAACATACCTAAAAATTGAATTGAATGATGAAGGACAACCGCCAACGAAAAAAAGAATTATTATAAAAGCTGATGATACATTGGAAAAAACTAAAGATGTACACAATGAAATTAATCCAATAGATGCTTCATTAGATGTAATCGAATTAAGTGACCCAGAAGATTTCGAATTTGAGATGCTGCAAGATGACTCAATGGAGGTGTCAAGTATTCGAAATTCCGATCGGAGTACCGGCAAAATTCAGCTATCTGATCAGTTTGGACAGTTTGTTGTTAAAGAGCTAAACTTGTTGAATGACGATCTGTTAATAGAGGCAAAACGAAGAATTTACAATATCATATGTAGAATGCATATGAAGCAACTAAGGCATGGTCATAAAGCGAGCTGAATTAATTTGGTAACTTAATAATTTGATGTAAGTTTTCAAGTATTTCGTTTGCTGTGTATACTTATAGCTATTAATAAATGTCCATGAGTTATTTTTAATTTGTTTATTTGAGTTTACGTAAATTACATCGCGATAGTGATAATAAAAAACATAATACGTTATAATCATATTAATCATCTTCATAAGTGTTGGGCTTAAGTATTAAATAATTGTTTAAGAGATTTATTCGCATTTTTCTTTTAACATTGTGTGTAATTTATATTTATCAACTCATTTGAATCTCGATCTTGATTATGAAAATTAATTGAATGCATTTAATTAAATTTTGTTTAGTTTACGTATTCACAAAGAAAAAAAACCAAATCAATTAATATGTGAAAATGGCGCGTAAACTGTTTCTTTTTTAAGTCGAAAACACATTTCATTTCTTTTGTTTTATGTACAAATAACAAAAAATAAAATAATCACTTAACATAATAATGATAGGCAAATAATTAAAATTAAAAACAAAGACAATCATGAAGAAAACACACAGAATAAACGTTGGCTCATGGAACAGACGTGGACATTCGGGGATGGGTCTGTGTATAGTATCTATGTATGCATAAATATGATTGGTTTTGGCATTAGCCTAGACATCGATCTGGAATGGGGATCCGGGTATATGGTCATCGCCCCATTTGATAAGAAGCACATACTGGCCGCGATCACGCACCAGATACTGCACATTGTAATTGTTGTGGCCAGCATGCTTGACATGGAACTCCTCGCAGGGTCCCTTCGGGCCGTACATGCCCACATACAGGATATTGTTGCCTAGAAGAGAGGGTTGGTTTCAATTCAGATTGTGGCTCTCCATCTAATAATTATAATCATTACTCACCTGCATCTGTGGCACAGACGCTGAACTGATTCTGCTTGCCAACGTAGGCCTTCTTCAGGCCCATACCCTTAGACACAACCTTGCTGGCATCGGACTTGAAGTTGGGCAAGTGGACGCCAGTGCTTTTGCCACCCTTGGCAATCTTCTGCACTGTCTCCACAATGACTGTGGATGTTTCCTGGGCGCCCTCATCGGCCAGTTTGTCGCCGGTGGCATGCACCTTGAACGGTGAACCCACAATGTGCATATTGTTGTATTTAACCGTGATGTAATGCTCTCCGGGCAGCAGTGGTGTGTATCGCACCTTGTAGCCCTCTTCCACCTCTGTGCAATCCATGGCGACCTTGGAGGGCCCATCGATGGAAACGGCCAATGTGCCAACGCCCGCATTACAGGTGTTGATTATGAAATCGGCCTTGTGGCCAGTCTTGATATCATCCAAGCCATTGCCGGTGGCATGCACTGCCGCTGGATCGGCAACATCCTTGCCAACCTTGATTCTGAAGGGTGAGTCGGGTATGTGGACACCATTGAACTTGACGTGAATCGCGTGAATTCCATTCTCACGTGGATAGAAACGCACCGAGCTCATCTCGCCATCGATGGCCTGGATGAAACAATCGTCATCGGTGCCGGAGGGTGCCACAATCTTGGCATCCAGCTCACCCTTGGCGCCATTCTTGCGCACCATGAACTGATAGGGCGCATCGGCCTGAATGTTGCCCTGTGGGAACTGCTGCACCTCCAGCTTGTGAGCATCGCCCGCATCCGGCGATATGTACACCTTGAACGGTGAGTCGGGAATATGGCGGTCGTTGAACTTCAAACCGACACGATATTCTCCAGGCTCTGTCACCTTGTAGGACACATCGCAGCTGCCGTCCTTGCGATCCTTGAACTCAATGTCCGCCTTGCTGGGACCCTCCACCGAAATGGCCAACGAACCGCCGCCAGCCTCGCGTGTCCACACATTGAACTCGGCCGGCTCGCCGACAACGCCACGCTCCAGACCAGAACCGCCAGCCTTAACCAGATGGCTGCCCGAATCACGCAGTGGACCCACTGTGAACTGGAACGGCGAGCCGGGTATGTGCATCTCGGAGTAGCGCACCGAAACGGTGTGAACGCCCAGCTCCTTGGGCACAAAGTGCACCGAATACAAACCATCCTCAATTTCCTGAATCTCGGCATCCTCAGTGACATTGCTGGGCGAGGTGACACAGGCGGCCAGATCAAAGGACGTGATGCCGGGCATCTTGAAGGTCAGCTTGCACTGGCTGCCAATTTCGGTGATGGGCACCGCGTCGCGTTCCCGCTGAATCTTCTCGCGTTTGCGATTGCTGCCCTCGCCGGCCACCTTGACGGTGAAGGGTGAACCCTCCACATGATGATCGGCAAACTTGAGGTTGACAATGTAGTAGCCCGGTTCGGTGGGCTTGTAGGAGATATTGAGTGTGCCATCATCCTTATCGGTGCACTGAATCTCCGCCTTGCTGGGCCCCTCAATCGACACAGACAGACCACCGAAGCCGGCGTTGCGGGTATCCACCGAGAAGATATTATCGCTGTGCGTCTGACCCTCCTTGAGCCCTTTGCCGCTAACCTTGACCTTCTTGGCATCGCCGACTTCGCGTTCACAGACCGTCACCTTAAAGGGTGAGTTGTTGATGTGCTTGCCCATCCGCTTCACGGACACCATATGCTCGCCGATCTCACGGGGCGTAAAGGAAATGCCAATGTTGCCCGTAGGCATGCGCTTCAGGAAGCACGGCTCCTCCAAGCCACTGGGCGCTTGAATGGAGGCGTTCAGTGCACGCAGATCATCATCGGTAATATCACCGGGCATCGTCACCTCCGAGCAGGAACCGACGGAAATCTGATTACGTTTGCGTCCCTCACCGGTGATCTTGGCAAAATAGGGTGAGCCCTTGATGTGCTTATCACCGAAACGCACTGACACCTGATATTCACCGGGAGCAGTGGGCAGATATTGCACCGAAACAGTGCCGTCTTTGTTATCATGATACTTGATCTGTTAAATAAAGAAAATAACTACAGAACTGAAGTTGGCCAATTGCAAAATTGACTTACGTCTGCCTTGCTGGGACCCTCAACAGCCATGGTCAAGCCACCGGCGCTGGCGCCCTTGGTTGAGATGGTGAAATTGGCGGGTTCGCCAGTGACGCCGTGCGTCAGACCAGGTCCATAGGCGGTCACATAGCCGGATGTTATGGAATCCACATGGAATTTGAATGGAGAGCCTGCAAAGCCCGTGCAAATAATGGATAAGTATACAAATGTATATGGATGAATTCCACGTTAATATTTACCTTGGACAGGTTCGCCATTGTATTTAACAACCAACTCGTGGGAGCCCTCCTCGCGTGGATCATACTTCACGGAGACGGTACCATCACGGTTATCCTGAATAATGGGTTTATCTACCTTACCACTCGGCATTCTGACTTCAGCTGTAACGAAAATAGCAAATCGCGTGACGCATCAGTTGTTGTGTCTTAGCACTCAACATAACCTAATAATAAAATAGTCCAGAGCATGAAGGGTGAGTGAAGTGACCAAAAATGATCACATCAATATTAGAAATTTGGAATATTGAAATCAAAACCATAGATTTTTGTGTGGGTGGTCGTCATAAATTTTCAAAAATTTCTTCATCAATATATTGCAGTGGAATCATAATTTTAGTTTTAATGTTCGAATTTGCGTGACAATTATTATTAAACGAATCTATTTTCGTATGCCAAGAATAAAATGTGTTTTTTGAAACTTGTGTGATCTTATGACAGGCACAGTTAATTAATGGCACCAAATGTTTTCGTCCGTTATTTTTGCACTCGGAACGGATATTTTGCAAAATTTAATTTAATTGAATTTAATTTAATTTATTACAAAAAAGGACAACAATATTTCAATGTTGTCATTAGTATTCACATACTATTTGGTCCCACAATATATATTGGGTTGTATATCCTTGTTGGATAATCCTTGCACTCCAATTGGGAAACAACGCTCAAAATTCACTTCTCAACACAACGAATGATCAGCACAAACTGAGTCCGCAGTAATCTTTCGACTTTCTAAAGAAATTTCGCTCAACGCCTACAATTAGTTTTATACTTTTCCACGTTGTCAAAAAAAAAAAAACAAAAAAAAATGCTGTCCCGGATGTTTTTTAAAGGTCAAATATAGGACAGAATTTATTTATATTTTCTGGGCACTTATGTACAAGAGACATGTATATACATATATACACAAAGTAAACTCATGATTTTTATTTTTAAGGTGCAGCTTCAGCGAGCTGGAGATATTTTTTATTGGATAAATATTGACACGTGCCTATATGTATGGAAAATTCGATATTTTTAGTTTTCGGGAATCCTATTTATAAAGAAATGAAGCAGCATATATAATAAATATATATAAATATATAAGTAAAGTTCACAAAAATATTCGAAATAAACAAAGTGTATATAGACACGAGGGGATAATTAATTTTAAGTGCCAAAAAGACCCAAATGTTGTTGATAGAACTACCTGCATGGAATTTAGTTAAATTGAGATTTTCACTCGAATCGAAATGATTCACAAGCGACTCTCAAATTGTTTACAAAAAATTGTGAGTGCTTTTATTCATATATCATATTTAATAGATGATAAATTAAATAAACAAGCGCGATGCTTTTAGTTCAGCTGTCGTCACCGCATTAACACAAGATTTAACTAAAAAATATTTAAAGTTGTTTCAATCGAGAAGACGTCATAAATTTCTGCAGATTCAACATTTAAATATGCGTAACATTTATATTTGTCGGGCAAATAATTTGCTTTGTTTTGATATGGGCGGAAAAGAAAAACAAAATAAAAAATAAATAAATAAAAGACAATTCACAAATGTTTCGCTTATCTAAAGACAAAAACTCAATTGGTAAACAAACATAAATTAGAAGAAAAACATGACGCGTGCCCCGACCAAAGATTAGCAAAAATATTTAAAATAAACAGACGGAAGTGGAAGAAAAAGATATTGTGGAAAATGTCTGGCGTTAGTGCCAAGTGGAATGCCTGTCGGGAAACAATTGAAAAATTTATTGGCTCACGTTTGCCGCATGCTGTGGAGGAACAAGCAAAGTGGTGTTCATTAAAGTTTTAATGTGTCATAAGTGGCAAAATAAAGCATAAGCAATGCATTCCAATTAAAATTCCCAAATAAACTATATGTACACCCACCCTCAGGCTGTGCGCTTTCAGCTGTTCGGTTTCATAAAGGAAATGACATGTAAAATCTAAATAATTCGAAATACTTTTCAAAGAACTTTGCGAATTAACGATCAAAATCTGGCGCTCACTGCGTACATTAAATAGAAAATAGAAAGAAAATTATTTGACGAAATATTTGAACGTATAAAAAATGATGCCAAGACAACTCTATGGCTGTTCTCATCAAGAAAAAAGAATAATAATTGTGAATATTTATGTTTGAACATTTGTTTCTGTCCGTCCCAGTGTCCGACACCCTCAAGCACCACCCTACCCCACCACACCCTCGGGCCATGCTACCTGCCAGCGTTGCCCATTGAAGCATGAGAAAGAAGGCATCTTTTGGCATCATCTAATGGACGATGCTGGCAAGACAAATGAAAGATTTAATGACTCTCAAGCCGTTCTGTTCTCGATATATCAGCGAAAGTTTTCGCCAATTTGCGTAAACCAAAAAAAAAAAAAAAATGAATAAAACATTAGTCAGCACAGAATGCAAAAATATTTTACATATTTGGTTAATACTATTTTTGAAAATAGTTTATTATTTTTCTGACTGTTTTTTTTTTTTACCATCGAAATTGTGCGTAACGCATAAAATTCATGATTATTTGCTGTGCCTTGTTGGCTAGTGTAAACAATAATTCAGAAGTGTAGCATACTCATAGAGTGCCCCTCCGTTCTAAACGAATTTTATGCTTTGTTGAAAACTGCGATTATAAATCATAGAATTTAATGTGCAACAACTCGCTGGCCATTTTGCAACAGTCAAATGTGTCGGTGCCATAAAAGAAGACACATTTTGGTCATTAATCAAGATGCGGCAAAAGGTAAATGGTATTTGTAGGTGCAACGTGTGTGGTCGGTCAAGCGCCGTCTTCAATCGGAGCCGTTTTGGTGAGATTTTTGTCATTAACACAAATAACAACACATTTTTGCTGCTTTACTCAGCGAAATTGGGTTTATTGACGACAGCGTCCGCGTCATTTTGCCTGGCAAAATATCAAAAATAGAAAACCACAAAAAAAATTGTTGTTTTTGGATATAGAAACAGATCCAGAGTATGGATTTAATTACAGTCCATCAACATGAAATATTATTGTTTGTGCATTTATTTATATATTTTATTAATTGCAAATTATATATGAAACAGTCCTTTCATAGGTAAACGTATCAAATATTTGCCTATTTATTTTTATACTTTTTGTTATACGATGTCTTTTTTTTAATTCTTGGTTACCTTGATGTGTTACAATTGAAAACGATGATTTAAAATTTAATGGCATAAAATCTGAACCATTTAATCCTTGATTTTCCGGTATGATGGTCTCATTGAAGTAAACGTGAGTACGTTCCGGGTGATCGCGTTCAGATACGGTCACTTTATAATAATTGGATCGAAAATAATACGAATGATCCGCCCAGGTCGCTTCCGGCGTTGGCGCTTTCTCTGATAACCAACTGAAGTGCATTTTTTTATTGCAATTTCACGCGTCGGTTTTATTTTTATTTTTATTTTGTATTTTATAATAGGTGTTTAAATAGTTTCAAGTACGGGATGGTTATATTTTGAAATAAAGACACTTAAAATTTAGAACAATTTAATTTAACAACTCGAATAATTGTTGTTGCATGTTTTAACTGCACAACGGAGCAAGGATATGCGTTAAGAATTACTTTGCCATGATTATGCATATATAATCATTATACATATTTTTTACTATAATATCATGTTATATATTATATATGTATTTACTATAATTAATATGCTGTCAAGGCATATCCTTGCTGAGCTGAAACAGCACAAACAATAGTGAACCAAAAAGGGATTATAAAACTCACAGTTAAACACACTGTTTGAATTATATAATGCAATGTTATAATAAATGTTCAGCTAAATTGTAATGTCTTTTAGTCCTATGCCAGAGTATCCACACACGCATTCACACACGCACACACGCCACGCACAACACACTTGAATAGTTCAATATTGGCTGGGCATTAAATTAATTTGGTTAATTTATGAATTTGTCATTTGTTGAGCGCACGATTCGATTTTAATTGCCAGCGACGTTTTGCAAGGTCCGCGCGTCTTTACGTCCCGATTTCAAGTGAACATCGACAGTTCCAAATCGAAATTAAGGCCAATATATAAAAGCAGGCCCATTCCTACCACAAAGATGCGTTCGCAGCAGCGACGCTGGCAGCATAGATCAGCCAACACTCGTACAAATGCAAATACACACACACACACACACACATCCATTCACACACATCCATACACATAGATATGGGATCTATCGAAATTGTGGTTGTGCTATAAAGTAGGCAGCAGCAGGCTGGCAGGCAGCAGGCAGAGCCATTGAACGATATATAAAATATAAAAAATATACAGCAAATTGGAAATATTTGCTTATGACAAGTGTGCGACTTTCTATATACACATACATCTCATATATACATATATATATAGAACATGGCTAACATAGAATGCGCCATCGTGTCCTAGTATTTGTTCTCTTGGATATTTTAACAGTTGTCAAATTTTTCGAGATCGAAAAGGTGCAAATATAAAATTAGTTTTTTTTTGCATTTATTTGGACACACCTATTTATATATATGGATCTATATGTATATATATACATATATATATACATATAAATTAGCATGTTTCATAGGAAATACAATTTATTACTTGTTGCAGCACAGACGACATAAAATTTATTAATATTTGCCCATTAAAGCAAGAAAAATATATTAAAGATAAATATAGATACTTCTATGTAGATTTGTTTGGCTTGAAGACGCCAATTTTAACAAACCGTAAACCATAAATACAAAAATAATAATAAATTATATATATGATAACAATTTGTGGAATGCAAAATATGCGTTAAATATTTTGTCAAACTGTTTTTCTTGACTATACGATAATTATATGGAATTATTCGTAGACACAAGTGTCGAGATATATATTTATATATATAATATATATGTATAAATAAATTTGCATTTCATATGTAATCTCTTATGCAATTGATTTTGTAATAGTTCTGCAATTTTTGAAAGGAATTGCAACAGCTTAAAGCATTCAGTTGATTAAAATCAATCAAATGCAGCAAAAATCATCAAAATTCGTAATTCTCATTAAATACATTTTTAGTTAATTCTGAAGATATATAAGAGGAAGTTCAATCATAGATTTAGCTTGATTAAATAAGAATTTATATTCTATATCGACAGAAGTAGCACGGTTTTTACATATTATATTATATTATATTATTATATTTGAAAATCATTATTGTAATTGGTTATTGAAAACTTTATTTTATGGAAAACCTCAATCATAAAATTGGATCAAAATAATATGTTGGCGATTGTCTACCGACAATCAAAATTTGTAGTTAAACATTCGATATGGGCGTATCCAATTTTTACTAGAGTTATAAGAATACTTTAGCATGTAGATTTTAAGATCAAGTTATGCGCATTCAATTGAATGTCGTTGCAAATCGAGTTGGGTAAGTTTGACGGGCTTTTGCAATTCTAGGTTACATCCTAGCCTTACTAGCCTATTGCAAATACTTTGTAGTCTGATGAGCTATGAAAAATCAGTGCAACAAATGCGCGACAAAAAATGTCATTTGGCCAAAACGAATCATTTACAATAAACCATCTTCAAACGAAATGGAGCGCGCCATAAAAGCTGCATGTTGCCATCATGCCACAAAGAGGCGACACTTGCGACCCGCCAACTTATTGATATTTTATTCAGAGAGTCTAGCAAATGGTCCAAGTGAAATGTGTGTGATCTTAATGAGGAGCCCAGACCACGGATATTCTTCGTCTTCATCTTCTTCTTCATCTTGTTCTTGTTCTTCATATTCTTTTGGGTGCAGTACGTCGAGTTCGCGTCACAGACGGGGTCGCATTGCCGCGTAGCCAAGCGACGAAAATGCGAAATGTTTGCAAATTGCATGGAAGCGTGAAAAATCGAACAAATATTTCGCAACAGGCGGCGGATGCTCGAATTTATGTATATATATATATATAAATATAAGTGTATACATGTATATATGGTTTATATTTATTTATTGATTTTGAAAAAAAAATAAGTGAAGAACGATCTAAAAGCAAAACAGCTCATCAATCATATTGAGCATTTTTTGAAAAGCATTTTACAACTCGTATATCCATCGACAATTCCCATAAATTCCGCTAATTAACGTGCACATTTAAATACATAATTACTTCCATTCAATGACCCGTAAACTAGAAAAATGCAAAATGGCTCACATATATTTTACAAGAAAACAAAATTCATTTTGCCGTGTTCATGTCTTTGTCGTTGTCAACAATTAGCAAGATAAGCCGTCAAAAAAGTCGTCACACTGACAGTTCATCTGTCCGCCCATCTTTAACATCATACTTATCTGCATCTCACATGTCGCGGTCTCGGTCTCGGTTGCGCCTCATCATTTCTACATGTTTTGCTATACGTAAGTATTTCAACATTTTGCCACAAATGAAAAGCCGCAGACAGCTTCTTCGTGGTGCTTCACTAAATTGCAATGAGCCGCATTTTAAATTGTGTATTAAGATTATAAATTTCTTTAATCACTTAAAGTATTTCTGACAAAAATTTGTAATCTTTTTTAGATAAATATTATTAGGAATTTTGGACTTTTAGAAAATATTTTGGGCTCACTTCTCATGTCTCTTGGGACTTGTATATACAATTATATGTAGTAAATATTGTTTTACGCACCTGTAACGTTTCCGCCTGTTGTGGGTAGTGGTAATTTCTCAAAGGCAACACTTCGATAAGTAACTTCCGATTTTCCGTTGACCAGACCGCTCTATAAAAATGGCCAAATTACATAATTATAATACGGGAAAATGTTGTTAAGGAAAAAAATTCCCAACTGGTTTCCACTTCCAAAAAGACTACACATAAAATCCATTATTTGTCTTAAAATCAGTCATACAGTAAAGTTTAAAGGTCTTAGAAATTTTACACAATTATCAATGAATTAATAATTATTTTTGCAAGGAAATAAATAAATAAATAAATGTTTATAAATAAATATATATCTGTGTATATATATATATATCTCGGTACTTATTCACTTTTTCATCCACAATATTTTCAACATCTTGTTAATATCTGCTAGAGTTACTCACCTGTGTTGTGGTCTGCTTAAGTACTTTGGTCGTATGCTCCTCGACGTATTCACTATGCGAGTATTGTTCGATGCTTTCGACAGCCTGAGGTCAATGAAAATAAAATTGAAAATGACCAAAAGTTATCCACCAGATTTAGATGTTTATAATTCAATTGAAATGCATAAATGAAAACAGCCAAGCACGCGATTGGCTGACGATTTAGAATTTAGAGCACAATCACGAGAGTGCTACTTGTGTACTATATAGGCCAAAGATATTTCAAATATCCGTATACTTTGCACTCGTGATGAAATTTGCACAAATATGTTATATATGCATATGGGCCGAGTCTGCTTATTATTAAAACTTGTTGCCACTGATTGATATGGAAAAAACTTGAAAGTGTGAAACAATGAAAAACGAAGATTGAAACATAACAATAATAATAATACACACACGATTTGAAAGGAAGTGGCATTGATTGACAGGTTTGTAGTCGTAAGTAGTTTTCCTCTCTTTTCTTTTCTTTTTTTGGTAATGTTCTGAGAATTTCCACGGCTGTTACATAAGCGCATTATAATGAGTGCAAATATTGCAATAATCCCCGTCGAGGCATATATCTGTGGCCAAATCGACCAAAAAGTCAAAGATACAAATCTCAATAAAATATTTTCACTATTAATAAGAAGTACGCGAATTCACAGCCAATCAATAGATGGACAACTGGGCAAATATTCGAATATTGAATATTTATCTCATATACATGCATATATACTGCACGTTCTGTATATATGTAGAGTCGATCTAATGACAGAGCCCGTCGATTTTTACACATGTATGACATGCATCAAAAAAAAAAACGTCACAGAATTTGGAAGGAAAACAAACGAAAACTGCAAGATTTTTTCTTTCCACCTTTTCAATTTTCCAGTTGTGTAAATCGCGAACGGAACGACGAACGATGAAGATGACGCTGGCGTCGAGGACAAACTCTGACTAACAAATTGTGTGCGACTATGTAAGACAACTAGTCGCAGCTGCACGACTCTGCCTCTTGTGGCTACTAATAGTTTCCACAACAACGCACAAAGACAGAGAGTACAAAAATTTAATCTTTTCAAATGTGAATTTTAGTGTTCTTTTCACTGAATTTTAATTGTTCGAAAATGCATTTCATCTGCAGTCACAGATGTACACTTGATACGCGATTGCCTGCAGCAGCAACAAAAACAACAACAGCAACAGCAACAACAACAAATGTGAATCAGCAGCCTGTGTTCCGCTTGAATATATGTATATCTATACATTTCTGAATATATAAATATAAATTGTACACATATACAGCTTTATAATTCAGCTATATAGTAGTATATATATAGTAGTGTTTTCAAAATATTTTGTTGGACACTTTAAAAAAAAAGTCAATATTTGTGCTTGCACAAATGTTGCTCAGCTTTGCACTTTTATATTTAGCATTTTTATAATTTCAATTATTAATACAGTGCAATTCATCTCAAATATATACAATGTGGCAGTCTATTTTCCACACAATTACTTTCTCACCAATGGTGAGGATGCCAAGTTTCGAAAAGAAAGCGTAGTCTGTTAATAATGGCAGACCAGCAGGAGCTAAACTAAGTTGAGAAGTCCAAATGTTGTTTAGAAAGTCACAAAATATGTCGCACAATCTTAAGAGGTTAATGTCTTTTTTGTTGTGCCCAATTTGATGTTGAATTGGAAGTCTATATTTACATCAGTGGGCTGTGTAAACAATAAAAAAATAACATTATAGCCTTGTTAAAAACTTATCAGATACATGGCTGATGTGCTGTCCGTCACGTAGACAATATTAGCAGCAACATAACAATGTGCTCAAATATATGGAACGCTGTCATGAAACGGACAAACGATATATCTCTTTACGAGAATCATTCTATATAATATGTTGCCATGGCATATGAAATTCAATTTAACACTTGACTAATTAAGCGAAACTGTTAAGAATTAACATAATAATTTGTTTGCTTTTGCTCTAATACAGAATATGGTTGTTGGTACTTGTTTTCTGGGCACAGTGCCCGCAAATTGCAACTTGTTTAATTTGAATTGTTCTGCTCTAAGAACGCACAACACATTTGCTGCTGCTGTCGGATCTAATATATTTGTCACGTTATTGCAGGCTGTTCATTATTCAAATTGTCAGCATTTTATACTTACGATTATGCTGAAAGAAATATATTTGAAAGTGCATGGTATTCGTTCATATGGGTTAGAAAAAAATTTGTTGTTAAATTAGCAATTATTATGAATTAATATTGTTTGTTTTTGGTAATTGTGCTTGCGCAACCAATGCAAGTGTATGGGGTATCGGATTGGTTGTGCGGCTAGGATATATATATATATATATATATATATACATACATACATATATATATAGTGTTATAAAAATTGCAATTATAAATACACTCAAACAACTTACGCATACTAAGACATACAACTAGTGAAGCATTAAAACAATTGAATAATTTTGTGCATTTTATGCATAATGTAAAACAAAGCATTTTGTAATTTAGCATAGCAGAGCAGATTTTGTATAATTTTGAAAACGATTAACATTTGCATGCGATTCAAATTTGTACGATTTTTGTTTGTTTTTCTTTTCTTTTTTTTTTTTTTTTGATTTTGAGAGGTTTTTAACAAAGTTTGTTTGTTGTTTTCATTTATTTTATGTTGTCATGTTTTACAATGTTGCACTTAAAATTGTATTCTTTGTTTTATTGCTGGGTCTTCATTGCTTGAATATATACGCTTGATTTATATATATACATATATACGTAAATTGTTTGCGTGTTTTAATTTCTTTTCTTGTGTATTGCTAGCAATACGAATTTTGACTTTTCATTTTACATCAATAATTTGAGACACACGTTAACATTGAGGGGGACAAAACACAAAACACAAACACCAAAAAATGACTGTAAGATTTGACTAGAGTAGATTGGAGTATATATCAGATGGTTCTGTTTGGCTTATTTGACTAGAGTTTGATATATATAAATATATATAAATTATGATAATAATTGCTAATTTTCAACAAAGTTTATCGCATTTGATTTTGACTAGAGTTGTGACGAATTTGTTTTTGTTTTTTTTTTTTATAAATGTCTGAATTCAGGCTACCTTAATGGAGAAGCTACCGTTCGGTATATCCTTGCCACCAAACTTGACGTTGATATCATAGTCTCCAGGATCGTTGAGGGCATACAGAATGTCAAAGAAGCCATCCTTCTCGATGACATCAATGTCAACAATTTCACTGCAGAAGAAAAACAATTATATTCATTTAGGTATTTAACAATTGATGACACGACTCATTTAGACAGACCTGCCGGCCTTGTTGGTTATCTTGCAGGTGACGGCTCCGTTGCCAGCTTCGCGTGCATCCACTTTGATATGGGACTGACTGCCGGATGGCTGAATCTTGGGCGCCTCTTCGACCAGTTTGCATTTTTTGGCCTCGCCGGTGGGGAATGCTTCGAGTTTGAAGGGCGAGCCCTCGATCTCCTTGTCGCCATACTTGATGCTGCACTGATACGTGCCACACTCATCGGGCACAAATGAGACGACATAGGTACCAGTGGCTACTTCCTCAAGGCGGGGCTGCATTGGCTTTCCCTTGGGATTCTTGATAGCCACATTGATGTCGGCCTGACCGGCTTGCTTTGTATCAATCTCAAATTCGGCGGGCAAAGAGGCCGGAGTCTTCTTCGTCTCGTTGACACCCTTGACGGTGACTTTGGTCGCCTCCGATTTGGGAAAAACGGTCATCACAAAGGGACTAAAAATAGGTATGCCATTCATTAAACATTGACCAGCTAAGCTGTCTACTCGATTTGAGGTGAACTTACCTGCATGGCACCTCCACATCGGCGAACTTCACTTGGCAAGTGAGAACGGAGCCGGCCTTGGGCGGAACATAGTGGACCGCATAAATGCAATTGCCCTTATCCTCGACGCTCAGATTGTCAACGGGTATGCCCTCGGAATTGGTCAGCTTGACGGCAATGGGGCCAGGACCAGCCTCGCCCACATCCACATTGAAAACGGTCGGCACACTCTCGCGCACCTGGCCATGCTCAATGCCTGCGCCGTAGACCTTCACCTTGCTGGGATCCACACTACCCTCGACGAGCACACGGAACGGCGAGCCGGGTATATGTTTGTCCGCAAATCGTATGGTGATATCATATTCACCGGGATCGGTGGCCTGATAATCTACATCGCAGCTACCATCACGATTGTCCGTGCAGACCATCTTGGCTTCGGAGGGTCCTTCAATGGCCAGCGAGAGGCCGCCATTGCCGGCACCCTTGGTCTCCACGGTGAACTTGTTCTTCTGATTGGTCAGGCCACTCTCCAGGCCAGGACCATAGGCCTTGCAGCGAGTCGGATCGCAGCCGCTCTTCACATTGACGACAAACGGTGATCCCGGCACCGGTATATTATCGTACATCAGCTCAATGGTGTGACGACCAGCCTCAAAGGGTGTGTACATTATGCGGAAGATGTCGTCTGTGGGTCCCTGCACCATCTTGCTGGGCAGCACATGTCCCTTGGGATCAAAGATGGCACACGACAGCTTGCCAGATTCAATATTGCTGCCCACTTTGCTCATATCGACCATGAAGTCTGTTGCGGCATTCATGATCACACCTAATTACGGAAAATCAAAGATATTAGGAATGTGTCTCTTCAACGTGCCAACTTCAACGGACAACAAGAACGATTGAAAATAGAAGATCTTCGGTGTGCCGAGACTTGGATACACTTGCAGAGTTAATTATCGATTGGAGAGCACTTACAGGATTTTCCTCATATTGTAAGAGTGAGTTAGATAAAGGTCTCTTCAAAAATTAAAAGTACTGCATAAAAACCAATTTGGATCAGATTGACCTATATGATATAGTACTTAGATGCAGACTAAATTCTGCTTACATATTAAAAACATGCATTTTAAATACTCATTTCTGCAAATTTCAATTTAATCTATTCAAAAAAAAGAGTTTAAAGATAGAAAACTAAGACAAAATTATTAAATTTGCCTGGATATTTATAATTTTCAGAAATTCTATATTTCATCGGTTTAGATATATGCAGATATCAACGAAAAGTTTTTTTAATTTACTGTTCAATTTTCAAGAAATATTTTCAATCCCTGCTACAGATAGGCAAATCAAGATCTTTGAACGATAGTTGTAGTTAGACTGAGGAATATATATAATATTTTTATATATGGTAATATCCTCTGCAAGGTTACATAACAATGAGATGCGATTAGTGTATCATAAATGGTTTAGTTTTCAACACAAGCAAGACAACAACACAACAACAAGAACAACAACGTTGGGTGGCAAGGAGGCAATTAGATATTAGGCTGCAACGATTTGCGGCTTTAAATTGGGCTTTGGCTGTCTGAATTAGAGCGTAGGCGGATTAGAGGTGTTTACACGGCAGCATATTGGAGTACATTTGGTAACTTGGCAACTCGTAACTTGGCAATGGGAACTCCTACCATGCGGCTGGATGCCGATGCCGCTGACCCGTGTGTTCTTCAGATTCGGTACGGGCACAATGAGCGGCTGGAATGGGGAGCCAGTGATGTGGCGCTCATTGAACGTAATGTTGACACTGTAGTCGCCCGCCTCCGTTGGCAGATAGGCCACGTTGCAGGTGCCATCTCCGTTGTCCCGGCAATTAATTGCCGCCTCGCACGGACCCTCAACGGTCACGCCCAGTCCACCTTGGCCCGCTCCCCGGGTATCGATCATAAACTCCGCCGGCTGACCAACAATACCCCGCTCCAAGCCCGGACCGTAAGCGTGCACTTTGTTTGAATCGCTGCCGGTCAAACACTGTAGGCGGAAGGGGCGTGGCGTAATCGGTGTGCCGCCAAAGCAAATGCTCAGCAGATATTCGCCCAACTGCGTGGGCGTAAAGTTGATCAGAAAACCCTCAGCAGTGGGTATAATGTGGGCCTTAACCCGATTGCCCGACGGACTGGTTATCGTCACAGCCAAATCCGCCTTGGGCAGACCGTGGGTGATAATGCGAAACTGCTGCAAACTGTTCAGGGGCGCGGCTTTTGTGGATGTGAATGTGAAATGACTTGGACTTAAGACCATGAATACAAAACTCACAATATGAACGAACACTCAGAGAAAAACGATAACGATAACGATAACGATTAATGACGATAACAGAATTGACTTAAATCTTTGAACTAATCAAGTTCTTGGTTTAAGATATATTTGAATATGTTTTTATCTGAGTGCATGTCTATCAAAGATCCTAAAATGGGCTTTTGTCACGTTAATCGTGTATGTAAATTGTACTTACTTGGCTCCAGGCCATCGACCTTGATCTTGGACACATCCACGGTCTGTTCGACGACCACCTTCTGTCCCAGGGGCACACGTTGACCGCCATAGGTCATGGTCGTGGTGTAGGCGCCCTTCATGGGTGGAATGACTTCGACCGAATACGTGCTGTCCTCGTTGTCAATGATGCGGCAGGGCACATCCAGCTTGGTGTCCTCGTGCACAACCTTCACCTTCAGCTCCGCTTCGCCAGCATCGCGTGCATCCACATTGAAATGGGTGGCCACATTGGGACGCACACCCGGCTGCAGCCAGGGTCCGAAACTTTGCACCTTAGACGCATCCACGGGCACGCCCACATAGATGCGATGCGGTGAATTTGGCGTGGAGACGCCACCATAATTGACTGCATAAAGTAATAATAGTTAAGGGTTAAGACCATTCCACATGGATATGCCACAGCTTGAACAGCCCAACTTACCTTCCACAGTGTGTGGCACGCCGGAAGTGGGCGTATAGCTGACCTTCTTGGTGCCATCGGGATTGTTCTTGATCTGCACGGGCAGCTTGTTGCCATAGACATCCTGAACGATAACATCGAGTGGGGCATTGCCCGCCTTGCTGGTGTCCACATCAAAGCTGGTCGATTGATTGATGGTCACGCCATTCTTGGCCAGACCCGGACCGCTGGCCTTAACCAGCTCCGGATGGAAATCGGTGCGTGGCAGTATTTGGGCAATGAACGGTGACTTGGGTATGTCCTCGTTGTCGCAGAGAATATGCACGGCATACTCACCGACGGCAGTTGGATGATATTTGACCAATGCGGATCCATCACCATTATCATGGCACTCGATCTCGGCTTGCGAGGGACCGGCCACAGTGAAGCCAAGTGCGCCCGTTTCGCCATTCGTCTCCACAACAAAGGCGGCCGGATAGCCAATGACGCCGCTGTTCAAACCTGGGCCGTAGGCAACAATGGAGGATTCCTTCTTGGGACCAACTTTCACATCGAACGGTGATTTGGGCACCTCCTGGCCGCTGAACGTGACCATGACCACATAGCGACCCTCCTTGGTCGGATAATAGTGGCACTCGTACGTGTTGCCATCGACCTTGGATTGCATGACATTCTGGTTCATGCCACCGGGTCCAATAACCCGCACCTCGGGCACACCCTCGCCGGCACCCTCGGTATGGATCTTAAAGTCCGCATCGTCACCAACACGCACCCCGGTCGCCTGCAGTCCCCGGCCGGAGACGCGCACCTTGCGCGCATCGGAGAGTGGGGCGACCTTAACGGGGAATGGACTATTCGGTATGGGTGTGCCGGCAAAGAAGACATTCACCGAGTGCAGACCCTGCTGGGCAGTAACATATTCGCAGCGCCAAGTATCATCCTCCAACTGACGCACTTTGGCCGCCACCGATGTCTTGTGATTGGCCGGATCAATGATGATCACCTCGGGTACACCGCGACCCGCATCCTTGGCGAGTATATCGAAGAAGGTGGGCTTCTTGACGGTCACACCGCTGGGTTGAATGCCCGGACCGGTTACCTTCACCTTCGATGCATCGCCGGCATGACCCTCGACCTTAACGGGGAACGGCGACTTGGGTATATCACGACCCGAGAACTTAACGGCCACCTTGAGATCACCCTCCTCCTTGGGTATATACGAAATGGTGTACGTGAGATTCTTGTCATTGTTGAAGCGTACATCAGCCTTCTCAACGACACCGTTGGGTCCCTCGATGTTCACATCGACAGCACCTAAACCAGAATCGAATTGCCTTGATTAATATTGAGAGTTAAGAGTTGTCATTGTACTGCTTACCTTTGCCAGCCGAGAAGGTCTCAACTGTAAAGTTGGCTGGCGCACCAACCACAGGACCAATGGGTTCAATGCCAGGACCATAAGCACGCACTCTGTGACAAATGATAATCAGTAAATTGTTAGCTTTTAGCTTAGCATTGAGTTAGCAGTCGAGCTACATTTTCAATCAATTATTTTTGATAAATCCAATTCTCGCAGCCAGCTGAGAAGTATGCAGCGCTTTTTAGAATTGCAACATTCAATTAGAGCAGCTAAAAATATGCAACGATTTTTTGGCAGCTTTCAAAAATTCAGTTTGCTTTTTAAGCGCAGTAAAATGCTTGCAGCTTAAATGTGGGCGTGGCAGCTCAGCAATGGCATTTCAACAAAATGGAGCAGAAAGCGCAAAGTATTTGTTGTAGTTAAACTTTTGAAAATATACATAGATAATTCATACATAGACACAGATATAGATAGATGCATTAAAATGGAAATGGGAAAGAAACCATGAAAACTAGGATTTTATAGAACAATCAAGTTATTCTAAACTTAATTGGAGAAATCGCAATGTTTTATAAAATAAAGAACGAGAACATAAAACTGAAAATCATTTGGTTTTCTAAAGAAACGAGTCCTATTTGCCGAAACACATCCTTTTCTAGAGCATTGCATACATTGATGGGCTCAAAGAATGACGTCAAAAGTTTGCAAATGAACTTGGCAAAAATAGAAACATGATACGAAAATAAATTGCCCATAGTGCTAATAGCTTGGCAGTAAAATACGCTAATGAAGCCGCACAAAGCGAATAAGAATTTTGCTATGCACAAGAGCCGAGAGCCAAGCTGGAACAGCAACAAGAACAACAAGAAAAGCAGCAGGCAGCCAGAAGCCAGACACAGCGATGCCAACCAGCGTGTTGAGAAGTATCCATTAGATACACGCGCTCAAGGCTAGGCGCAACGCAAAGCCGCAGATAACAAAAAAAAAAAAAAAAAAAAGAGATACAAAAATAAAACTGGTAGAACATTTAAATCATGTGAAGCCGTCGCACACAGATACAAAAGGCCGTAAAGTGGCCAACGAGAAAAACGAATACATATCAAAAGACGTAAGCCCAAAAGAAACGATCGTCAAAAAAAAAAACAAAAAAAAAAACAGAAAAAAAAAAAAGAAAAAACCAAAACAAAAAGAAGAAGCATGCCGAGAACTTACCGCGGCGGAGGAATGCTGAGTTTTGCAATAATCAGACATATACATATATATATATATATATATATATATAGATATACATATACATATAAATATATATAAATATATATATATATATATATATATATATATATATATATATTATAGGTGAGCAGGTAGAGTAGTATTGGGAAAACAATAAGAAGAAAAAAAAAGAGAACAATATTCAATAAGTTAAAAGTTTGCCCAGTTATGCATAAATACAATACAAAAACAATATGTATTTAGAATTTGGAGAAACAGTAAAACAGAGCAAGAGAGATAGAGAGAAAGAGAGAGAGAGATAAAGAGAGAGAGAGAGAGAGAGAGAGATAAAGAGAGAGAGAGAGAGAGAGAGGAACAAGATTAGAATATCAGTTTGGTATGCCTGGGTTTTAATCAAAAATGCATTGCACGCTTAAAATGAAATTTGAAAGTCGAAGAAAATTGAATTGAGAACAGAGTTGGATATATTACGTGCCACAGTTGCAAAATTATCTCAAGATGCAGCTTACTCTTGTAAACAAAACTAAAATACCCCTAAACGCTTAAACAAGTGTCTGCTTACCTGTTGGGATTCGTCTTGGGACGCAGTGGGGCACCGGTCTTTAGCTTGGAGTTGGGATATTGCGACAAGTATGTCATCATCGATTGCTCATCCACGTTGGGATTGACAAGCTCCTCGGGCTTGATCAATTGACGCACATTCAACCAATCATCGGCGAGACCCATGGCCTCCGAAGCATTCTGGACGGCATCCTTGGGGTCCCACATCTCCCAGTCGGGGCACAGGCCAGGCGCACAGGCATCGACCAAAGCACCCACAGCCTTGCCTGTGGTCCAGTCGTTGGTGAAATTATTAATTGGCATATCGGGTATCCTGGCGTGTATCCAATTCAACAGACTGCAAACAGACACACACACAAAGTGAGCAACATGAGCAACATGATCATAACTTAGTTGGAGAGATTAAAGATAACTTACCGCTGCTTGGGCGTATGGCCCGATCCATTCAACTGCTTCTCATCCTCGCCATCCCACATGGGCATCGAGATCGAGTAGTGCAGAATGAGCGTCCATATCAAGCCCAGTATCAGCTTCAGCTTGCAGTCGACAATATCCGAAGAGTCTGCAATTTAAAAACGACATAAATCATCTGTTAGACTGAGAGAAAAATTGCACAATTAAAATTTAATATAAATACTCTACTCTCAATACTTGTTTAATTTCTCACTGTGTAAAGCTGTTAATTCAAGTCCGACCGCAAATAGAATGGTCAAGATCACCGTTACGAAAGCTTAATAAATCTATAAATTACAACTGTGGCCAATTGAAACTGCAACTTGCAACAGCAGCAACAGCAGCAGCAACAGCAGCAGCATCCGCAGGCAGCAGCAGGCAGCAACATTCCCCATCTGTCAATGCCAACACTGCTTTTGCTAACTTGTTGCATGGACCACAAGCTGCCAATTATGTGCAAAGGCATTTGCTAACTGTTACAACAACTTGCTACAACATGTTGCTTCTATTTAGAGAGCCACGGTCACCACAACCATTCAGTTAGTGTGTGTTTTGGCCTGGTCAAGTTCAGGGCTGATTTGTGCACGCGACCAACTCGTCGGGCCGGTTCACAGCTCTGGCTCTTGTCGTCAACAGACATCTCATTTTGTTATGATAATCATTTTCAAATCGAGCTGTATTTCATTATATGAGTTTAATGAACTAAGAAGATGCCAAAATGACAATTTGATAAGCTTAACTATTGTTTTTTTTTTTTTTCTTTTTGGCAGCGAGCAAAGTGAAAGGTTCTCTACACACACTGATCTGATACTGGCCTGGAAGATTACCCAACAACTGAACAAATTAGCTGCTCCCCAACCAAGTGGAAAACTTGTCAAGTCCATCGCTCTTTTATGGCCAGCATAAAAACTATCAATGGAAATGCGGGCCTAAAAACCAGCCACGCATTGCAGAAAAATCATCAGCGTTGTTGTTAACGTTGTGAAATGCGTTTTATCGTATGTACAGTGAAAGTTTAGCGAAACTTTAACTTGTTCGCCCTGGTCACTGATTGTAACCAAATACAGCATTCAAGTGCACAAATACAAATTTAGATTTGCATATACGAACACAGTTGCATGCCACATTCAAATTCTAAGTGACGACAGTCGGGCACTTAATCTTTATACGCAATGCAGTGTTTGCAGTGCTTTATACACTGTAATAAAGCTGTAGTCATATTTGAAGAAAAACGCTATTTAAAAATTCCATTCATAATCTTGAACAACTTGCTTTTTTCCTTTGACTACATTTGACTATATTTTTGTTTAATCATATTCGCATTTTCACTGGCAAATATTTCGATATTTTCCTTCATTCATTAAATGTTCTTTACAGAATCTATATAATTTGTTGCTGAAGTTATTGTGTAAGAAGTAGTTGTAAATATTTTCAATATAACTACCACAGGGGTTTATTAAATTAAATTTTATGTAATTAATCAAAAATAAGAGCAAATCAATACAGTGTTAAAAAAGAGTTTTTAAGAGTCGAATAACAAACATAAAAGCATATTGATAAACACATTTATATTTGGTTAAATCATTGTCTAAGATTTATTTTTAAATATTTAAAAGTATGTATCAAAAATAATTAATATATAATTTTATATTTCTTTAACTATCTCACAAATCTAATTTAAAACGAATAATAAACATCGAAGAAAATTTACAAACTAATCTCTTTCATATAGGTTGAGGATAGATGAAGAGAACAAATATATGTAAATCCCATCAAATCTTACTGTAGAATATCTGCTCGTCTATCATATTAAACTCGAGCATATCTATTTGTTTGTGTGGTCTTTTTGGGTGCTTTCTAGTAGAACGCTTATGCCGCTGCTTTGGCTGCTCAACGAGCCATTAAACCATTTACTGATACAGCTCCTCCATAAACAAACACACACACACATAGACACACACAGACACACATACATTAATTAACATGTGTGTGTGCAGTCGCTTTTCTTGTTATGGCAAACACTCGGACGCGTTTTTGCCTCGATGCTTAGACGACGACACATTTTGCAAAATTTGCAATTTGGCATTGTTTACTTTAAGCCACTTGCGCAGAGAGTGGAGACAGAAACATATTGCGAGAGAGGGGGGAGAGAGAGATAGAGAGAGAAGATAACCGGCTAGTCAAAAGCCGTCAAATTGTCAGAGCTGTGGCTATTTTGACGCACAACTCAATGGCCATTTAAACTGTTGGCATTACAAATGTATTACCATGGCTTTTATTTTATGCCTGGTCTGTCTTTCTTGCTCCACAGAGACTTTGTCGCCTTGGCATCCAGCTTCAGTCAAAAGAAAGTAGCAATTAAAACGGCTCATTGCAAAAAAAAAATAAATAAATAAATAAAAATAAATAAATAAAAACCATTGCCAATAAGAGATGGAAGAGACAGATGATTTGGCTAATTAGGCAGGCCAGTTGTGTGGCTGGCATGCTTCGATCTGAAGAGAATGTCTAACTGTGCTCTGCACAACTGGAACGAACATCTCCTCCTCGTGTCAACTCAATGTTTTGTTTGTTCTTGGCCCCGACATGCGATAGAATGCCAGTTAACAATGTAGAAATATGCTAATACATGCCATTGAGTATGCCATAACTGCGATAACCATCAGCTGCTGCCCCACCTCCTCATCCTACTCCTCCTCCAGCTAATGTATATTAGCCATGCTTTTCCCGTTCCCAGTCCCCGGCAAGTCACGTCACTTAAGAGGTGCCCGGAGCCCGGAGCCCATACATATGCATAAGTGTGAACATATTTCAGCTAATCACGAGGCGGAAGAGTCAAGACCCTCAACTGTCTCTAGTCTCTAGACACAGGGCAAGTGCATGCACCGCCTTTAGGTGGCAGCCCAACCCTAGCTTTATGATCTGCAGCGACTTCATGCAACTTTGTTGCAACATCATGTAAATCTACATAAGTGCTTGATACGATCCACAGATATTTTGACAGCACAATGTCAAAATTCCCCAACCGGACTCCCGGACTCTGGCAATCATGTAGCGTTCATTAGCTGCTTGGATAAGTGCTATAGAAGAGAGAACTCGACTAGTAGATACCCTATACACAATTTGTTAGCTTAATGTTTTTATATTTACGGTAGAAAACATAACACCGAAAATCACAATCTGTTATGGTTTTTTTTTCACAAGAATCAAATAAAATTATAATCTGTCTTTGTAAGGTTTTTTTTTTTTAATAATAAACCTTTTAGCGCAGCTCTAATCTTTACCTAACGATAAGGTTGTTATCGATATTTTGGAGCTTTTTATGCAAATAAATTGGTTTCATTCCAGAGTTGAGTCGCTAAAATAAAATAGCACTGTAATTAAATAAATTACCTCTGCTTTATGAACGGATGCTCATGACATTCCCAAACGACAGATGAAAGATCCTCAATCATTGCATAATAAGAAAATTAAGCCCATCCCATCAATTTTATTGAATATGCGTGCTTAATCGTTTTATATGCCCTATACAAACATAAGATACTCTTTCACCACACAGAATATTAAAGCAAATCTCAGACAACTAATACAGAAGGCCTTACTAAGCTCTACGCGGATTATAAAGCTACTTTTTCCTGGTATGCATTTGGCATAGCTCCAAGTAAGATTTCCAGTTTCTAATCAAGTAAGATAACTGCAAACTGATTTTACATATTTTTTAAGCAATTATAATGATACATTAGCCAAAGAACATTTGCTCAAGATTATTATAGATTATGAACGCAATTTCTTGTTGTATTCTGCAGAAAACGCTTTATCTGCTCAAACCACGAAATTTGTAGAAATCACTTTAATCTTCTTCATAGACGAGTTTAGCTGGTATGCCGCACGATGACATGGCATATTTAAGTAGTCGTATCAAAAGCAAAGGAAATCAACTCCAAGAATTATGATGTTAAGCGCACAACTGCAGAAAACTACTTAATTTACACAGATAAACAACAACAAGAACAACTACAATAACAACAAACAGAGATTGTACAAGTTGGCAAGTCCAAGACTCAGCTGGAGTCGGAATTGGAGTCTTTTGATGATGAATGGGGCCGTGGCCAAACTGGCTGGGTCACAGTCGTCAGACACGTTCTGGCGTGGCACGCGGCATACCACAGCAGCTGCAGCAAAGACAGACTCAGAGACAGAGACAGAGACAGACATAGAGACAGAGAGAGAGACAGAGAGCGACACGGAAACCGGAGATATCTAATACGCTGTGATTTTTCCGACAATTTTTCCAACGGCACTGCCGGTGAAAAACCAGTTATTTGGCCTAATCATGTAGACGTCGCAGATCGGCTTAGAAGCCTAGAGGCGCGTTCGCGTCGCTAATTTAATTAGAGGCAGGGCAAACGGAGCCCACTTTGCGACGGATTCCAATCGCATATTGCTTAGAAAGTTAAGAGACTACACTCAGAAAAACTTCCACAGTTTTCTCTTTAACACCCAATTTGCAATTCTTTAAAATAATTCATGCTTTCCAAAATCGACCTTTGAAATTTCAGTCATATGAATTGAAGGAAAATACACAATTAATTAAAAAGTAGTCATTAAAATCATTCTCAGGGTGAAACGAATTTAAGTTCTGGTTTAAGTATGCCAAGTTCCGGTAAAGAGTTTATTTTTTTTGCTAACTATTTTAAGTACTCGGTTCCGCATTGAAACCACACAGTTCTGGTATGTTCAAGAGAAGAGTTTGGTTCTAATTAGTTAATTACGCTTGACAGTTCCGATACAGGTGCGAAATGTTCTAGCTCTTAGTTAAATTATTGATTTTAAGTTGATTTAGTTTAAGTCAAAGATCAGTACGGTTTTTCCAACTTGAATAATAAATAAGCATGTTTTAAGAACGGTTTTAAAAGTAGAACAGTTGTTCTTAGCCTTTCTCGGAACAGTCTTAAAATTTAAAGCGATTTTTATTCTCTAGTCTATGATTTACGACCCCGACTGACAACATTCTCCAATTATTTCTCCAAGTGCAATTTTACCACCAGCTAACGACAATCAACGCAATCGCAACTTTGAGCCGGTCTCAGCTCAATTTTGGACAGCTTTTGGCGTGGGCCACGAAAGGCATTCGTTCAACTTGTGGCACACATTTTGTTATTGTGGCATTTCTCTCAAGCATTGTATTTTTTCATTGTCGCGCACTTGTTTATTTTTTTCTTTTTTTCTTTTGGGGTTAATTGAACCGGGTCGCCGTTTCTCACTAACGGCCTCTTGCTAATTTGAATAAGTCACTAAATTGAGAGACGGAGAGAAGAGATCCCAAGGCGATTGCCCGATTGCTCAGTGGCACAATAAAGCGAATAAGCCTTAATCTAATCACAATTGTAAAATTGTATTATGACCATGATGATACAGAGTGCTTAGATTGTCAAGAGTATTTATTTATTCATTTCTATTTTAAGTGATGCCATGCATCACAACCGTGACGCGGCATCGTTCCAATTGATTGCGTCATGTTAACAACATATCATATGCCATGATTAATACGTGCTCAATGCACTTCACCATCATTAAATAATTTTCGAGTCTTGGTCAGCAAAAATTCAACGGAAATTAACTGATAATGTGGGTTGCATACACATTGTCAACTATTTCGAAAACTGATTCATCTACGTGAGTTTGGCTCAAGCAAATATATTGCTTAAAAAAATAAGAACTACTACAACTCAACACAACGGAAACCACAAACATAATCTTGTTTGTTAAGCAGGAAGAAACAAAAAACAGAAGCTGAATATAAATAACTATTTAAAAACGAAATTTTAATGCTCTAAAAATAATCTATAATCAATTTAGGTAAAACCACAATTAACAAGTTTTTCTGGAAAGAAAAAGTTGTGCTTAACGAGCCGAAAATCGAACACTGTCAATGATAAACTGAAACTTTCTTAAAATTCTTGCACTGCATAAAAATTAAATTTTTTACATATTCCTTTCTTTATAATAAATTAATATTGATCAATATCAATATCAAATTTTGCAAGCAAATGATAAAGAAAAATACATCAAACTTTGCGATTATCATAAAATACCCTGTCGAAAAATCGTAAAAATGTTATAAAAAGCACAAAAATAATAGTTACTATCGTTGGTCTTAATCATTTTTGAGCTTTTCCAGAAATAGCTAAATTAAAAAGTGAGTAAATATTTATTTAGTAAATATTAAATGACGGGAAGCGCACATGATAAGATTATAAGATGAATCGCCTCCATTCGAGTTATACCCAAAATATAAAAACGGAATTTACTGTAAAAATTATTGTTCTTTTATGATTTGCGCCAATAAAAATTTCAAATATTTGAAATGATTATTAACAAGCAATCAAAAATAAGTGAAATTGGGTCAGATGAAACATGAAGCCTCAATAAAAATAAAATGTGGCTAACTGTTTGACTCATCTATAGCAAACCAAGGGCTTCATCTTCATATGGCATCATCATCAATAACAATCAATTGGCTGTGACAAATTGAACTAGACAACTGCGAGTTCCTATAACTAAAATCAGTAAAATGAAAATGAAAAATTTCCAAGCAAGAGTGCTCTAGTCGTGAGAGCTCGTCCGTGAACCCAAATCATTACCTTTGATAAGTCGTGCTCGTCTTAGAACAAGACTCCGACGTCCTCCGATTCCCCCGGTGTTTCTTAACCGATATTTAACAAGTTGTTACACATAGATACATCGATTAGAAAGACAAATCTTAAAAATGCTGGTTTTTAGTGCTATTGGAAATCAGTCTGAATCAATGTTTCGGAATGTTATCGATAAAGTGAACGTGATTTGCCTGTGATATACAAGAACTTACTCAAAATTCTCAGTCTCTAATTCAGAAATTCTCTGAAATCGTTGGATCACACAGGCAAAGAGATTGACATGGTTAGATCGACTCGTTTGTTGATGCTTATCCAGAATTTATATATACCTTGTGCGGCTACAGCTGCCACATACATACTTTTGCAGAACTTTATACCCTTTTCAGATTTTGTCAATGCGTTCAGGCTACGAAAATGAAACACAAACCCAAAATGTACTTATTTTGCAGTGCAAACTTCTCCATAAAAAGCCACAGATGATGTCATTGAGTAAACTGAGCGACTTTTATATGTATCCCCACACGTATTAGGCTTGTTTCTCTTTGCTTAGTATTTTTTCTTTACTCTTTTTGCATTTTATTGCGCGCGACTGTTTTAATCATTTTTTCTTCTTGTTTTTTATTTATTTTTTTGGTAGATTTTTAACGCAAACATTTTTGAGATACGAGTGACGCGAAGCCTTCTACAAATTTGTTGCTAGGGTCTTGGTGTAGATACACACATATATATATATATATATAACTCCATACGACTTTTGCGCTAATTCAATTGACAGCACAAAAGAGCTACAAAAAATATAAAAAAAAGCAGAGAAATGAATTTTGACAGTGGAGTTGAGTTGAATTTTGGGAAACCAGTTCGCAGATCGGTTTCAATGTTCCCAAAGTTTCGAAAAGCGATTTTCTCTCTGTCTCTTAATTTGTAGAGGAAAAGGTGCGTCTTAAATCAACATTAAATTCATTAACTGTATTAATGCAATCAAATTCAATTGGCTCATTGAGCCAAATATATAAAACTGTGATGTGTTTTCTCTTTAAGGGGCAGCAAATGACAAATACGAGAGATATGTCTGTCATAGCTGCAAGTTGCTGCTGATGTAAAAGTCAGTAAATGATTCACTTGATTATGAATGAATAACTGAATTTATTGAATAGGATTGTTATTGGCCATCTAAATGACTAACAGGTTGCTTAAAAATTATATTTTATATTGAAAAATGATTCATAACATGCATTAATTTTGCCAACTGCCACAAACCTTTTTTTTTTTGCCAGATGTTAATCAAAGAATTCGGCAAAAGATATGTCAGCTCAATGCGCAATTTGATAAGTCGAAAGTTTTGACTTATTATAAATTCTCTCTAAATTATTTGCAAAATGTACTTTGCCTTGCTACGTATCTCTAATCGATTCTCTAAATTTGGTATAACTCGTTAAACTGGCATTGTTTCTACCCGCTTTTGTTGTTGATAACAGCAGCAGGCAGCCCTAAAAAATATGTCGGTTAAAAACACATAAATGTTAACATTGTTTACGTAGCTGTCAATTATTGACAAACTGGTTTTTTGTGTACACAAGTATATGGAATACGCATACACACTTATATATACATATATATTTATATATATATATATATATATATTTATATAAATATACAAGTACCTACTGAACTATTTGCTCTCTTATCTGAATGGAATTACACTGAATATAGGCCCAGTGAACTGAAGCAACTCGTCGAGATTGACAAACAAACTTGCGGCTCATCAATTGCGTCATGGATCGCCCATTAAATATGAACTACACTACACAGAGAGAAAATGTTGCACTGAAATTAAGCTGAATAAACCCAAAGCAAGTATTCGTAATTGAAATAAAACATACTTGATACAAAAGATATATTTAAATATACAATTAGTATCATGCTACCCAAGGTTTTTATTGGCTAAGTCGAGTCGTTTATTGATGCTGATCAAGAATATATATAATTTAAGGCGTCGAGGATGCTTTCTTCTGCTTCTTACATAATTTTGCACAATTTCATTATACCCATTTGACTCATTTTCAATGTTCTACCCTGAAAATATCGTTAAAAAAGTGGCAGTGTTTAATTACTAGAAATAAGTGAAAACCACCTAATGAGTTACAAAAGCGGCCTTTTATGTTAATTTTCGCGCTGTGCACGAGAGTTAATAGACATAATCTACATATGGTATACATATGGTATATATAGTATGTCTGACTGAGTGATCTAATGAAAATGTTGAGCTTAGGTTTCGAGTCGGGACTGAGTCATCAAAGAACCTAGGCTGACATATCACATGCTCAATACTTTTAATCAATGCAAATTAGCGTGATATCAAACATATTGTTCAGAACGCATCAAGCTCGTGATAAGTTAAGGTCTCATCTACCACAGTGAAGCCGCATCTAATGAAACTAACCTTCAACACTGTCCACGCTTCGTTGCTGTTCTTTTGTGGGAAAACTCTGGCCATCAAAATTGATCGCTGTGAGTGTTAAAACATTCATTAGTATATATGAGTACTTTAACTGACATCAGACACACTCATACTCACACACACTTACATATACATATGAGTATAATGAAAAACAAAAAACGTGTTCGCATCGTGCAACAACTGCAAATTTATTGTCAAGTGAGTACTGATCTTAAATTATGCATTCAAATACAAATGAAAGTAAAACTCGCATTGAAACCTGGCGCTATACAAATTGATATATATATATATATATAAAATAACCGACTGCTGGGCCCCTAAACAACATATGACATCATTTTTTTTTAGTCAAACAGCGAGGCTACAACAAAATACCAAACAAATGAGAAAAATAACATAATAAAATACAATTTGTTTGGAATGCAATGGAGGAGTTGTTAGCTAACTCGAGGAATTATTTCTGCTTTTTTTCTTTGGCTTCCTCGCTGATAATACAATTATCGCCTATTATGCAATTTGCGTGAAAATATTTGAGACTTTATTTTCCAGCTACCACACGTAAGGTAATTTGCAAATTGAAGATGACTCATTGGCCCAAAGAAAACGTGACTTTGGATCGCACTTCGTTTTGCTTTGCCAATATGTGACCACAAAAGATACTGTATGCATTGTATATCCGTTAGGAACCCAACCCATTTCAAAAGCTAATCCGAAATTCGCAGAAACCAAACATCTTTAACTCGAACCCACATCTACCGAGTGACAGCGTTTGAATTTTGGTATTTCTTAGATAGATTGAATTAAGATTTAAGGTCACTTACCAATATTAACAATTTTGATGCCCTCATCCTGAAGGAATTTCAGGGCAACCGATACGTTCTCCAATTTCTGGCTACGGAATGTTGGACGTTTATTGTATTTGGGCAGACGCTTCTGTGAGAGCACCTCGATGAGGGCAATCAGACGCAGTCCATCGGACAGATCCGTTTCCAGATTGTTGATGGAACGATCGATGGTCTTCAGATGCTCATTGGCCCATCGTGTGAACGTGTTCTGTTGAATTTTCTTCCATTGCGCATCCTCGGCTAAATCCCGTTCGGCCTCCATATCTTCGTCAAAGTTCTCGTCGTACTCTTCCGACTGCTGATGTTGCTGTTGTTGCTGCTGCTGCTGTTGGTAATATTCGTTAGTTGTTGATTGGCAACAAGTGGGGCAGGATATGAAAATGGAAATGTGGACAGATGGGACAGATGGACACGTGGACCACATGGACATGTGTGAGATGACATGACAGTTCAGTGTGGGTGGCTGGGGCTTTTTAACTACGAAAACCACTTAATGCCATATGCAATAAATGGAAGCAAGTAAAACTGCGCTCGACTAGCAAGTACCCTGTACCCAAGCCTAACAAATTATTTAATATTCGTGAGTTATTAATTGGAATTTTTATTTGAAAACTTGTAGCTTACAAATATCAAAATCCATTGAAATATTTTGAAAAAGGTGTTTATTCTCTTGTGAAGAGTTTAGGAGAGAAAAATAAATACAAAAAAACAAACAGAAATATCTGTAAAATGCATTTTTTTTCTCATTTTCAGAGTTTTAAAGGGAGGAAAAAAAAGTAAAAACTAGGGAAATAGGAACTAGGGAACACATAAAACGAACCCAAAGTTACAGTATTATATATATATAACATGGATTAATAAAAATCTCGAAATTTTAATCAATTGCTTTGAAATTAAACAGACAATAAAATGAAATTGATGCTGATCGAGACTATTTGGATGTGGAGACAGGGTATTTACAAAATAAAGTTCTGCCTGACAGTGCCAACAATTGAGCGTGGCAACTTGTATTCGATACAAGCTTTGGGCGTGGCATTGGACACATAGCAACGCAGGCATGTTCCACTTTTATACACACACACTCACACATACACACACACACACACTCAAAGAGCAAAGTTGGAGTGTGCATTGGGACAACTTTCCACACACACAAACGCATCTTCAGGCAGGCCACACTGGCTTATACAAATAGAGTCGCCACGAAATTTGCCTACGCTAGCTCTAAAGCATTTCCAACTGGAAAACATAACAAAATTCAATGTGGCAAATAATACACTTTTTTTAATCGCAAAGATTCTAAAAAGAAGAACACACAACAAAAGAGAAGCTCGCCAACTGCAAAGGAGTTGAATGCGAAGCAAAAAGTGAGAAAAAAAGAAAGATTCGCGTGCCAGTGCCACAAAAGTTTGACCGAATATATATACATATATATAATGCATATATACATATATATATATATATATATATATATATATGGATATATAGTTGTATAGATGTGTGTTTGATTCTGTCTGCGTTTGTTGGTGTGCGTGAGTGTTTTGATTCTGTGTTGTCGTCTGGCCGGCAACCAAAATAGAGTAGGTAGCCAGCAGTGCTGGCCTTCTGGCTATTTAATAGCTGACTCTAGCTCTTTGATAAGCAAAAATGATGAATATGAGAACAAAAACTTAAGAACCAATCGTTGGCCAGCAGAGCATATTGAAGTCAGAATCAATACTCTGAATACAAGTTTCTGATTACAACTATTTAGCGGCTAGTTATTGTTTTTTTTTTTTTAACTTTTTATGCTGTCAACACTTATTAGCCGGCAATCCAATGCAAAAGGGCTGACAGAAGAAGAAAGTGGAGCGACGGCGAGAGCGCGGAGAGAGGACAACTTAATTCGTCGCAACGCTCGTTGCGCAGCGTGTGAAGTTCATTAACATTTTCATTAATTCGAAATTGCGAAATGTTCGCACAATTTGAAAGAAATGTTGCAATTAAAAAACAAGGTCTCCTTTACCAAAAAACATTAAAAAAATGCTAAAGCAAAGCTGAAAAGGCGACTCCAATGGAAGCCCAAGCACACACGCACACACACACACACACACACCTGCACTTGTTGATTGAGTTCGCTGTTGTTGTTGGAGTTGCTGTTGTAGTTGCTTGTTGGCTGCTGGGCGTAAAAACTTAAATTGCTAAAATTGTTGTTGTTGTAATTTGTATAAGCACACGCGACGTTGTTGTTGTTGCTCTGCGGCTGTATATTTGGCGGGTTCTTTCTGTAGTTGTTGTGGTTTAGAAACAATGTCGCCTGCGTCTGCTTTTGACTGTTGTTGTTGGTGCTGGTGCTGTTGCTGTTGCCGTTTGTATAATTCGCGTTTTGTTGTTGACTGATATTTGTTGGGTTTCTTTGCCGCTCGTCGCCGACAGCTGCGTCGTTACTGCTGAGCGTACCGCCGTTAACTAAAACCAACTGCTGCTGATCGCTATACATTTTGATGGCCGGTTTCCCTGTGGTTGTCTCTGCTAGTAAAGTTTTTGTTGCTGTTGGATCTCCCACTGTTGATCAGAGAGCGGCGCTATCACGCTTTTGCTTCTTACTTGTTTTTGTTTATCGATGTATTGCTCTCTCTCTCTCTCACTCACTCTCTCTCTCTCTCTCTCTCTCTCCCTCAGGCGAGCGCTCTCTTGAATGGTCGTTCGCTCGTTGTTTCTGCTGCACTCGATCACTCTCTTTCTCTCTCGTTCTGTCCGTTGCTTACAAAAAATTCCTTTGCTTTGGCGCTCTTGCTTACACTCTCTCAGCTGCGCGCATTTTACACTCTGTGCAATAAGTAAACGTTCATTTAGCATTTTATAGCATCAAAAAATATTTAGAATTTATTTGTATGTATTTTATTTGTTGTGTGTATATAACATATATATATTTTTGTACACATATAAGTGTGTAACAGTTTGCTTAATTTGAGCGACTTTATTGTCATGTTAAGTAATAAGTTTAAAGTAAATTGCCGATTCTAAGTAATTAAGTTGTAAATAGCGAGAATAATTCAATAGAATATGCTTTAAGCCCCCTCTATAATGTATTCTGGAAACAGCCCTGATACACAAACAAACATTGCGATGACCGGTTTGTTTTTTTTTGCCTTTGTCTTTTTTGTTGATTTGCTTACCGGTCTTTTGCTTGCATTCCCACTTCTTCTCACGCTCTTTTTATCCCTCTCTCGCTCGCTCTCTCTTTTCCATTCTGCACTCTCTGGCATCGCCTTCAAAAATTCTTGACCCTCTGCCACTCACGCTCTCAGTGCCATTTACACTCTGCCCAAAACGTTGGTATGCGTGCATTATAATTAAAGTATTTTATTCTCTTGCTGAATTTGTTATAAATACATAAACAAAATAACATATATTCTGCTGCGTACGAAAAAATAACACCAAAACAAGAGCAATTTTTTTAATAATTGAGTTATTTAAATTTGAATTGATAACAGTGCTTTTTTCTCTTGAATACTGCTTATAAGCGCGATATTTAGTACAGACATTAAATAATATTTATACATATTTTATATGACTGACTCCGGCTTAATAATTTACAACTTCGCCTCAAAGTATGCAATTTATTTGGCAATAAACTGAAGGGGCTCAAATGAAGGTTATATATTTGATAAAGAATTCTTATTCCCTTTATACCATTTATGATATCGAATATAAATATGGATTTGCCTACATCATTTAAGTGATGAGTCAAAAGTAATCAGTTAGCAATTCGAGGAAGGCTCACAAAATAAATGTGGCTAAACTCTTAAATCAAAGCTTCACATTGTTTTTAAATAATAAAAATAATACATATATTTTTATGAATCATTGAACAATGTTAAACGGCATAACTTTAATTTATGCCTCAAACGTTTCTTTCCGAAAGCTTCGTTGATTCCACGTCTGCTAAAGTCTCACAGTTTTAAAGATAACAGAAAATTCCTTATATTCGGTATGCAATTGAATATGATTCATGCACTCAAACACTCTAAATAAAAACAAATAAATGTAGTCAAATATTTGGCATACTTGCGAATTTTGCTTTTGGCAATCACCTTCTTAGGGAGAGACAGAGAGGCAGAGAGAGGGAGAGAGAGAGAGAGGCATACACAAATGCAAGCTGACATTTGAATGAGCGAAGCAAATGTGACCTTCTCAATATGGTTAGGAATTGTTAATTTTAGCCAAATTAGTCAAATCGTAGCAGCAACTTGAATACTGATCAGCTGATCGGTTGATCAGTTGATGAAAAGTTGAATTGATCTGCCTCACAGAAATCCTTCGATGCTCGTTGCCACAAGGGAGTGCCAATTTGGGTGACCATTTTAAGCAGTCGACTCAACTGACTGACCTTAAATTGCCAGCAACAAATACACTTAGAGAAAAACTAAGTTCAATGTTGGCATGGCAACGACAAATTGCTTTTCAAGATTTCTCTTTTGAATTTTTAGATTATTGGGAAGAATTCACTTAGTCAATCACCGAAAAACCTTAAAAAAAATATGGCAACAATAATCAAAACCATACAAATAATAAACAATTTTTCTCCAAGTGTTGCTAAGTAGCTAACAACTTGTCCTCATATGGAAATCTAAAACAGTCGCCTCGTACCAAAAATGGTGCCAACAAATACAATGTGGAAAACGTGAGGCGCCACTTGCGTCGACTTTTCTCGGAGGTGGGTAGGATAGTGGTGGGGGGGTTCAACATGAATCAGCGCACGTAGTGTAATGAAATGCTAAATAAATTTGCACTTCCATTTTAATTAATTTGAATTTATGTGCAACTAAATTACACATCACAAAAACAGCCAACAACAATTTTTACAATCTCTCTCTAAAAATAAATAATTGACAAAATATTTTGGTTGTTTTTATATGAAAAGGTAATGTAAGCCAGATGTCCTCCAATTTAGCTAGATGCATAAGAATATATGGAAAATAGTGAAGCAGATGACGAAATTGTGGATCCGTTTATAGAGAAAAAAATTACAAGCCACTGAACTGGTTAAAGAACCTTGAATCAAATTGATTGACTTCTTTTTTCATAGAATGATTTTTAATGTGATTAATATTCTTCAGTTAAAAATATTGCAATAACTTTGCTTTTGCATTGTTTTCCTCTGTGTGTAGGACAGGTAATATAGATGACGAAGTTTATGTTTTATTCGACAGTTGGAAAAAAAAAACCAACTCACTTTGCGTGATGCCATTTTGAGCGTTTTTGTCTATTTTTGAATGTTTGCAAGTGAATAATACTTTTTTGTTATATTTTTGTTGATTATAATACTGATCACTAATCACCACAATGCCTCGGTCTGGGCTAAACACGTTTTCAACACACACACACAGCTGATTTGTATATCCGTATATATATATATATATATATATATTTTATGAGCTGCGCGCTTTGTTTATTTATTTGTTGTACTTTTGATTATTCACTTGGGGACTTGACTTTGGGGTCTGCATTGGGAAACTAGTATGCGTTTTTCTTGTTCTTCTTCTTTTTATTTGTCACCGCCTTCGCTTTGTTGTAATAATAATAATAATGTTCATGTTCTGATCGTCGCAGTTTCTCAGTTCGACTGAGTTGTGTTCGCCTCCTTGCTCAATGTTTTTATGTGCGGGGCACCAAATGCGCGCAGCTCTTCTTCTTCATTCTTTCTGTTCGCTCAATTTCTTTATTATTATTTTTCAGAATTTCTACAGCCGCGGCCAAAAGCATAGCAACAGTTTTGAGTTGGGGGCCACAATAAAACTTACCAAATATGGACAAATATGTATGGACTTTTTTTATTTGAATTAACCCGGATTATTTTTATCTTATCAATTGAAGAAAATATTTGTGGCAGTTTTAGATCTATGGTTAATAGTTATAACTAACCCTATAGATATAAATGCAAAAAAAGAAGGTTTCCAATTCACAAACAGATCAAAAATTTAAATTTTGTACTCAAATTAAATCCATACTTTGTCAAAATCCATCCCAGTTTGAAATTCTAAGGCCGTTGCACGAATATTAACTCATATTACTCATATTAATAAAGCTATTATACCGAGAAACGGTAATACTGGAATTCATATTAATAACTATAATTTTGTACACGTATTGTTTTATATATTGTAATTATTTTTAAAACCAAGAATGATTTCTTATTATCAACAAATATTCAGAAATGGATTGTTATTAAAAACGTAATAATTTTCTTAAATATGTATTAAAATGTTTGACTAAAAAAGTTTCTAATAAATTGGCAACAGGTGTAGTGATCATCAATACATAATTTCTTCAATATTTGCTGTTTGTTTTGTGTTGTGTTTTGGTGTTTGCCAGCTGACGTCGGCGACAACGTCAACGTCAACTGCGACTGCGACTGCGACTACGACTGCGAATATGACTGTGACGCTTGCGGCACTCTTGATTCTGTTCAACGCCATTTGGCAGGAGCAGCAGCGATATTTGTTGGTCCCCCCCCCACTCTCTCTCTCTTTCTCTGGCACCTTCTCTCCCTACTCTCAACTTGATGATTTTTGCGCGCAGCTGATTTTGTTGTTCTTTTATAAATAGATATTTCTATGTATTATTGTTGTTGCGCTTGATTTTAAACAATTAAAAGCGGCAAGCATGCTTTTGATTGTTGCCAATTGCAAAAAATCGCACTCAAGTTCATATTGTCGTTTTGTCTACCTGCCCCATGTGCCAGTCAGCCTCCCCCACCCCTTTCACTCGTGACTCATTGCAACATAATTTGTACTTGAAATCCACAAAACAGATTGGCATTAAAGTATATAATAATAATTTTTATATTTTTTCAATTTTTTTCTTAATTTTAAATAGTTTAATTGAATTAAAAGAGATTAAATCTTTTCTTTTCATTCGGTTAGCAACGCGAATCATATATATAAAGAGGACAGGATCGCTGGCACTTCCCCCCTACCCCGTTGAATACCCCAAAAACCATTTGTATAACAACAAAGAAGATTAAGTCTTCATAAAAATATGAAATAAATTGTGTGAATGCTTTGCGGCATGTTTAGACTTAGTTGATGACTAGTGTTAGTCACTACATCATAACATTTCAATTTTATTTTGAGTCATCACTTTGCGAGTTTGCATTTTTATTATAATCATATTTCTTAGATAAAAGACTGCGTTTTAGCTAACATTCCACTATGTTCATTAATTATTTCAAATTACTTCAGATAAGAAAGTACAACTATTTATTTATATTATTTTTTTTTAGGTACTTTTTTTATCAAAGTAGAGCCTAATAACACGTATATATAGTGAGTTTAGTCGGAATATCTAATCACAAAAGAACTCATTCTTTCACCGATTTTTCAAAATTTTAGAAGTATTTTAACACGTAAAAGTGAAGAGAGCCAAACAAAACTTTTTACTTATTATGGCAACTGTATGATATAGCAATCCAATATGTATACTCTACTTCGCTTAGCAACCGACAACTTGACATGTCTATATCGTCTGGTCTGCTGATGCTGATCAAGAACATATATAATATTTATAATACTCATACCAACGGTAGTCCTACATTTTCATAATACTTAAAACATCATACTACGCATAACTGTTGTGGAAAACATTATAAATGTTAAGCCTAAAAATTCTATACATAAATTAATTTAAGAATTTTAGTTGCCAAATTTTTCGCGTGTTTCTAAATATTCAATTAAAAAAAATACAAATTTATATTAGTTATAATTTTGCATGCTACATTTTATGGCATGTCAGCAGCTGTTTATCATTTGATGTTTGCGCTGCGTATTCGGGCCAACTCGGCGTATACTAAATACTTAATATTCACGTGCAACCAATTGGCTTTAAGTGCCTCATTCCCGCCACATCTCCCTTGCTCTCTCCTCCCTCTCTCTCTCTCTCTTTCCCTCTCTCTCACTCTGTCTTGCTTTCTCTCGTCTGTACTTTTTCGATATATCCAAAAATAAAAACCATTTTATACTTCAACACAATTGCCAAACGTACAAATTTTCGCAATATTTCAAATCTCTGAATGTTTTAGTTCAACATAAATCGAACGGCTTTTTTTCAATGCTGGAAACTTGTTATACCCTTCCCAAGGTTATTATAATTTTGTCGTATATCTTATTGCAGACAATAAATATGTAGGAGTCAGCCAGATCGGATAACAATATAATATAGCTACAATAGGAGTGATCTGTTAAAAGATATGTTCTTGTATAAACAACTCTTGTTTACCAACTTATCCTGACCAAAGTCATCAGTTATATTATAATAGTTCGATAGAAAATCATCAATATCGGACTACTATAACATATAGCTTTCATAGGAAAGATAAGTCAATTTAATAAACTTATACTGATATTTAGTTATCGATAGTTTCACTATGGTCTGGAAGGGTGTGCAATCTTCAACATGCCCAAGATAGTTTTTTTTTCTCTTGTTGTGAATAAATTTCATGAATTTCATTCCAATTTGGCACTCAGGTGTGTCGAGGCGTGCAACTGTTTCTAAAATAAGATCAACTTCAACATCTGGCGCTACATTTCGGACAGACTGAAATCACTTTAGAAGTGTAGAAGTTCCAGTGCAGGGGCTTGTCAAAAATTGTTTCACAAAATGGCAAACAAGTATTTTTTCAACAAAATATATACTGAAAAGAAAATTGAGAATTTTCAATTTGCTTGCAAAATGCTATACACTTATATATATATGTACATATATATTTATATATATATACACACAGAAACACACACATATAGATCTTGGACGTATTATTCATCGCATTTTCTTCTAGTATATTTCTAGATTTTTGTCGCGTAATTTGCCTTGAAAAGGCAAAATCATTTCACATACTTAGACATTTTATGCATAATACTCGCTATGCACTAATTGAGTAATTATGTGGCGCTATATGTATGAGAAACACACGCGTCTATATAGTATATAGATGTATACGTATGCACGTTTTTGATTTTTTGTGGCCGCTCAAAAATGTTTTCCGATTGCGTATACGCCGCGTTTGCCTTGACGGAGATGAAAACACCGCACACTTCAAAGTCAGTGCAGCAACTGAAAAAGTCTTTTCGAAAATGCCTCAGTTATGGCCCACACACACACACGCACATACACACCCACACACACACACAGACAAACTTTAGCCAGAAGCATATTGCTGAATTTGAGAGGGAACAGAAAATTGCTTCGAAAATCTGTTTTCTTTTTTCAAAATTTCCATGCGACTGTCACACGAAACAAATATGTTTTTGAGCGTTGCCCATAAAGAATTCTTTGAACAAACTTATGACTAAGAGTCACGTCTTGTCTCATCTTGTCTCGTCTCGTCTCATCTTGTCTCGTCTCGCCTTCTCGTCTACCTGCCTTTTAATTAGAGCAGCCTGCTCTGCTGCGACACGTGTCTGGCTAGCCAGCAAAAAAGAGACAACAACAACGCCACTGACAATAACAACTGACAATGACACACTCGTAAATCATCGAAATGCCATCAGCATATTCAAGCTGACTCAACTCAATATTTGACTATTCTTCTCGGATATTTGTTGGACATTGGCCAAGCTTTTTATGAGCAGGACGCAATGGCACAAAAGTCTAATTAGTAATTACATAAAATTATGTGAATAAAATCGTGAATATGAGCTATGCTAATAAGGAAGTGTTAGGAGTGTGAACATTTTCTAAAACAATTAAATTAAAAACAAAAAATAAAAATATTTTAATAGAGGTAATTTCTTGAAATGGAACTTAACTGAACATATTCCAAAATTTATGATGTGCCTTGTACCTTTTTTTAGTTAGATGATTTCTTTGTCTATATTGGTCTTTTAAGAGACCAGTAAGTATTTTTTGGTTTATTGGAGACCTGGTGCCTTTGCCACTTTCTTTCTTTGTTCCTCAGTTATTGCTAATAAATTATTTAACATTTTTTTCAAACCATCGTTTCACAAATTTAAAAATAAAAAAATGGGCACTATTAGAAAATGCTTGAAAAATTGTTAGCTAACAATTGCTTTAATATAACTCCTATATGCATTTTTATCGATCGTTCACAGGCATATTTTTCGTATTCCACAAAATGTGCTCGCTGCTACTAGCTTTAAAAGATTTGCCTTTTCAAGGTGTATTGTGGATAGCCGTGAACCGTTGAGCGCTGCATTTGAACATCCTGCATATTGCCCTTGACTTCCAATGTGGCAACCGAATTATAGGGCAATCGATGGGAATACTGTGTGTAGTGTTGACCATTTATGGCAATGAGGTAGCACGAGTCCGTCACCAGTACTTGAACCGCAAATCTCTCTCCCGGGCGATACGGCGTAGTGCTCTGTTCCTCATGACCCCAAACATTGTAAATTTTGGAGTTGCGTATAATGCGCTTATGCGAGAAAAGTGACTTCATGTGGAAAGCGACATCATTTGTATCGTTGTTACACAAGAAGTTGATCTCGAACCTGCAATTGAATGGATATTTGTTATGAAAAGGATATGGGTTTAACACTCGATAAACTTACTCCTTGGATTTCTTTGGAATTAGGCCGCTAAACGTAAAGCTGTCGCCTACGTCAAGTTGGCCAACTTCGGCAAAATCATCGGCAAAACGATACATGGGCAACACATCAAAATAGACGTGAGGTGGTATCTACAAAATATATATATATATATATCAAGTGTTAAGCATGTTATCTACTTATTTATATTAGATTTCTTACCGCCGTTTCAAAGAAACTTTGTGGATAGCCCCGCACCATGGAGCTATGCATCCTTACTTCTCCCACGTCCCCCTTCACCTCTAGGAATCTGACTGCATCATAGGCTAAACGATGCGAATACGCTGACAAATGATGTCCATTTATCGCTATCAGATAACAGGTTTGAGTGACCAGCACCTGAATTGCGAATCTTTCACCTTGGCCAAGCAAAAAGGGCAGCGTTGCGGGAATTTCCTCACGACCCCATTTATTATGTATTTCGGTGTTAGTTATAATCCGTTGTTCAAAAAATCGGGGATTGATGTGCAACGCTACATCGCGATTATTATTGCCATGCACAAAGTTGATGGAGAATCTTTAAAAAAAATGCGAATTTCTAGTAAATAAAAGACTTAATTAACTTGACTAACTCACCTGTCGCAATTAAGGCTAACAAGTCCGGTAAACAAAAATGTAGCGCCTTCATAAAGCTGACCGATTTCCGTAAAATAATCCGCTAAATGAAGAAAGGATACATGTAGCTAAAGTGATTTTAAGAAATCTCAATAATTCACCTTCATCTATGGGTAATGTGTCCATAATAATGATGGCAGGTTCACCAACAACTGGACCTGAAGGCCTGTTGCCAGGATACGACTCAGCAGGAAGCAGTTCTGAAGGAACTGGATCAACGCTAGGATAAACTTCAGCAGGATAAGATTCATCGCCCGGATAGAGTTCAGCAGGAACTGCTTCAACGCCAGGAAAAACCTCAGCAGGCGTGGATTCAATGATAGGATCAATCACAGCCACAATTGGTGCTTCAATAATAGGAAAACTAGAAAATAAATGCATTCCATTGTAAAGTTTTGAATTGCCATCAGATGTGAAACAGCTTCTTATGAGTAACGGCCAAAAGTATGCTTTGACTTGTTGAAAGTTCTGAGAAAATGTTGCATACTTCAGCAAGTTGCAATCGAAGTTTTTACTGCTTTCATAGATACATGTATGTATTTACTTGAATATTAACTTACTTGTTGGGATCCGTCTTAGGCCTCAATGGAGCACCATCCTTTAGTTTGCAGTTGGGATATTGTGCCAAGTAAGTCATCACCGATTGTTCATCCACATTGGGATCGACCAGTTCGGCCGGCGTTATCAGCTGACGCACATCCAACCAATCATCTGCCAAGACCATGGCTTCGGTGGCATTCCGTACTGACTCCACGGGATTCCACAGTTCCCAGTCGGGACACAAGCCTGGCGCACAGGCATCCACCAAAGCGCCTATTGGCTTGCCTGTGGTCCAATCTTTGGTGAAGTTATTAATACACATATCGGGTATTTTCATTTGTATCCAAGTCAGTAGACTGCGAATAAAAGCAAAGCAAAGCATTATTAACTGCATTATAAGTACAAGATTCAAGCAAAGCTGCGATTGGTGATTTTTCAAATAGTGTTTGCAAGAGTGTTTAACTTACCGCTGCTTGGGTGTTTGAACCGATTCAGTTGGTGGCTGCTCTTTGTCATCGTCCCATATCGGCGTCGATATCGAGTAGTGCAGAATAAGCGTCCATATCAGACCCATTATCAGTTTCAAATTGCCGTCAACAATATTCGAAGCGTCTGCAGGTGAAGTTGAATATAACTGCTGATTTATGTGACAGAAGCTTTGTCTCACCAATATTCACAATTTTAATGCCCTCATTTTGGAAAAACGTCAGAGCAACCGAAACGTTCTCCAATTTCTGGACACGGAATGTGGGACGAGCATTATGAGGAGGCAATCGCTTTTGCGACAGCACCTCTGCCAGTGTAATCAAACGGAGACCATCCGACAGATCCGTTTCCAAGTTGTCCAAGGAACTACCAACTGTCTTCAGGTGCTCATTGGTCCACCTTGTGAACGTGTTCTGTTGGATTTCTTTCCATTGTGCATGCTCGCCAAGATTATATTCGGCCTCCATTTCGTTCTTGAAATGCTTGTCTTATCGATCCAACTTTGCTTTCCAGTTAGAAGCCACAGTTCAAATAAGTTAAACAGGATATTCAATTTATTATAAATATTAATATATCTGACTTTGATTTGGGGGCTTTTCCCTATCGCTGTTCAATATTAATGTTTTCGCTTTGGCGATTTATCATCGACTGAATTGTTTGCGGCTTTTAGCAAAATGTATTAATGCACTCAACCACAATCACTCTTTTTATACCCTGTACATATAGAAACTATTAGAAAGGGGATTTCAGACTACACAAAAGCTTGCAACAGTTAAGTGTATAGATTAAAATGACTGCAGCCACAAAATACTGGTTCACAAAATGTTGTATTTCATATTGAACTTAATTGGATTTTCAATTCTGCAAATTTCATATTAATTGACCACTTAGTATGCCATTTAATTATCCGAACAGGGTATGGAGTAGTCAGGCTCTGCCAAACCATTTTTTCTATTTAAAAGCTGTTATCAGCAAAAAAATTCTAAAAATCCAACACCTGCTATAAAGATACGAAGTATGACTAAAACTCAACATTGCAAGCAAATAAAAACTTTTTAGACGAAATTTGTCATTGTTTTATTTACAAGCTTATCAAAATTATGGAATTCAACTCTCTCTCTCTCTAGATATAGATTTAGCAAATTGGCATTCGATAAGCGGGGAAAATTTGACTGAATCATAGTCTTAAATAAAATTGAAAACTTCATTTGTCATTTATCTTTAAAGTTTTCCTTTTCGATTATGTAGAAATAATCTAATCAAGGCAGAGGTAATGAATAAATAGGCGACACCCTGTAGATTAAATCGGATAAGTGTGTACATAACCAAATAGAAAGACCCAAATACACACGGTGGAAAGTACAAATATTTATCAGAAAAATGCTCTCTTTTTTCAACATATCCATAAAACATTATTCATAGAGAGTATTAGAAGAAATTAAAGACATTTATGTGTGATGATAATGAACTTCGATTATAGTAAATTTGTATGAATGTCATGCATATAATAAGCACTTACATAATGATAAATCACTCAATAAATGTGACGTATTAGTCATAAGGAGTTTATTACAGAATTCAATATAGGTAATTACTATATAGAAAATAAATATAGAACACACTAAAGTATTGACAACAATTACAACTAATAATATAGTTAACAATCTAACTGACAATCTGCTGGTTTATGCCACATCGGGTATTCCCGCTGATAACGCGCCTTATCCATTCCCTGTAGTATCGCATATCCATGAACACATCTGGCACACCCTGTGCACAGGGCACCACAAAGTTTAGAATGCCTATCAGCTGATCATTGTAGACCAAGGGACCTCCCGTATCACCGTGACACCCTCCAACATTCATCTGCCTAAAGGCACACACATGACACGCATCCAGCTGGACATCCTTGTAATCCGCAAGTCGGCTTTCGCAATCTTGTCTGGTGATGTGTTGCTGCTTCACTCGTTGCAACCGAGTGGGCGTGGTACCGCCCGCCGACTGAGTGCCCCAGCCGGTAAAGACGAGATCCGCGGTGCCCTCGGGCCACGGATCCTTGGCAATTGGCAAGGGTTGAGTGAATGCATCGAAGATAATGCTTTCATTCAACTGAAGTAGTGCAATATCATTATGATACTTTGGCTGGTCGTAATTGCAGTGCATATAGATAGCAGAGAGGTAGTGCACAGCACCCGGTTCAGTGTATCGTAGGGTGCCAACAACTACCCTCAGTCGGTCCGCTGGCCAACCACCCACACAATGGCCGGCTGTGAGTATCCAACGCTCTGAAATGATGACTCCACCACACAAATGACTGCCCACTAGAGATTGCAGTGAGATTTGATAGGGTGCCTCGCCCTCTGCAGCATTCTGCCCGCCCACAATGAGCTCTACCGGACTGACAAGCAGTAGCAGCAATAGAAATATCAACGCAAATAGTTGTTTCATATTTAATATCCCAGTGCAGACTGAGCCAATCAAAAATTGGGCAGTGCCCAGACAGCCGAAAGTTATCTCAATATCGAATTTATCAGCAATCTGATAACCAGTGTATTGTGTATGGTCAATAAACTGATTTTTATATGGGTCTATTTGATAAATGGTCAAGGTTGGCAGTAGAAATTTCCCGACTGCGAAATACTCTGTTCTGGTGTAATAATCTTTTGTACCTGAAAATAGCTGGCCAATAGTATATTAGACAGGGCTGAAAATATTGAAATATTTTAAGACTTCATCAAGAATTCAGTAAATTAAATGATGTAACTTTTTAAATGTGAGGGATGGAAACTAATTTCATGTTATAAATAGTGCATATTTACAAGTATTACACTAGTTTACAATAGTTAAAATAATAATACACAAATTGGGACTTGTATTTTTTGGAATTTAGACATTGCAATATGCAATATGGAAACAAAAGAGCACATTTAAATACTTCGAATCGATCGAAGATCCTCTTACACACATTTGTCTGGACTTTTATCCTCAGAGCTCAATGTGTATTGGATTTTAGTATAAAAAAGATTTGTTTGATATAATTCACAGGCTTTGAATTTATTTTATGATCATTGCAATGCGACCGGGTCTTTTTTCCTCATCGCCAATAACTATTGTCTTCTGGACTTGGTGAACTATAATTTATGGGCTGTCTTCGCCACCATTCTAACACAGTTGTTCGCAGCAACAACATTTTACAATTTTAATGAATATTCGGTTATATCGTAAATCGGTATCTAATCAGTAGGAATAGCTATAACAATATATTCCAATCATAAACTGTCCAAAGTGTCTATAGAGTCTGTCTGATATGGACGACAGTAACTTAAAACCTACGATAAAACTTTGACCAAGTTAGCCTTTAGTCTATCTCTGTCAGTTTAACGAACAAGATGAAGTTGCTCAGCTGTTGCCTGATATTCCTGCTGCTTCAGGGGATGTCCTTAAGCAAACGTCTGTTAGAGCAGGATTCTGCTCCTTCCCTTTATATCAACGGACGTATTAAGGGTGGTCAGATAGCTGAGATTGGATTGGCCAAATATCAAGTCTCCCTACAGCCCACACTGGGCTCTCACAACTGTGGTGGGGCCATCCTAAACAATCAGTGGATCATAACTGCGGGACACTGTGTGTTTGGCTATTCAGTCGACAGAATAGTGGTGGTAACGGGCACAAATCAATTTGCGAAGCCAGGAAGTGTCTATTATACCTTGGAGAAGCATGTCCACTGCATGTACGATAATCCCTATATGCACAATGATATTGCATTATTGAAACTTACCCAAAACATAACCTTCAATGAGCTAACACAACCCATACCGTTGCCTGTAGCTCCTCTCAGTGAGGGTGCTGAGATTCTGCTCACTGGTTGGGGTGCCGAGGAACCCTATGGCGATACGCATCGCGATCTACAAAAGCTCATCATGAAGTTTGTGGAATTAAATCAGTGCATGGATATATTCAATCAGACAAGCTCTTTGGGAATCGGTCACATTTGCACCTTTTCCAAGGAGGGTGAGGGCGGCTGTCATGGTGACTCGGGTGGTCCACTCGTGAGCAATGGCCACCTCGTTGGCCTGGTGAACTGGGGCCGGCCCTGCGCCATGGGATTTCCAGATGTGCAGGCCAATGTGTACTACTATCTCGACTGGATCAGGACCGTAATCAGCGGCAATGCCAAGTGCAGTCGTTAACCTCAACAATGGTAATCGACAGCATTTGACTAAGAGATACCCTGTACCCTGCTGCAAGTTATTGTTCAAATATAAATAAAATTTTGAATTGTTACTGTTGTGTTTATTCATAGATCTTTAAACAGCTTTTTGGGTATTCGCAGTTCGTATTTCAAGCTGATATCTGAACGTCTTTGAGATCAACACAAATCTGCTGCTTTTTTGGGATCGAAGACAATTGATTCCTCCTATTATACAACTTTATTTTAAAAATGATTTGCCTGACATAATTGAATGACTTGGGTGTTATTTGATGATCACTAGTCATAGTTGCTGGCATAGCAATGACACGACTTGCAACTTGATTCGGCCATGGTGCGTCTGATCCAGTCCCGATAGAAATGTACTGAAGCAAAACTATCTGGATAGCCAATTGCACATGGCATTCCCCAGTTGACGAGGCCAACCAAAACGCCATCGATCGCTAACGGACCGCCAGAGTCGCCATGACAAGCGCCCACTCCCTCGTCCGTAAGGGTGCAAATATGCCCGACTCCATTGTCATCATCGCCGCCCATTTCTTCCTGACATGAGGGATAGTCTATATAGGTCAGGGTCGCCTGCTGGAGAACATCTGGAGTATCGCCGAACAATACTGTCGAACCCCAGCCTGTTAACAACACTTTCGATGCATTCGCCAGTGGAACATCGGGTAGAATCACCGGCTTTGTATACTCATTAAAAACAATTGGTTGTGTCACACGTATTATTGCAATATCATTGTGATAGTCGGGAGTATTATAATTGCAATGCACCCAAAACTCCTCCACATCATATTTGGCACCCGGCTCCTGCCACAGTATAGTCCCCGTCACGACTTTTAGATACAGAGGATTATAGCCATAGACACAATGAGCAGCTGTCAGAATGTAATGCTCATCGACGATTGCTCCTCCGCACATGTGCTCTCCGAATGTGGACTGCAGGGAGATTTGATAGGGTGCTAGACCCACGGTGGCATCGATGCCATTTATAACACGACTATCAAAGACACTACCTGACTTTGATATCTTCTCCAACCGCTTGGCTGTCAACTTTGCTATCCTCTTGCCATTAACCAGATTGCTACCGGCAAGGAGCAGGCAAAATAGTAAACAGTATTTTAACATTTGAACGTTTCAATATCCATTCGCGCAATAAGCTCGCCAACAAGTTGTGATTTTGCTTTTATATCAATCTTCGGAATCAGGGACTCATCGTAAACTGATATCTTACTCCGATATCTAAATCATAAAATAATTTGGAAGCCTTATGATTGCAACTTTGTGTGTGGAAAGGTAGGTAGGTTATTGACTAACTACAGAATAGCATAAAGACACTTGGGTACTCTATGAAGATTTGGATTTGCAGAAAGCTTATGTAAAAAAAAGATTACATCTTAAAAATTAGTTTAAATATTAAACAACAAATCAGTCAGAAGAAATCAATTGGAAAATCCATTAGCATACTTTTGGGCTTCGTATAATACAGATTGGCCAATATCATCTAATTCACTTTTAGTACATACAATCCACATACAAATAACTTTCTGAACTTGTGTTAAAATAGATAAAGTAAAGTAAAAATAGAATGTACAATTTTGTATATGAATATAATGTGGGATCAGATTTTGGAAGCAGTGAACTAAGTCGTTACATCCAAAATAAAAGAATAGGGCAGACATAAGTAGTGTTGTAATAAAGATACCATTAAAATAGTATAGCCTCATAGCCTTTAAAAACATAACTGGATAATAATTTATTAGACCAATCAAGCCAATTTTATGAAGCTATTATATTGAATGACATCAATTGTTCCTATATAAACAAACCCATATATGAATTCAATGCCCAGCGGAGAGAAAGACTTTGAGTTGTCGATGACAATTATGATTCAATTATATTTAATACAAATTGGATAAATCAATTAACTCGTTGATTGCAACCGGCAATTTGACGTCGTATCCAGTCCATATAGTAAATGGTATTGGCATGCATATCCGGTTTGCCGACAGCACAGGGAGCACCCCAGTTGACGAGGCCAACCACTTTGCCCTCCCACATGAGCGGACCACCGGAATCACCGTTGCAAACACCCTCACCCCTCTTGTTAAAGGTACAGAGATGTCCAATATCAACGCTATCGGTGTCATCCCAGGCCCGCTTGCATTCGGCATGATCATACACCGTTAGATTGATAGTTTGCAGACGTTCCACGGATGGCCAATTGAGTTCGGGAGCACCCCAGCCGTTTAGGATGACAGTCGACCCAGCTGGCGGATGTTCCGTGCTAAGTGACGCAATCTGAGTCCGCTCATTCAGCACAATCGATTCATTCAAGTGAAGCAGTCCAATATCATTCGCATAGATGGCCGGTATGTCATACATGCAATGTACAATAGCCTTATCCACATAAAAGGATCTGTCCGGGATTCAATCTATCATTTGTGCCCACAATAATGCGCAGTTCCTCAATATCAAAATCGTTGGCACAGTGTCCAGCAGTGAGGATCCATTGTTTATCGATGATGACACCACCGCAGATATTTGTTTTCCAAGACGTTTGTATCGAGACCAGATAAGGTGCTGCACCTTCCTCTGCCTCCTGTCCGCCCACAATCCGATTACCGAACTGGTGATATCCATAATGAATTCGCTTGGCCCGTGTGACGTCAATGGAACTTCCCAGCAATATACAGAGGCCCAAGAGTGACCAAGACCCAAAACATGTCCCGAGCAATGTTGGCATTATGTGGTATGTGGATGTTTACGGTTCCGATCGGTTTTTGCACTGCAATTAATGACCAGCAATGAAAACCCATGTATGTCCCATGTCGCAGCTTTTATAAGGTATTTATCGCATGCGGAAAGCTTTGGACAACGGCTATCGCTCTCCTACCCTGTAGTCATTAACAACTAGGGGAAAGGAAGCATCTTACAGCCATCAAAGTATTTTCCATTACAAGACAAACAGTCGATTTATTTTTTTTTAAATTCTCTTTGTAAATTATTAAATATTGAATAAATTTAATATTTTACTTTTAAAAAAACTTTATTTGTAAGATACTTGTTATTACTTAGTTAACAACGAAGACTACAGGGCATCTTCAAGTTGATCAGCTTTGACTTGAGCACTGTTATTGGTATTGCCAGCGCATTGGTCAAATCTTTATGAACATGACTTGAATATCAGTCCATATAAAATGCATATCTTTACGGCTGAGGATAAAACCCACACGGTAATTGCGTCCTAATTGGAGGGCTCATAAACTGCCCAAAGACTGTATTGTATATATAGGACGGTTATTGTCTCGCCATTCAAACAAATAATGCCCACTCTTGCCAGGTGTAAAACTTATTATCGTCTCACCACAGATCATAAAAGCTATAGCCTATTAGATAAGCCTCGTCCGACGTGTATTCACTGTATTCGACTGCAAATCATTGAATAATTTTAGTTGCAATTGTGTAGTAAAAACAATGGGATCAATAACGAAATCCATGCTGATCAGCTTAAGTCTCAGCTTTTGTCTGCTGCTGCTGCAATCCCAATCTTCTCATGGAATGCGCTTGCGTGGGAAGCAGCTGCCGGGCGAGTTGGCCAAGGCTAGTCGTCCTTCCTCGAGGTTAATCCAGGGTCGCATTGCGGGTGGACAGCAGGCCAAAGAGGGCGCTTGGCCTTGGATTGTCTCTATACAGAATCAGTTCGAATTTCCCTTTTGCAGTGGGGTGATCATCGGTGATGTTTGGATTTTGACTGCAGCCAGTTGTGTTGCGGGCTTGCGTGCTCGTAATTTAGTAATAGTCGCTGGCACCGTATCCACTTGGAATATTACCGCTCCGGGTTACTATACGGATCGGATTCATATCCATTGCAATTTTGATAAGCCCCTTTATCACAACGATATTGCACTGTTGCATTTAACTGAGAAGATTGAGTATAATTCAGTGGTAGCAAAGATTACGCTGGCGGAAATCGATGAGCTGCAACAGAACGAAGCTTTGACCTTTGCTGGCTGGGGCATGGAATCAACAGAAGGTTCTGTCTCGCAGTACTTGCAGCAATCGGATGGCAGCTACCTTAATGTGGATGACTGTCGCAAGACGCTGGGCGACACTGAGGATGTCGATCTGGGTCATGTCTGTGTGCAAATGAAGTCCGGCAAGGGTGTCTGTTACGGTGATGCCGGTGGACCTCTAATCAATGATCGACAGCAACTGGTGGGCATCGGCAATTGGGGTATTCCCTGCGCCCGAGGTTTTCCCGATGTCTATAGTCGAGTGGCCTTCTACAACGATTGGATACGCAGCACCATTGAGGGCTGTGGCATTGCCTAAACTATAGCCATATAAATATATATACACTCAGCGAAAGGCGCCCACTCTTTTCTTTGTTCTTAAAAACTCAAAATTGAAATTAAATAAAAATGATTCATGCTTTTAAAATCGATTGTTTATTTTACACAAAGAAGACCGAAATTCTTGAATAAATAGAAAACTCTCATTACAAGATGTTTTGCACTATATATATATGATATATCCATTATAGTTCTCGAATTTTGATACTTCAAATAAGAACTAAATATCTAATTTTAAGTAGAAAAGTTTTGGATTTTAGAAATACCTTTAAATGCTCTTGATAAATAAATATTATGTTTTCCAGTGTCGAATTTTTTGATAATGCTTGTTATTTACTTGGGTACTTACCATTTTCTCAGTGTACTGTTACTATCAGCATTTATTGCAATAAAAGTGCTATACGACTTTATAGTATCCAAAAACCCTATGGTTTTATTCTGATACCATATGATTTATTTTATATGACTGGTCATTAGTATCCGAACATTGCTTAACTGCTTGGTATCGTAGTACCTTCAGATCAGTCCACTTTTAACTCAGTTAGCAAAATGTTGTACCAAATCGGAGTGTGCCTTCTTGTTCTCCTGCTGGTATCCTACTCGCAGGCGGATCTGCGTCGAAACCTAAAATCTTTGCCGGCGTCGAAGATGAAGTTTAGTTCCCGTATCATTGGAGGTGGTGTCGCTTCCCTGGGTGCGGCACCGTATCAGGTGTCACTCCAGAATAATTTTGGGTAAATAAAGTGAATTGTATTTTTAAATGAAATAGTTTGATTATTTCTTAAATCGATAAATTGATGCAAAGTGTAAATAGTGCAATTCTTACTTCATACATCAACAAACAACCCTCAGTAGAAGTAAGTTAGGATTAATAAAAGCAATAATCATTGAACGAAAAATGAATGTAATTGTTGTAAAAACAGCATTGAATATCACAGCGATATCAGAGATTCGGATATAGAAATGAATCTGAAATTTGTACAATCAAGAAAAGAGTTTAATTTGAGAGAGTTTAATATTATATCAGATAGTTAGTGGTACTCAAATATTAACAAATTTCAAATACTCTTCCACTTCTTGCAGCAATCACATGTGTGGTGGTGTCATAGTTGCCGATCAGTATATTCTAACTGCGGCTAGTTGCGTGGCTGGTATTAACAAAAAAAACCTGAAGACGGTGATGAGCACTAACGATTGGGCCGGTGAGGCCTGGGAGTATTATACTGAGGAGATCATACCGCACTGTAAATTCGATCAGCCGCTATATCATAATGATATTGCACTGATCAAGATGACGACGAAGGTGGCCTACGATGAGGTCACACAGAAAATACCAATAGCACCTTTGGATGATCTCGTGGAGGGTGATAAGCTGAAATTGACAGGTTGGGGCAGCACCACGCAGGAGGGCGACTTTACTTTCGATCTCAAGCAGCTAGAGCTGACCTATGTACCGAATGCTAAATGCAATTCAACGTACAACTATACCAAGGATCTGGACATCGGGCATCTGTGCGCTGTCGGCAAGGTTGGTGAGGGAGCCTGCAATGGTGACACCGGTGGACCATTGGTCGATAGCAAGGGTCGCCTGGTGGGCATCAATAATTGGGGTGTGCCATGTGGCAGAGGTTTTCCCGATGTGTTTGCCCGTGTCAGCTTCTACCACGATTGGATTCAGGCCACAATTAATGGATGTGCGATTAAATAAATGAGTCCTGATTCTAATCTCTGAAGATTCCAGACGTCTAGACTATGATATTGTTGTTATCACCTAAGCCAGCACCCAGACCACAATTATACCTTGTACCCACGAAAATTTATAAAGCAAATAATTGCCAACACGATTGTCCAGAATCGCAAATCATTTTCTTTCAACCACTTAGTAATATAGGAACAAATATAATTGTTTACAAACTAAAAAGCCTTTGTTGGAATAATAAGAAATTTGGGAATTTAATGATGATTAGACGTTTTTAATTTCAGGCATTTGTTAACCACTGTAATAGATTAGCTTTCCTTGAGCCGATCAGCTGCTTATCAATTTACAACGAATTTGTACAAAATAATTGTTGACATATTTACGTGAAAGGCCAAGTTCAACTGGGAAGTGCTTCCGATTATGACATTATCAACTGTCTGGTAGATCTGCCAGATAATGCAGTAGCTCGATCAAAGTTCGCACACACGACGTATGAGTAATCTGTTTTCTGTTTTTATTCGATTACGAATTGGCAAACTGGCGGTTCTTATCGTTTCTATGAGAATTCATTATTATTATCAGCGTATATTGGCTATGGTAATGTTTCCTACTAGAACTTCCCTAGAACGGCGTTTCATTCCTTATCTTAACAACTCGCGCACTTATTCAAAGAAAGCTCCGAACACAGATAACACACGTCAAACAGGTAGCCGACTATAAAAAGAAATCCCTGCCTAAAAGTTTCCACAATTCGGAAACGAAAGTCGTAAGAACGTGAACGTTTCAAAAGCAAAGATGAAGTTAATTATTTTAATTAGCGCCCTAATTGTGGGACAAAGTGTTGCACGCGAAATTGGTGTAAGAAAATCATTGAGTCGTCAGCTGGACGGTGATGTTGTAATTCCGGAGTCGAGAATTGTGGGTGGAAGTGAAGCACCCGAGGCCTGGGCACCCTATCAGGTGTCCATCATGAGTACCTTTGGCGAGCATGTTTGTGGAGGGAGCATCATTGATGAACACTGGATTTTAACAGCCGCCCATTGCCTGGAGTGGCCCATCAATTTTCTGAGGATTATCACCGGCACCAATGATTACACAAAACCTGGTGCCGAATATGTAGTGGATTCAGCGAAGAAACATTGCGAACACGACAAGCCCATGTATCACAACGATATTGCGCTTATACACACAGCCACGCCCATTGTCTATAATGCACGCACTCAGCCCATTCAAATGGCTAGCAAAAAGAATATCTTGCATCCGGGTGATAAACTAACACTAACTGGCTGGGGCAGCACCCGAGCTTGGGGAAGATTTCCCACTCAACTCCAAACGATTGACTTGTCCTACGTGGATCACTCGACTTGCAAGGCGATGGTGCGCAATGCTGATTGGCTGGGCGAGGGACACATTTGCAGCTTTACAAAGGAGGGTGAGGGATCCTGCAATGGTGACTCCGGTGGTCCCTTGATCAATGCCAATCACGAACTCGTTGGACTCGTCAATTGGGGTGAACCCTGCGCCGTGGGCTACCCGGATGTGTATGCCTCAGTGCAATACTATCGTGATTGGATCAATACCATGATGACAGACGAGGGCAAAGCCTGCTAAGGATGTGAAACAGAAGAAAACCAACGAAGAGCAAAATAAGAAGCGTCGCGAACAAAAAGCCACACTGAACAACTTTGATATATAGTCCGTATTAAGTAATTAACCTATAAATTTTATCACACAAATGTATATCGCAAATATAAAAAGTAATTACAAAACAAAACTCATAAATGTTATATCACTTAATTTGTTTGGAGGGAAAGAGGCGATTGGTTAGATAAGAAGAGGGCAAATAAGGTGGATCAGGTGATCCTGAAAACCATTTCGATAAGTCTACCAAAAGAGCCAGAGCCCCAGTGGACTTTTCAGATCTGCAAGCAATATTATCTGAAGAGTCGGGTTTCTGAGAAGTGCGAGGCAGTCACGTAGAACCCATTTTCCATAAAATAAATCCCCCAATTAATTAGAATTCTTATCGATTAAAATTTGGAAGGGTATGGCTAATCTTATGACTCAAACCGTTGTCTATTCTTAGACAAGTTTGCTAGCATAGGCAGGCGAGGCACCTTAAATGGGCATTATCAACTGATAAACCTTTCAATAATATAATTATTTAATATTTGACTGAAGGCAAGTTTCTTTGGTAAACAACGAATTTTATCAAATCGAAGAAAAAGTTGATTGGTTTAACTTGGAACGAATAGTTCCTAAAATTCAAATATTATTAGTTAGTAGTAAATATTATGACGGCCACTAACACTATTAATCAAAAGTAATCTCTGATAAACATTTAACAATCAGCACCCGAATAAATACGCTGATGCAGATACAACAGTTTTAAATTACTAAGTATCTTTATTTCTTAAACGTAATTGTAACAAGATCTCCAAAATCCAGGTCACACTCGGACTCTAACTAATAAATAGTTACACGCCAAAATGGAATTGCACTCACTAATAGAACCCGTTCAGTTGTTGTTCAGTTGCCGCACTGACTCAGTCTAATTGACAGCCCATCTTCAAATTAAATACCATAAGCTTATAGACAATCAAAGTTTCGCTATCTATTGTAGACCATTTATATATTCGACATACCCTTCTGGCTCAGCTGGGGCACAAGCCTTATCAGAGCAGCCCTACTCTATATACTTGCATATATACATAGTCTATCTGTAGAACCCATTGCTAGCTGTTGAGCAACGAGCCCTAATTAAACCTACACATAGAGAAAATCAGTGTACGAAATTGCAATAACTAATTGCTCAAAAAGTTCTGAGTTGAAAATCAACCAATTTTACAGCAGAAATTCTTGAATCAAGTAAAAATACTCATCACAAACATTTAAGTATTTCAAATATTTGAAAAACGTTCATTTAAAATATAAAATTCTGAATTGTGGTTCTTAGTAATGAGCTCCTTGCCTTGGCTAGCTCCAACCTTGGCCAGCTCCAACCTTGGCCAGCTTTTGATTCGCACTTGATTTAGGTATTTACATTTGCTGAGTGTAGAAGCTACGTGACATGCATTTACAAAACTGTAATTCGAAAAGCCATAAAAGAACCACAAACCCAATGCAGACTTCAAGTTGAACCAAACCATTATGCTGCTACTATTGCTGTCTCCTCTCCTAGTTGGCGGATGCCTCGGCCAAGTGCTCTTCCCACCACAGTACACAACGCAGCGCATTGTGGGTGGCGAGGATGCACCCGAGGGCATAGCACCCTATCAAATCTCGCTACAGGGTGCGAAAAGTGGACAACATTCCTGCGGCGGTGCGATCATTGATGAGCGTTGGATAATCACTGCTGCCCACTGCATACACAAAAAGACACCGGAGGCATTCCGTGTGCTCACCGGCACACAGGATTTGCAGCAGAACGTGTCCAAGTATTATTATCCGGACAGGATAGTCGAGCACTGTAACTATGAGCCCCGCAAGTATCGCAACGATATTGCGCTCCTTCATCTGAACGAATCGATTGTTTTCGACAATGGCACGCAGCGCGTGGAATTGGATCATGAGCCACTCGCTCCGGGCGATTGGCTGCTGCTCACCGGCTGGGGCACTCTATCACTGGGCGGCGAGGTGCCCGCCAAGCTGCAGCGCCTAGAAGTGGAATATGTGCCGCACCAGGAGTGCCGCGAGGCGCATGGAAACAGCAGCCACGTGGACATCGGACATGTGTGCACCTACAACGATAAGGGGAGGGGTGCTTGCCACGGTGACTCTGGCGGCCCGCTGGTGCACAACGGTAAGCTCGTTGCCCTGGTCAATTGGGGCATGCCCTGCGCCAAGGGGAAGCCTGATGCCCATGCGGGCATTGCCTACTATCATGACTTCATCCGCACACATCTTACACTGCACGAATCGGAAGCAGAAGAAGAAGCTGGAGCAGAGGCTACAACTCAGGAGCGGAGAGCGTCGAAAAGTAAATCTCATTGTCATTGATCCGACTGTTGGGGTAAAGTTTCTTACACATCGAATAACTGAATTTTAAAACATATCAAATCTAAAGTAAAGAAATCTCCATTTTGGAATCTACAACCAATCATAAATTTTGTATTAAAGGAAAAAACTAAACCGAATAGATCTTTTTTTATTATAAAAACCACACAACTCAAAGCTGTTAATAGTTAAATTTAATTTTAAAATTAAATACAGTATATACACAATTTATTTATACTTCAAGCAAAAACTGGTTTCATAAACTTAAATCAAGCATTGTCAAAAAAAAATATAAGAAAAATAAAATATTAATAGCAAGAAGAGGAGCAGCTTCTTCTGTCACTTTGGGAGAAAAAACTTCGATTCCTTCCATTCAAATATATCGAATCTCTCCGATAGTCAAACTCCTCCATGTCTGCTAAACCTGCACTTAAATCAAAATAATTAAGATTTTGTGTAGCTGACTTTTTGGTAGCATACTTTTGGGAGGTTTGTGTAAAAATATAACAACAGATGGCGTTTTCTTAGGATTGGACCCATGCAGCAGTGTTTGCCTTATGGAATCACTTTGCAACTATGTAATTTCAATACATGAATGAACACGGTTTTAATCTAGAAATCAAACCATGATCAAAAAGACCTGGTCTTTGAAAACCAGGTACCTTAAACCAGAATGTCGTTTCCAATCAATAAATCAACATATGTTTTTTTAAACAATTGTGAACCTTTTTTTAATACAGACTTGATTCAAATTGGCATCTATAAATTCACTTATTAACTTAGACAACAAGAAATGCGAGTTCAACGGCAATGTAACTAGTAACTAACTAAGATTCAGTTTTGGTGAGCAATGAAGATACTTTAGAACTGATTGGAGGGCAAATAATGATTGCTTATTGGCCCATTGCCATTGAGGTTGCCACTGGTGTTGGAATTGCCCTCAATATTCTGCTGTTGCAGCTCCTCTTCCTCCTCTTCGGGTGCATCCAGTGAGCCGACAACAGATGTGATTGGCGCCAGACCTTCATCGGTAATGGTGGAGCTGCCGCCCAGAGCATCATATTGGGACTGAATCTGTCGCTGGGCATTCAAAGCCTCTTCGGGCGTGCGATACTTGATGAAGAACACCTCGGGCTTGTTAATGTGCTGTGGCGCATCGGCAATGGCGTCCTGCAAATCAGACGCACTTGTCTTCTTGGCCAGCACATAGACCACCGTCTTCTCTTGCTTCAGAGACTTGGCCAGATTCAAGGCAGCGGCGCGATTCGTCTGAGCTGGCGTCTTAACAAAGAGCACATTGTAGTGATTGCGTGGCTGCTGTGACAGCTGCTGCAGCTCATCCTGAATCTCATCGTCCGACTCCTCGGGTGCCGAGTGAATGAAGAAGTTCTTTGTGACAATTGGCTTCTTGGGAATGCGGACACGTGGACGAGCGCGACGCTGCTGTTGCAGTGGCGCTGTCTGGAAGTTGATCGGAAAATTGGCTGGCATGGGAAATGGGGAAGTGGAGCGTGGCAGCTGCTGTTGCTGTGGCTGCGGCTGGTATTGAGTTGCAGGTGGCAGATAGGGCAATGGCAGGGCCAGTGGTGGCAACACCGGATGTGAGGAATGTGACTGCTGCTGCTGCTGCTGTTGGTGTTGTTGCAACTGCTGGTTGAGCAGATGTGCCACTACAGTGGGTTGCTGTTGCATGCGATAATTGTAGCCCTGTTGCGTTAAACTGATGTCGGCACGAGCCAGCGCCAATGTGGCCACAAGTATCGTCTGCGAAAATATGAACAAATATTAGTAATAATCCATGCTGTTATCGCCGCTGATTAATCCACAAAACGCACCACAAATATCTTCATGCTGCTGCTTAGGCTGGGAACTTAGTTTCAGTTAGCTACGAACGAACTCTGATGTTGCTCGCTCTGTGTGTCAAGTGATTGTGATGATGGGTCAACAGTTGCTAACGCCTTTTATACCAACCAGCCCGTCCCAGAGTTTTATGCGTGGTCGCAGCCAACTTTACAATCGGCAACTAATAATGAAACAGCAGCTACGCCAGCTAACAATATCAAATATTGTTGCAACAGTTCACATTTTATATGCATAGAGAGGGGTAGCAACACTTGGTTGGGTGGCAACTCGAAGTGGGCCTTTTTGTGTTACGCCTTAAAATAAACAGGCCATTGTTTGGACAACAAATCAACTTGAGCGACCAGCTGTGATAATGGCCAACCAAATATAAGTGGTTTGGTTTCTTTGCCAAGTTAAACTTTAGTTTAAGTCAATGAAACTACTTAATTTGCTTATTTTTAATACATATTAATAGTTTTAAAGCAAGTACAACATATATTCTAGACCAGATAGAAACAGACTACCATTTTTGTTAATTTTGGCTAAATTCTCGAAATTTTTCTAATTTTAACCATTTTTGCAGTTTCTTCTATACTTATTTTCACTCTTTATTGGCCACTTTTAGCACGACTTTAACTTAATTTATTTTAATTTGCGCCAAAAAAATGCTCAAAACTTAATTAACTAAAGCACAACTTTGCTGACGGTTAAATTCGTATCTTGTTGCTAGTTTGTATTAATTTGCTTTAGATAAAACCAAAAACAAACTCAAACAGCGTTTGCAAATAAAAAGTGTCAAGAAATTAATAAAAAATATTTATTATAAACAAACTTTTGCAATATGCCAATTTGTTAGAGGACTGTCGTTTCTGCAGTTGAATGACTCGCCCTATTCATATGCAAATAGTCGAATAGTCGAGGTTACAATCGACTACAACCGATTACAACCGTTTTCTATGCACTTTTGTCTTTTCCCGGTCCATTGTGCTTTACTGTCAACGCAACTCGAACTATAAAAAAGATGGAAAAAATGGGCACTGTTGACGGAGACTGGAGATGGGCAGCAGCCTCCGTATTTGCTACTCTATAAAGAGGACGCCAAGGTTTGGGTTTGTATTGTGTATACACAGAAAGAAAATATTTAAGTTGATCCTATTTCAGTACTGAATAAATACGGATTATTGGATAAGTTAATGAGTTCTTAATATAAATAAATTTACTTCTTGATCTGCTTGTTTTTAAGTATTGATTATATTATTATATAATTCAATAAATATATTCTTGGAAAACCCAAGCGGATGTCTTCAATCAGATTCAATTCCACAGCACGAATCCAAATTCATTCGTCTGTCTTTTTTAATACCTGATTCGAAGTCACTGAATGTATATCACTTTTCTCTCTGTGCATTTGTTTATCTTATTTATTGTGTCAACTATAACAAATACGCGCATATTTATGTAAATGTTTGTAGATTTCCGTTCGAAATAGTATAAAAGCTCAGCCATTAGTCATTTGCGCTACATAAAAGTGAATGTAAATCACTTTCGATTATCGAATTTGGCTAAGGTTGACATTTTGCGCTAGTTAGTGGCAATCTTTGGCAACGGAAATCTCTTCAGTCACAACAAGCATTATCAATTTATTACCTAAGCTAATTGGATTGACTGTCAAAATGCGTACTAAAATGTAACACTCACAACAAAAGTTGAGCACACACCTAATTTATCTGTGATCCAATTATAACAAAAAAAATATATAAATATAAAAAGTTCGTAAAATGATACCCCACAAGAAATGCTGATTCAGTAGTATCCCAATCATTAAATTGACCAAACTGATGCAAGTATCAAATGCAGTTAGTCTTGGCTCAGAGTGCATCTCATTAAATGAAGTTTGCGCACAAATTTGATTAGATTTAACCTTCAACCTCTCGGATTATTGCCAATGTAAGTTGGTCTAAAATATAGCGCAGTCTGAGCCGGAGCTACTTATCAAAAAACAGGTTCCACACTTTCTCACGCCAATGCCGTGAGGCATGACCAAAAAAAAAAAAACCAAAGTTGGGAATGGAACTGAGCTTAAACATTCCGTTTTCTCGGTTTTGTGTTACATATGCAAAAATAAATGCACACAGAAAAAAGCTGTAGAAAAATGGGATCTTACCTCGATGAATTAAATAAAATGTAAAAATAAAGTATTTGCAATTTAAATAAGCCATATTTGAGATTAGAACGAAATCAGCATAAATATTCTTAAATCACCTTTAAACAAATCTTAATGTGTTGAATTGAAAATAAATAAAGAGACTGACGGCAACTTTAATCAATTTCAGACAACTAAAAAACAACTTTAATCTTAGTATGAAATAGTTGACTGTTTTGCTCAGTGCAAATTTATCTAAAAACATCTAAAGTGAAACTAAACCGAGAGTATAAATTAATTAAAATAAAAAATATCATATATTTCGCAAATAATAAATAAAATGTTTATTTATAAGTCTTATTTGAACAAATGTAGTCTAAATCACAACAAATACTTAAGTTACATAGATAAAAAGTGAATGCTGGCGACTACATAAATTATTTGTGCATTTTCGAAACAAACTTTTTTTTTAATTTATTAATTTATTGTTTGGCTGACGCTTCACACTGTCGGATTTTGACATTGGGCCTTTGTTTGCTTTGGTAATACGAATGTGGAATATACTCCTCCTCTGCATAATATTATTGTGTCCAACTAGAGTCTAGAGAGTAAAGACATTTAATAAGGTGCTCAAATGACTAATGCACATTTGATTATTGGCCTAAAAATAATTTCACATTAATTATAGAGTATAATTTAGATTGACAAATTACACATATGGCCTAAAGGCCATCTTAAACATTGTGTTATAAAATATACAAAAAAACTATTTAAGCCAAAAACGAGCCAAGACAACAAGACAAGCTTGTTTTGGTCTTAAGCCGGCGTAGTAGAAATTGATGAATGAATTCAAATCGATTAAATAGATGTCGCATTAAAAATGGGCCTTTTGCTTTTGTACATATTTGTTTATTTGATTGATTCATTTTTAATTTATATTATTTAAATGGTTAATTAGAACCAAGCTCAATTCAATTCAATATTTAATTAGTCTAACCAAGAATTATATTAAAACAATTAAAACACAGGTTTTAGTTTTAATTGCTCTACATGACAAGTAGGCAATTATGCAAGTCAAAGTGGACTTATTTTATGGCTGATACAATTACTGAAAGGTTTAAAAAAAAAAATTGAAGGCTTTTTATGTTTCTATTCACAAACTCGAAACTGACTTAACTTGTGACAAAAACGGTCCTAGTTTGTTCAACATAAAAATTTAACAATTTTCCTTTGGATCAGGACATAAAAACAATATAGAACAGCTATCGTAGGCACGCCAAAGTTTTATCTTGCATACAATTGTAATTATTATTTTTGAAAGAACTGCAATTGCTTATAAGGGAGCTGAATAATACATTTTATTGACAATTTTTAAAAAGTAATCAATATATAAATAAAGTTGAAGATAAATCCCTTTTAGTTTCAAACAAAATTTGTGTTAGGTTAATAATATGTTACTCACTTTTAGGCGTACTGCTTTTGTGGCGCCACCTTTGGTTGGATATTTAACTCATTCAACAAGTGGCTTTCCTCCGACTGAGATATGAAAAACAGAACTATTATTATTTTCATAAGATTGATGTAAATGTTAAAGTTTTTCCAACGCTTGCGTAGGTGTTTTTAAATCTTTTGTGATGTTTTTAACTTATTTACCCAATGGTTTTACCACTAAGCAGATAACACGTTGCCTTGGGGCCCGCGCTCTCAGCACCCGAAGTGTTGCTTAGCGATATTTTTAGCCAAAAAATCAGATATTTCATGTAGTCAGTTGTTAGCCAATTTGACGCCTCAATGTGTTGTCTGCTTTCTGGTTTTACTCAACTTCTGTATTAAATAAAAATAACAATTTGCAATCAAATATAATAATATCAATGTGATATTAACTGAATATTTGCTTTGGTTTACAAAACAATTTAATTTTAATGGATTTATTCTTTAATGAATTTATAAGATTCTAAAAGACTTTGCAAATTGATTGAAATCTAATTTCATCAGGCATATCGCTGGACATTAACCTGTAAATGCTAAGTCGTAAAATACTGATTAGGAATCAGAAACGAAATCAAACGTTATAAACAAATCAAATTACATTGCAGTTATTATAAGTGTAGTTATGATTACTCAGCCAATAACTGTCCATTAATGTTATCGTTGGAGGTTTGCTTGGTCAGTTGACGTTAACGCTTATCGGTGATTCTATTTAGTATATTTAGCCATACACTAATATGTCGTATATATTTAATATGCTATATAAACTTGACCAACGCGTGGTGCATTCTTAGCAATTTGCCAGCATGTGATATGATTGATATGGGATATAAACTGGAAACGCGTGCTACATTATTCGGAATCAACGTGACCAATGCGACAATAAAAGCAATTTTCAATTGCTCACCGGTTAATTTTAGACATATTTATTGATAAATACCACAGGTGTGAACTCTTTGGAGTCAACACAGTTGAACTATAGTCAAGCGGCAACCTTTTAAGTTGACTTTTGGCAAGCGGCAACCTTTTAAGTTGACCATCGATCTCAATAAATGCTACGCAAAACAATTGCGACCCAAAAAATGTGAACTACATTTTTACAACCATAGAATAAATAACGCAGCCTAAAAATACATTTTTAGAGTTAGCTTATAAAAGTTTTTATTAAACATGTTTACGTTGACTAATAAATTGTTAGAGTTTAAGGCACATGCTTCTTTGTTGAATGTCACACAAACTGACTAGTTGCATTTGTTTTTTTATTTGAATTTCAAACAAATGATTTCAAATAATGAGTATATAAAAATGTCTGGTAAATCGTTGCTCTCTCTCGAAATTTCTCTCTCTGTAATCCGCACTAGGAATTTCGTGCAGTCTTCTTTGGTTAATGGCTCTATGGCTGTCAATTGTCTTCATTAGAATAGAACCTTCTGGGAAAAAACGCCCAGCAAGAGTAGCATCAAACTGAAGGACATTAGTCCTGCTGCACCAGACCGCTGCTGCACAAGGACAACGGCACGATTGTTCTCGGCCTGCAGCTCGCGATAGTTGTTGTGCAGCTGTTTGTCTTTGTTGTACTCAATCTCCTTGAACTGATTCACCTGGTCGAGTGTCACGGGGTGAGTGTCGGTTAGGACAATCCAGGTGACCGCCTCGGCGCAGGTAGGCGTGGTCAAGGAACCCGCATAGTTGAAATACGTGTTAACACTCGGCACCAAATCATCCACTGCCAGACTATCCTCCACATTCACGGGCACATTCATATGGTCATATGTCTTAATGGCATCCAAACTCTTGATAATGCTACCGATGGCCTCATTGGGCGTATTGGAGACATGGTATAGAACAGCTAGCACCGTAATGCCATCGTCAAAGTTGGCCGCCATTGTGATGTTAGGGTATATCTTGTTGCGATGCACAATGTGCACCTCCAGAGGATAACGTATGTCATTTATAGTGTGCTCCGACCACCAATGCATATGTATTTGCTCCACAACATAATCGCTCCCAAGTCCACCCCCACTTAGGGTCAAATCATGTGCAAAGCCAAACAGCTGAACTGCAAGTAGAGTAATAAGAATTTCATAAAGTTATGTTTATTTTTTTTTTTTTAGTGTGTAGCTCATTTTTTCGACTCACTTGAGTGTCCATTGTTGACCATTTGCAGGGATTTCTGATGCTCATCGTAGTTTTCAAACTTCAGGGCATCGAACTCACCCTTCAGGGAGCCTTTGACATGCAAATTGATTGGACTTTGCCTTCTTCCATTGTCGCAAATGCCGCCCCACTTGGGAAATGCTATAAATATCAAAGAGAATTATATAAGACCATATACATACAGAGCTTGATAAGCATATCACAAAAAAGAACTTCGTTTTACATAATTAAAGCACAATGAACCTAAAACGGTCGAGATGTAAAGCAGAAATCGTTGAACACATAAAGAATGCTTCACAAAACTTTAGCAATTGACTGATATAAACATTCTTATTTAAATATATCTTAAATATTTCCCCCAACTAAGAGCTTTATTATATTTATTATGTATCATATATATATATATAGATAGCTATACCATACATCTGCTAGGGTATTCAATCTTTGGCACTCGAAATATAGCCATGTCATCTTGTTAGTCTGAATAATTGACAAGTCAAATTTACAGGCACAGCAATTTGGCCCAATTTGCTAAAAACCTTCTGTAAATAATTTAGATATATCGCTTATCTGCCAGTGTATTTAATCATCGTCCCACAGAATATAGCTAAGCCTTCTGGTTAGTCTTGATAGTTGACGAGTCAAATTTGCATGCACGGCAATTTGGCCCAATTGAAATAAACGGTGAACTTATGTAGCTATCAAAATACGGGATTCGTATAGTTCTATTTGGGCATTGGAATGAGTACACTTGACAATGATCAGCTGACCCACTTAGTATATAAGCACACTTATAAATGACAGACGGCAATCGGCGTTGATTAACTAATTTTAGTAAACGGACTTCAACGAGTGAAGCGATGACATTGAATTTATATGGTTTTTATTGGCACTACTTACGTTCATCCTGATTAATGTCGAGGTCTGGATAGCCCCAACCATGGTCAGCGCTGCACAACGCTAAAATGCTGCAAGCTAGAAAAATTAAAAAAAAAAGGAAAAATGAATTTGCTATTAGAAAATAGGCATCAAATTGTTTGGGCGAGAGTGCAATTTGTTTGTCTTATCGTATTTATTTATGTATCTTTGCTCGATTAAAAGTTTAATGCACCCATTGTCGTGCACACATTAGGGCAATAATTTATAATATGTGTTTACATTTCTAGTCGACTTAAACTTGACCGACATTAAAATTAGCTTTATAGCCGCGTTTCCTGACCATGAAAAGTGCACGAAATGTGCAGTTGACGAAACACATAAAATCGAAATGCCAAAAAAATGTTGGTTGGGGCATTAATGAGATCTACATAATGTTAAAATTGGCGTCTGCTGTTTGGCAACACGTCAAGAGTTTCAGAAGCACCTTGCACTTGACTTGGCTAAAAATAAGACACATTATTTATGATGTCGACCACGACGAAGACCTGAAAAAGAATCGGCATAATAAAAACTATATTAAATACAATAAAAATTTAATTGCATCGCAAAGGTTAGCACAACAACATAAACAACTTTAAATATTAGCGAACATTTTTAATATCATTTTGACAAGCAACCATTAAATATCAACGAAATTTATGTGTGAAAATCTTTCTTTCTTTTTTTTTTTGAAAACATTTTCTGTTTGCATATGTTTGAATGTCATGTCTTGCGATCAAAACCCTTAATAATTCATCCATCAGCAAAGTAGTTCTAGTCATTAATGGGTTAATAAAAGCCTCGAGAAATGAGAGAAAAGTGCTTTGGTAATTCAACAAATTGCGAAAAGCTGACAAGAAAGCAATGCTTCTAATTTACTGTTTACGCATTGTGTCAAATCTTTCAAAAATTTATGCGCTCGGTTTGACTTTGGACGACTTATTGCAAACCAGAGAAAATAGAATAGATAATATTTATTTTAGTTTAGTTTCTTTTTAGCAAAGTGACGACAGCAGCGGTAATATATGTTTAGGATTTAAGAATTTTGAAATGTGTGCAGTGTATTTTTAAAATAAAAGAATCTTTTAAAGAGCCCGTTCATCAGCTGATTTTAAATATTTCAATTAGAATTTCTGTGCACATGTGTAGTGAGATTTTTACGATTCGTTTTTAGTCCAAAGAAATAAATTATACCTACTTATAATGTTTTCAAGCTAATTGACCAGACATGCATTTAAATTCATATTTTTATTGTTATTGACACGCGGGAGACAGCTTTCAGTTTTTAGATTTCATTGTCTCTGCATCTCCTAGAAAATGTTGTTGACAATAAAAAGATGATAATGATCTATAATGAGCTATAAGTTATTTCACAAAATTATTTTTTAATCTAAAATACATTGATAGGTCTTGCTTGAAATTAGATGGTGTTCAGGATTGATTGTGTTAGATTAGCAAAACCATTTTCACTTAATACAGAAATGCTAGAACTTTATTTAAAAACAAAGTACTTTAAAAAACTGTCGCTCATCGAGTTTTTCAGCTGATTACTGCAGTATCAATTATTTCCGTTGCTGATAATGTTAAATACATTTTCTACTACAACAAGTGCAATAAAATAATTGAAAATAAAACAAACTGCAGAATCTAAGCGACTATCAAAATTACATTTACAACTCAATTAGTAAACACATGTACACATTATTATATCGATGCCTACATTCCCATAGCAAATAATAAAACGACAATTTCGAGGGTAGAAAGTTTAGCTTAAATTGCAGTGCATATCACTTTGCGAAAAATCACTCCAACATAGTTATTTTTTGAACGAGATCAGATAAACGTATGTGTGATATTTAGCTGATAAATGCAGTTAATGACAGCAGCAGCAGCCACAGCTGCATGCAACATTGGCCAGGTAGTAATTAGAATTCGCATGCAACCAAAGACAATTAAAAGCTTGAGCGACCTGTTGAAAGGGGACTGCAAGCGGAATCGGGGAATTTAACAATTATCAGAGTGTTGAACAAAACTGCCAAACAAAACGTTAATTGCTTTGTGGATGGCAAAACAATGTGAAAAAATTGCACAAAACATACTCGAGAGAAAATGCGCAAAACCAATTCAACTGATTTGATTCATTTTGGTTTTTAAGTGCTGCGATCTTGGCACAAAAATGCTGATCTGAGATGCACTCAGAAAAAACCGAAGAATTTTATAATTCAATGAATTACGCGTGTTTTCAAATATCCTTGAACAGATTTACAAAAATATTTATTTCAAGCAATGCACACGGAGAAAAAACAAAATTGCAAATCTTGATTCAAACCTTTTACATGTGTGAATGAAAAATTGTAAGAAGTGTTTCTAAAAATGTGAAGTAGGACATAATCTAGGAATATATTTTTGATTATTTGTATATATAGATTTGTGGCACTCACTGCTCACTTAGGATACGATTTGTATATTTTTTATTTCTGTGTAGGAATTGTGGAACCACGTTTTTTTTTGTGTGAGTGGATAGACGACATTTGTAGAGTCTCAGCTGTCAGAGAGATGCACATGTCACAGACGTCAGAAGCAACTATAACTAAAACAAAAACAAAAAGAAAAACAATAACAACAACAACAACAACAATTGCTACGCTAAACGGAAAAATGCGGCATGTTCAGTTTCTCAGCATAGAGTTAATTTTTGCGAACGTTGTCAAGTGGCGTCTTCTCAACATTGTTCTGATTGACGGTTTATGGCCGCAGCGCTTTTTTGGCCATGTCAGCTGGAAATAATTGAAACATTTTTGCATTCGGTGCGATAATGCGATCAACATTTTGTTGGCCTCTGTTTTCTGTCGACTCATAGACACCCCCTAAAATCATTTTGTGAGTCAAGTCAATCTATGTTTGGTGATTTTCCAAGTGTGAATAATCATTTACATTTTACGATGTATACGACTATAATCAAATATGTTACCTGATAAACGGCTTCGGGAGTGCGCTTTGTTTTATGGGATTATCACTCAAGCCCGGCGTTGATAACGACTATATACAATTATCGTACACCGCTGAACATACATATAAGACCGGCTTATATTATTCACTTACTTATAAAGTTATTATCGTTTAGTGTTTAACATACATAGGCCTGATTATATAACATGTCCACTATTATAGAAAGAATAAATACGAAAAACTACAACTTTTTCAAATTTTGAATTAAAATTTCGTCATAATTTGTGGACAACAATTTGAACAAAAGAATTATATTTAAGAAAATTGATAAGTAAATTATTAAAATAATATAATTTATATACCACAAAAATTTTCGATTTAACTTAGCTTGCAGAGGAGTTTAATCAAAATCCCAATATTTAATAGACTGTGTATATATTTAGATAATAAGCAACTGTTAACATAGTATTTATGATTTGACGTGGCCAAAATGGCAATTAACCCAACTGATTGGACAAATTGATGCGATCTTTGCTTTCTTTTGGCTGTTATGAATTGTTTGCTAAAAATTGATTAATTAATTGCCAGATTTTATGATTGTAATTGTGGATGATCGATGGTAAATTGAAAAATTTTTCCATCAACTGTGAAGGAACTGGGTTGGTCTTTAATTGTTTTTTTTTTATTGAGTCTGCTGACTTTGCGTCTTCGCATATCAAAGAATGAAAGTGTTATTATGCGTTATAAACAGCCAACCGCAAACAGCCTGATAAGAGCAAATCAGCACGGAACCACTAAATAGGTAGTTCAATTATTGGCACTGATAGAGGAATGTCCTTTTGCATGCTGTTAAAATCAATCCCCTGAATACCCCAACAACACCAACATATACTACTATAAGTCATGTTTAGACTGGGTTCAGGGTTCATTTGTGTTATTTATAATTTATGTACGATGTATGATTTATATAATAGACTGGGAATTCTTCAGAGATTTAAATATATTCAATTTCGATTCAATGCAAATTTCAAGTCTTATTTTAAGGTCTTGCTTTTCAAATTGATAATAATGTGTTTAAAATAATTCTAATTGATTGAAAGTTAAATTGGAAATTGCGTTCATTAAGATTCGCAATTTTGTTCAAATTATTATTTGCTTACCGCAAGCAATAAAGCTATCAAAACTGAGCTATCAGGTTGGGACACTTGACAAAAGCCATTATTAATGAAAACGCCCAATAATCAATAAAAACAATCAATTGACGCAAAATGTGAAGCTCCCAGCCCGTGCTTATACAATCAGTAATTACATATGAAACAGGTACAAACAATTGTCCCATATATCTTCAAACAAAATCTCGGCTAATCTTTAACACCAACAAAAAAAAAAGACGCCCAGTAGCTACGTAAAGCGTTATCAAGACGAGCTCTTCGCCTTGATATAAAGTTATTTATTGTTTTAAATCGAATCACAAATCACAGGCGAGCGGGCATTCGTTAAGCTTTTTATATATAATTCTCAAATAATTGTTTAATATGTACTTATTATCGACTGGCGGCGCTTATCACCCACTTACAAAATGTTGTTTTCCAAAGTGCTAATCGCCGATTAGTGAAATCGATCTCAAACAACCAAATTGGCCTATAACTCACATCGATTTGCAGAAAAATTTACGATCGGTGAGTTCAAGTTTTGTTTAACTAAAGTGAACTTCTTACGCATCGTGGGCAGGGGCTATTTCAGCGAATTTTGACTGGCGCCATTGAGTCAATGGTCTGCATTATCGGACATACACAGAGAGAAAAAAATGTCTTACGGCTTACGTACTTCAAATGAGATAAACAAACTTCGAGTTTACAATTATGTTTAAGGGTTTTTGCAACTTTTTTTTGTTGCCATTTTTCTTTCTGTGTACTTACACGATTTGCACCTGGGCTGAAAAAGGTAAGTTAAGGCAATTGCTGATAAATTTCATTGCTCCGGAATATAGGATAGTTGTTTACCTATTTCTTTAGGCTTTACGAGTGCCGAGTGCCGAATGACTCATGATATTGGTGTGTATCCAATTTCAAGTACTCCCGATTTTGAATGAGTCAGCACATTGATCTGATTTATTTATTTTCTGCGCTTACTTTTTATATTTTTATTTTGTGATGTGTGCTTCGGTTTTTAAATTAGCCATGCGATATTAGATACAGAAGAGTACAAGTGAAAAAAAATCCCCTAATTAAAGTGAGCACAAATTCGGAAACTCACTTATCTGCTTTAAAAAGAGATTAAGAATTCATTGAAATTAAAGTTATATCAGTTTAAATCCAACACTTCGAGAAATTAATTTTCATTGGCCATTTTTATGGCTTCGCAGTGAAAAAGCAGCTGTGTAATTTCCTATTTCGATTTAAAGGTCCGCTTTCACAATCCCATTGATCATAATAACATTTCCTCTACCCTCATATCAATTGTCAAGATCACATGTAATTATAAGTATTAAAAATGTTGCTGTTGCTGTTGTTGTTGTTGACTGCAAATTATCAGCGTGGGATCTATCAGAATATTGCCAAGTCCACAACAACAAGGGGCTTTGCAAGCAGGCTGCCCAATACCCAAACGTGACTACTCGCATTTTGCGATGATGGAAAACTTTGAAGTACACCATTATACGAATGTCTTTGTCTTATATATATATATATATATATATATAAATAAGCCCACTTAATTACACTTGTACTACATGTCACTCAATTTAGTAACAACAATTTTGGCAACTACAGTAGCACTTCTATGACTCGAACCGAACTCGACATCGACTTCAACTTCAAATTTAAAACTGGAATTTCTTCATAACATATTAAAGAATTCCAAAAGTCGACTTTTTTAAATGTAAAAATATATTGTGTGTAAATGAAATAATTTTTTTTTCAAATTAAAGCTTTTTCAAATTTGTAGATTAAGTTTAACCATTAAAAATGATTTTTTAAATGTAAAATTATATTGTAAGCTAAATAAATTTTTTTCATATTAAAACTTTTGGAAATATGTAGATTAAACTAAACAATTCAAAAAATAATTTTTTTATATAAATTAATAATGTGAGTAAACTAAATAACTTTGATTGAAATTAAAACTATTCGAAATTTGTAGATTAAACTAAACAATTCAAAACAAATGCCAGTCAATTTTCTGTTAATTCTTCTATTATTCTCTGTAAGAAACCGTTTTTGTTTAGTTCCCGTTAGAGAAGTTTGAATGTGCGATCATTGTTCAGGTAAACTTAAAACTAATGACTCAATGGGCTTAGTTGAATATTCAGTCTTATGTAATTAACAATTTACCTAATAGTACTACGGCTGGGAAATGCATCTTTTATTATTTGTATTTATTTTTTCTTTTTTGCAATGTTAAATATAAACTTGAAAAATATTATTTTTTTACTTGCACTTTCACTCTTGTTTTTTAAACCGGTTAGTGAAAAGGACTCGGAACTTGTGTCAGCTCAAAGACAACTCCATAAAAGTGAAATAGAACCGTCGTCTTTTATAACCGAAAACCGAGGCAAAAACCGAAATCCGAAAACCGATACGAAGAACAGAACCCGCAGCCCACAGCACAGAATGATTACTGAATGCCGCACGAGCATCGAGCAAATAAGTGCGCGCACACACACATGCACACGTACGCAAGCAAATGCAGAGAGACGGTAAGAATTGAATTGAATTATGGCAGAGGTTATTTTTTTCGGGGTTCTTATGCTCACACACTCTCTCTCTCTCTCGCAGAACAAAATGGAGCTGATTAAGCGACTGCAAAGAAGAACAACAACAACCGTTGACAACAGCCGAAGCGAGCCGAGTGAATTGCAATGCGCCGAGCATTTGCGTCGACTTCGACTTCGACGTCGCCGTAAGCGTCTCTGCCGCGCCACTGCATTGAAGTTGACAGCGCAGCCGATTAATTGATAAGCAAGCGCGGAAACGCCAAATGAGCGGATAAGTAGACGTAGCAAGAAGCTGGCGAGCGGTAACAGCGAAGCAGATCACCAAGAGAGCAAGTGCAAAAATGGCACATGCCTTATGCAAAGCAGCGACTGCGACGGCGACTGCGACTGTGACTGTGACGCCGGAAGTGACGTTGTTGTTGTGCATTTTTCAGGTGCAGCAAACGATCGATATTTTTTTATTTTTCTTCTTACTTTTTTATAAATTTGTATATATTTACGAACATTTATTTGCTCAATTATCGGGCTTCCACTGTGCGTAATTTTGGCAATTGAAGCGTTTGAAAAATAACTAAATTGATAATAAGCCGTGGGGGATCAAAATGAACAATGAATTTATATTGGAAGCGATTTGTTAATTAAATTTTTGTATATAAATAAGTGAGAGGTTAAGGGGCACACCGACCGCTCTTCATCATTTGTTGTTGCACCCAAATTATATGAGGCATGCAACGCTAATTGAAGAGACCAATTCCTAGACGCCGGTCTCTATGCATATTTACAGGCCTGTCAGTCTATGTAAATAGATATGTGTGTGTGTGCGTGTGCACAGAGAGAAAAAACATCTGATCTTGCTAGATTAAATTTACTCGGCTCAAGTGATGAGAGTTGTTAATTCATTTTAGTAATTAAATATTTAGGGGCATAAAGAGTTTATCTATTGAGGCTAACAAAATAATCGATGTTCAACATTTTCTCACTGTGTACGTGTTTTGTTGGTCACTGTCAGTTTTAACTGTCGACGTCGGCGTCGGCGTCGTCAAATTGCAGTTAATACATAACAAAAGTCAATGTCAAATTGCTGCTGTTTGTTTTCAGCACTGCCGACAGCCTAATGGGTCGCGTGTATCTCTCTCTCACTCTGTCTCTCTCTCTCTCTCTCTCTCTCTCTCGCTCTCTGTCTCTCGCTCTCTCTCCCTACCCTCTCTTGTGTGCTCGAGTATAAATCTAAATGCATTTCCGCCACAAATTGCCGCCAATGTTGGACAGCAATTTGTTTGATATCGAATTGTCAATCTTGATACTCTATGCAGAAAAAGATTGCTTTGGGATTTGTATTTGTGCATGATTCTACAGTCCTCAGATATTCTAAAGTACATTTGCAACTTATCGACTTGATATAGTTTGAACTGTGTTGAAAGCCAATTTAATTATTCATTAATTACATTTTATTCAGACTTAATTCTTTAAAATTGGAATTGGAAAATTAAGAACAAAAAAATATATGCTTTTATTTGTAGGATTATTATTTGTATTATTATTATTATTATTAGTAATATCATTATTATTATAAATGTTATTATTATCACTATCAATATCATTATTATATATATATATATATTATATTATATATCATTATTATTATTGCTCTTATTATTAATTAAAAAACTTTTTAATTATAATATTATTATTATTATTAGCAGTGGTATTAGTATTATTATTATGTCATTATTATTCTTATTTTTAAGAGGGAGTTAGGGTATTCACAATGTCTCTAAACATCTCATATATAATTATAATTAGCTTGACTTTGGTAATTTGCAAAATGACCTCTGCCACAATGAGTCCTTGAATAAATGATATCCTTTGTAAACAGGAATTAAGTATGGCAAAATAAATGGGCTCATAAATCAAAGTGTAGCAGCTCAGATTTATTTAAATTTGTGTGTGTGAGTGTTAAATGTGTGTTAAATGCATTTAACAAAACCAACAAATAGGGGAAAAAGCAATTTAACAAAAGTTCACTGATCAACAGGTGGCGTCACGCGACTCGCTCTCTGAGCTCGAGCTGAGCATAAATATAGAATGACCCCAATAAACTATTAAAACTACATTATTTAGCAGAGATCAAAGAATCAAGTCAACTGTAAAATGACGAGTCAAACATGAAAGTGTGACTTGGTCCGCATTTAACAATTTAGCAAATTGAAAACAAGCAAAGTTCAATTGAGTAGCGACAAACCTTTGATTTAAATTGATTGATTCTGTTAAATGGTCAAACAGTTTAATTAAGTCGCCAGCAAAAGAGCAAATCGGGTTTCAAACACAAAATTTACGTTAGTTAAGGCAATGGTCATTTCAAATTCATTGCGTTTTCGCGCCACAATGCAACACTGAACGACTTTGCAGCCCTGGCGAGAAATTGAGTGAAACATCAAAATCAAACAGTTGGCAACGCCCAGTTGCTTGTCAGTTTCCAGCGTTGCCCCACCATGCGCTTCATGTCACATATTATTATTTAGTGTGCCTTAAAGCAAACAACGTATTATTATACAAAAAGTATTTATCAAAATAGTATTCTAGAATTTTTCCTGTTCAGCGCATTTGAAGAGCCAAGTGAACAAACCTAAATTTGCGGAAGATTATTACGAACGCGAGGTAAGTGCAACGAGTTGGCAGCGCGTGCTAAATGCTGAGCTGCGAAACAGTGTGCAAAAGCAAAGCGAAGAGAACGCAGCGCAGCCGAAAAAAATTTTTTTGGAAGCAGTTAAGCAGCGCACTGCACGCGATATATTTTTTATTTTCAAAAGGGTTCAAGCTAATTATTTAAGCAAACTAGCGGATCAACGTGCCGGGCAGTCGTAAGTGCATAAACATTTCAAAAATTCAACGTTATTACACAGGCGCGTTGCTCATCCCAAGAGCATTAGCAAGAAGCGAAAAAATTTTTTGCACAGCGGCAAAGGCGGCAGCAGAGGCAGAAGCAGCGGCAGCAGCCGCGACTGCGGCGAATTTGTGCAGCAAAAGGGAGCTGAAAAGATGAAAAATTCTACTAAAAAGGCGCACGGTCTTTTTGGAATAGAATCTAACTACGAATTCAGTGAAATAATTACACATACACGAAATTGATAGAAGTTGCACAAAATTATAACTAAATTTGCCAAGTATTTCTGTGTGTGTGTGTGTGTATGAAAAATCGGCATGTGCGATGAGCATATGTGTGCATGTGTGAGTGTCATGAAATTCTTATTGGAAAAGCGTGCTCAGCATTTCGGCGGCGGCGGCGGCTGCTGACAGTTGCCTGTGTGTGTGTATGTATGTGTGAGTGTTGGTGTGCGTCTGTGTGAGAGCTGAGAAGTGATGTGAAGACACAAAAGAAAGACGACGGCGCAGCGGCGCTGGCTATAAAATAAAGAAGAAGACATACAGCGCAGCAGCGGCGCTGCCCCGGCAAAAGCGCGTTGACGTTTGTCAATGCATTTGTTATTGTTGTTGTTGTTACCGTTCAATTTCCTATGCTGGGCCTAAAATAACTTCAAAACTTTTGATTGCCATCGCGCTGCCGCCGCTGCTGTTGTTGTTTCCTTTGGCTGTCATCGCCATTCCGATTGGTCAGCAGGCGCTGCCTTCGCCGTTAATTTGATTGTCAATAATTTCCTTTCCCTTTTCATACTGTATTTATTTATTGTTGTTGTCGTCATTGTCTGCCTTTCATCTCATCTCATCCTCTTGTTTATATTTTCAGGAACTGTGAGAGTCGAACGTACGTATGTGTGTGTGGATGCAGCAGCCGAAGCAGCAACAACAAAAACAAAAACAATAGCCACAACAGTAACAAAAAGCAAAAAGACTGATAACGAAGCAGGGAAATATAAAGGGAATTTTTTATCGGAGAAGCAACGCAAAAAAAAACTTTGTTGTAGGTGCAACAGATTTTCTTAATTTTTAATTGCATTCTCTCTATTAATTTAATTTCTCTCTCTTTCTTAAACACACACTCTCTCTTTCAAAGGCTAAACACAGAAAAAAGAGAAAAATCAAAAGGACTGCATTCGGTTGAGGCGTCAACTGACAGCGACTACTGTATTATATCAATTACAACAACAATAATAACAACAACCGGCGAAAACAGAGTTACCACCAACAACAACAACAGCAACAAAATGGACGATCTTATGGTCGAAGTGCGACTCGATAACGGTGCCTACTACAAGGTAAGCGAAATGAGAGTTTTGGCGAATTTAGAACTGAAGTCACCGCTGCCTCTGTCAACGGCAACTGCAGCAGCAGCAGCGGCGACAGAGGCCTCAGTTTCTAATTTCGTAAATTTTAGCTTTATTTCTATAAATACTCTGCATCATTTTGTTCAGTGGAGTCTCGCATCGAAATACGCGCACACACACACAAACACACACGCTTTCATACAGGGCGCACTCTGTCTCTGCCCATGTGGGTGTATGTGTGTTTGTGTGTGTGTCGCCTGCGCGAATGTCGACGTCGACTGCATATTCCCGTATGCGTTTGTATGTGTGAGCGAGAAGTTGCTCTTTCAACACTGTTGACGTTTTCGGCGAAAATGTTGCTGCTTTGTGATTTCCCTTTCTGAAGCTTATCAGATTTGCATACATAATGTGTGAAATGCGTTCTGATAATGGAATGGTCTAGTGTGGGGGAAGGGGGAAACGGGTTATATTCCGATATGAAATAGTCGCGTCGCTTACTGGGCAAACAGAGTCACTTAAAAATTGAAATCGCATAGGTTTCACAATGGGATTATAATTTTTGTTTGTTTTTATTAGTTGTCCTTTCTTTTAATTACTATCAAGTCTTTGTACAGTGCACTCTCAATAATATGACACTTGCAGTTCGAGTTTAAATTCCATTTTTGAATATTTCGAATATATGCAGAATATCTTCTTAAAACTGAAAATGTATTTGAAATATTTGCTGAAAATTGGAGGCATTAGAAATTATGATGTTGGTTTTGATTTCTTTCTCTGAAACGCAGTTAGTATGAAATATATTTATGATTATTTATTATTTGTTTGAGATGGTAGTCGTTGAACATTTTGGATATGGAGCGTATTTCATAAACTATGCATTTGCCTAGGCTTCTGTGATAAGCCCGATTCGCGGCAACTTGTTATCAGAGGAAAAGATGACTCGCTCGAGTGGCACGTTTTCAGCGGCATCTTGCATGATGTTTCTTGCTCTCGATTGGCATCTGAAACAATCATAAATACTGTTATAATTGAAAGAAATATTTGTATGTATATTGGAATAGGAAATATCATAAAACAGACAACTACTACAACAACAACCACATTAATGACACACATTTTTCTTTTGCTCGTGTCTTTTTCTCGCTGCTGCTGCCGTCGATGTCCGCTGCTGCTGTTGCTGTTGCTGCCGCTGCTGCTGATTTTTACGTCAACGCAACAACAACCAACCAACCAACGTAATAACAACAGGGCCAGGTGACAGCTGTCGGTGATGATGGCCTCTTTGTGGATGTGGACGGGTAAGTTGCGACAATCATTTCAAACAACAGCAACAATAACAGCAATAACAATATTAATAATGCCACACAAAATACAACAAATATATATATATATATATGTAATAAATTTGCAACAATGAAAATATAGCATATATTTTATAATCAATTTGCAACAATGATTGCTGCACTTTGCTTTCTTGGCATCAGTTATGCAGACTGACTGACTGCCTGACTGCATGCCCCGCAACGCACTCCTCCCTCCCTCTCGCTCTCTCCCCCTGCGACATCCCCTTTGCTTGTGACGCCACCGATTTTTTTATTTTTTTTTTTTTGGCGAATTTTGTTAAATGCTGCGTTGTTGCTGCATCTTTCTTTCATCGACGGGCTGTCCGCCCAAGTGGCAGCTTTTCAAAGGCAATCTGTCTATGTGTGCACCGTCCGAGCTGTCAAGCGTTAACAGCAAATTCCACTAAGCAGCACTCGTAGCAGCAGCAGCAGCGGTCGCAGCGCAGATCTTGCAGTCAGCGTCGCTGCTTTTGCTGCGCGCTCTTCGCTATTTTTAACCACGGAAAGAAACCATTTTTCTTGTCACATTTCTTTCGTTTGCTTCGACTTTTCTTCTTTCTTTTTATTATGTTTTTTTTTTTTTTGTCTTCGTTTGTGTTGCATTTTTGGTGACATTTTTGGAACAAAATTTTCGGTTTTTTTTTTTGGTTTGAAAATAGTTTTTAGGTTTTTTTTTGCTATTTAATTGGATTTGTATACTATTTTTGGTTTGTGTCTTGGCTGAGCGGGCGCTTTAGACAGCATTACAGTAGTGCTTCGCTAATGAGAATTGCCGGCAAATAGTTGAGCCATTTAACATCGACATTTTCAACATTTACAGAAATTATAATTGAAAATTTGTGTTTTTCATAACATTGTTTATATATTTCTAATTAATAATTAGTTGTTTGATCAATTAAATTATTATAAATTAACAAACTAAACAAGCTAAATTGGTATGCACAAAATTTACAATTAAAATCAAATCCATCAGCAAATGATTCTAATCAATTATCAATTAAAATCAAATCTGTCAGCGAAGTCTGTCTAATCAGCGAAACTTTTCCATATATATATATATGTATAAGTATGCAAATGTTTATTTTTATTTTTTTGTCCGGTCATTTCCGATCTGTGTCTTGATAACAATCTGTGAAAAAATATAGGGGCGCCCCCGCAATTGTGTGTTGAGCTCGCTTGGCGCACTGCCAACAGACAGCTGCAATAGACGCCGATGCCGACGCCAACGCCGACGCCGACATTTGCTGCGACGTCAACGTCAGCGTCGGCAAACACTTGTCTTACCGAAATGTTCACAATAAATACACATGTACAAATAAAATATTTGGCTAAATGAACACTTTGCCTCGCTCATTATATGCTAAACTAACGAATACAAAGGCTGCTGCAGCTGCTGCTTGTTGCTGCTGCTTGTTGTTGTTGCTGTTTGCTTTGTGTATATTTGAAAACCTTTTGTTTTACTCTATTCTTATCAATTGTTTTGCTATTCTGGTTTTTGCAGCGTGTCCGAGGTGCTGAAATACGCATTCGTCAATGTTCGCCTGCCGCCCGATGAGGCCAATGCAACGGCGCCCAACTTTGAGGAGGGCATGGAGGTGGAGGTGTTTACGCGGACAAACGAGCGCGAGACATGCGGCTGGTGGGTGGCCGTCATCAAAATGCTCAAAGCGGATATCTGTGCGGTGGCATATATTGGCTTCGAGACGCCCTATACCGAAATCTGTGAACTCGGCCGATTGCGCGCCAAAAATCCAAATCCGCCAATTACGCCCAAATCCTTCTTTCAGTTCACGCTGCCCGTGCCCGAGGAGCTCCGCGAAGTGTATGCCACATTATATAAATATGTTTACTTACTATATATTTGTATTTCTATTAAATATTTCTATTCACTTGCATGCACACACGCAGAGCTCAAAAGGATGGCATACACAAGGAGTTTCAGCGCACCATCGAAGCGAGCGTTTGCAACTACAATCGCGATATCGATGCCTTAATTGTCATCTCCAAATGCGAACACACTCAGAAGCGCGCCAGTATGCTCAAGGATATGCATTTTCGTAATCTCTTACAAAAGGTAATCAAATCAAAATCCATCCCCTCCGAATACATATTCAAATTGTTAACTCAACTCCAACATCCAACAGGTTATGCTCTTGAAAAGGACTGAAGAAGCTGCGCGTCAGCTCGAATCGACTAAGCTGATGAGTCGTGGGTAAGTCAAAGCTTCTTGCTATAACAATATATATATATATATAACAATATGAAGTTGTGTAAAGAATTTAACAAGCAGAGAGGAATCTATAAAATATATTCTAGAATATAGCATCAATAACCGAATCAACTTGGCCATTTCCGTTTGTATCAGAAGCGAGAATATAATACATATATATATATATATGTTCATGTATGCCATAGGCAGATTGGGTTTATTTAATTTGATCGATAAAACTCCGCGAATATCGATCAAAAATCATTTTCCGATAGCAATTAAAAACACAATAGTTATAATGAAGCCCTCCAATTGATGTATAACATTCCATTCCCTGACACATTATTGATCATTTATCACGATCGACTAATAAGTGTCGACGATAAGTGTATAAATTGTTTAAATTGTAATTTTACTTGCACGTGTAGTAATACTGTGCATCTTTTTAGAATACTTTGGCATTTGAAAACAGTTGATTTCCAGATATCAGAATTAAAATATTTCAATTTGTCTGGTAGAGGAAGCAATTGTGCATCGGCAATTTGGCAATACTTTGCTCAAATTGCTTCAACAACTAAACCAATCTGGTGTCACCGATATATGACTATATCCAAACCAAATTAGTTTTAAAACTTTTCGTTAAATGCATCTAGTTTCTTATCTGATCGAGTTTAATTTCCAATGCGAATTTATTGATTTGATTGCATAAACCAAGTAAAAATATTTGTAGTTTAGGCAAATATATCCCTCTGAGGAAAATAACTGTAAGGGTGGCTCGGCATTCGCTAAAGGTCAAAGGTTAAAAATCCACCCCCAACTGGGAGTAGGGAAAATGGGTTGATTTTGATATTTTAAATTTAAAGGCAAATTCAATTCGTGGCTCTGCTGCGAATATGAATATAAGTTCAATTTTGATTAATTTATATATATGAATAAACGTAAACGTGTCGATATTATTTTGGATTGATGCAGCAACTACATCGAGGAGTTTCGTGTGCGCGAAGATCTCATGGGCCTGGCAATTGGCTCGCATGGCTCCAATATACAGGCGGCACGCACGCTGGTCGGCGTTACGAATATTGAGCTGGAGGAGAAGTCGTGCACATTCAAGATTAATGGGGAGACCAAGGAGTCTGTGGAGCGGGCACGCGCCATGCTCGAGTATTCCGAGGAGTTCTTTCAGGTGCCCAGGGAGCTCGTTGGCAAGGTGATTGGCAAGAATGGTCGGATCATACAGGAGATTGTCGACAAAAGCGGTGTGTTTCGAATCAAGGTGAGTGCTGTGAGTATTGTACACCACAACTGGACATTCGTCTAAATCTCGGTCAACACCAACACACACACAAAAAAAAAAACCAAAATAAATATAGATCGCTGGCGATGATGAACAGGATCAGAATATACCACGCGAACCAGCGCACGTACCCTTTGTGTTCATCGGCACCACGGAGAGCATTGTGAATGCCAAAGTGCTGCTCGAATATCATTTGTCGCATCTCAAGGTGAGTTCGATATCGATATCGATTTCGATTTAAATATACACAAAAGATCATCAGTCATTAATCGTCATCGATGTGCTTTTACAGGAAGTGGAGCAGCTGCGCCAGGAGAAGCAGGAAATCGATCAACAGTTGCGCGCCATACAGGAGTCCTCGATGGGCTCGACACAAAGCTTTGCCGTGTCGCGGCGCTCCGAGCGGGGCTACAGCAGCGATATTGAATCGGTCCGCTCGATACGTGGCGGCGGCGGTCAGCGTGGACGCGGTCGTGGTCGTGGCGGCGGTGGCAACAATATGAATCAGCGCTACCACAACAATCGGCGCGACGACGAAGATTACAATTCCCGCGGCGATCATCAGCGCGAACAGCGCTACAACGATCGCAGCAGTGGTGGTGGCCCACCAAACGCTGGCGGTGGCAGCGGTGGCGGCGGCGGCGGCAATGTTGGCAACGTTGGTGGTGGTGGTGGTGGTGGAGGTGGTGGCAACAACTATCGCGGCGGCAACGATCGTCGTGGCATCAATCGCCGGCCGCCACGCAATGAACAGAATGGCGGCAGGGATTATCAGTACCACAATCACAACACCGATGAGATGCGAGAGACGCGCGAAGTGAGCAGCGTGGAGCGTGGTGAGTTGACTATGATGATGGTGATGAAGACGAAGACGAAGACAAAGAAGAAGAATAGTGCAAAGGATTAGGACGAGGGAGGAGTGTTGCCTGTTGCGTCCCCCTTTTGGAATTGAGAACGTTTTCTGTATGTGTGTGTGTGTGTGTGTGTGTGTGTGTGTGTGTGCGTGCGTGTGCGTGTGTGTGTGTGTGTGCGTGCGTGTGCGTGTGTGTGTGCTGGGTGGGGAGGGAAACGTTCGCCAATTCTGAAACCGATGGAAATGCATTTTATTGAAATCGATGTAAAACCAGCCTTATTTTGTCATTATAAAACTGATGTATTTTGTTTTGGGTAAATGATAGCGACTTGTTTTCAATTGTTGTCCATCTTGTCCATCTCTCCAGCAGACAGCAACTCATCGTACGAAGGCAGCTCCAGAAGACGCAGAAGGCAAAAGAACAACAATGCGCCTAGCAACAGTGAGTATGGTGTGCTAAATATAGCCATCAAATTGGAATCATGCCCCAACCATGCTCAACACATTTTGTTTTGCATTCTTTTTACTTTGTGTTTTCTTTCCACGTTGCTGTCGTTTGTGTAGCAAACGGTTCGGTGGCCAATAACAACAACAAAGCAACACAGCAGCAGCAACAGGCAGCGTCGGGGGCACAACAGCAGCAGCAACCGTTGGCGGCGGCACAAGCGAATAAATCGGCGCCACTGAATGCACAACAGGAGAACAACAAACAGAGCAGCGGCAATGCGAACTCGGTTGCCGCCAAGTCGAAGGATGCGCCGAGGAACAACAGTGAGAAGCAGCAGCAGCAGCAACAGCCGCAACAGCAGGCGGCGGGCACACAACAGCAACAACAGCAGCAGCAGCAACAACAGCAAGCATCGCAGCAACAGCAGCAGGCGCAACAGCAGCCGCAGGCGGCACAGCAGCAGCAACAGCAGCCCAAACCAAGGCGCAACAACAAGAATCGCAACAATCATACGGAACAGGTGGTCGCTGCAACGGATGCCATCAAGAAGGAGGGTCTGGTCAATGGTACGTCCTAAACGACAGCAGCGATAGCAGCAACAGCAGCAGCAGCAGCAGCAGCAGCAACAACATCAGCACAGCAGCAACACATAACGGCAACAGCAAACAGCAACAACAACAACAACCAGAACAACAACAACAAAACACATACACACAAATTGCAAATCGTTCGTTAAACATAAATGTTGTCTAGCAGGCAGTTAAATAAATTTTAAAGTTAATGTCGTTAACAAATCGCCGCCACACATAGCAAACAAACAACAACAAAACACAACTCACAAACAGCAACAACAACAACAACATTACGAAACATAACAACAGAAACAGCAATAGGAACAACAAAACAGGAACAACGTGTAGAGTAGGCCTAAATAACACAATGCGAATGTTTGAGAGAAACTATTTGTGAGTAACGAAAACAAGAAAAGCATATAATATATACCATACATGAAGAATGTACTAACTATAAAAACGCATAAGCACACACACACACACACTAACACATCCACACACACACACCCGCCCACACCCACACACACACACACACACACAGACAGACAGACAGCTCGAATTATACACAAAAAGATGCAAAAAGAAAAGAAGAAAATGCCTAGGCTTATAATTTGAATTGCAATTGAATAAAACCTTTAATAACAATTATTATAAAATTATAAATTATGTGTATAAAAAGCAAAAACCTAAACTGCAATTACAACAAAATTGAAATATGTTAACTTAAACCTTAATGCAGTCAGCAATTTTAGAATAGTTTTTCATTTTAGAAATTCTAAAAACAAAAAAAAAAACTTAAATTATATATACATAAACAAAATAAAAAGAAAAACACAACAAAAATTAAAATGAAAACAAAAACAAAAACAAAACAAAAAACTTGCCGAAAATGTGCTTTAAAAGCGCATTTATTCGCCAACTTGAAAAGTTTCTAGTTACATACGCGTATGCATAAAATGATAGTGAAAGAAATCAATGAAATTGCTCTTTTTTTATACATATGCATATACTTTGTAAATTAGCCTTTATAGTTTAGTTTGTCTAGTTTTGTGTATAATTCGTGCGTGAAACTAAACTAAAAAAGAAAAACGAACAGCAACAACAACAAGAAACGAAAACGAAAAAAGAAAAGAAAAGTGCAACAGTTATATTTATTTTTTGTAATCAAACATTTTTTTCTTCTTTTTTTTTGTATTATTATCTTTTAGTTGCGTATAAAAATGCTTGAAAGTTGCCAGCAAATGGGCGAAATAAAATTATATAAGGCCAACAAATGTTTATAAATAATAGCAATCGCGAACTATTTCGCATTTTGTCTTTTAGAACTTGTTGCATTTTGTTTTATGTCGCTTAAGTTCGATCAGATGGAAACCCTCTCTTATTTGTATAACGTTGTATTTATTACCATTATTTAACACACACACAGCACACACATACACACAGCACACACATACACACAGCACACACATACACACACACACGCTCGCTCACACATCTACGCAAGAATTTTGGAGGGGAGGGATGGGGAGGAGGGGAGGGAGGGGTAAACAATTATATAATTCATTACATTTTTGTTGATAAAATCATAAAATTATATTCAACTTTGCCAATTACCCACCATGCGTATAACTAATTTATTAGTCCCCTATTCAATACTCTTAAATTATTTAAATGCAAACACGGCAACCAAACCATATGCAGCGATAAACATTAAAACATTAACAAACAATCAACTGGAGATACAAACAAATTTATTGAACACATAATCGAGCCCTAACATAATTTAAACTAGATAAACAAAACACAAAACCAACAAATAAAAACGAAAAAAAAAATCATAAAAGAAAGCAAACAAAAAAAATCAACTTAAAGATATTTAAATGTAAAACTAAAAAAAAAACAAAAATACAAAAAACAAAAAAAAAACAGCAACTGCAACACAACATACATAAGAACAAGAATAACAACAACAACAAAACAAAACAACCATAAGAAACAAATATAATATAAATACAAAACAGATCTTCTCATTTATTTGAAGAACAATGTCAATAATATATAAGAAAAACAAAATCTTTTAACATACGTATAAAACAAAACAAAACGATAACGATAAATAATAGTAATGTTGTGTAATTCAAATAAAAAACAAGAAATATAAAAAAAAATACAAAAAATGTGCGATTTAAAATTATTATTTATATGAAGATGAACTTATATAGAAACATAGCAAGTAAATTTTATTAATTTAAAATTTATATATATAAAAACAACAAAACATAAAAAAAAAAAACAAGAAATGCGAATTTATTTAACTTTTTCCTTTTATTTAGGGGCAATTTTCGATTTTCCACAGCTCTGTTGTAAACACAACAAATCCAATCTTGGGTATAAAATATGAAACTGAAACTGTTTCTATTTTTGGATGTCTACTTTCAAAAATGCTTATTGTCAACTAGATAAGATCATTTTGCCTTGGTACACAAATAGTTTTGATACTTTTCTAGAACTTCACTTCCAAATCGCTTTGCTCAGATTCACTTGCAGTCTTTATTCAAGATTCCAGATTTCTCTATTAAAATCGTTTTGTATTTAGCAACTAATCATTATATATCATTCCTGGATACCTTTTTCAAACTCGCTTTAATCCAGTTCCTGGATACCTTTTCCAAACTCTTTTTTACCCAAGTGAAATTCATTTTACTTGGTATTAAACTTTATTTGTTAAACAATTTTCAGACCTACCATCGATTTTATACATTAATAAAATGCTTAAAACAATATAATAGTTTACAATACTGTATATCAAAATTGATATAGTTATTTTTGTGAATTATTTATATTTATTGGTGTCATAGCTTGTCGCGGCGGCAGTGAAGATAGTGGCTGTGATTTGTCAGTTGGCCACACAACCAGCTAACCACACTGCCAAAGCGCATAGCCAATTCAATGGAATTTGGTTTTTTCTTTTCGTTTTTTTTGTTTTGTTTTGTTTGGGATTATGTAATTAACTAAAACTTTAAATATGAAAAATGGAAATCCCCTTTAAAACGGGCGCCCTCCTGCGGCTGCCTGGGGGCAACAGCAGCAGCGTTGAGCTTTCCCCCACGGCGAAATAACACTTGGCGCCATCTTGCGTCTCTTTGCGCTGCAACGACATCGTTTCACATCCACTTATGCTACGATTTATGCTACGTTGCGTATGGCGGCGCTCTTGCTGTCTGTGTGTGTGTCTCTGCTTGTGCGTGCGTGTGTGTGTGCGTGTTGCTGAGCACATCGAAAGCTTTGCGAGGGGGCTTCAAACGCAGCGCTGTAAAATATGCAATATAATATAATATTTTTGGTTTAAATGTCAGCCTTGGCCAGTGGGCGTGCCAGCGAGGGATAGTTACTGGTGTGGGGCAGCAACCAATAACGGCTGAAGGTCGCCATTTTGGTTATGATTTAAGCGTATTATTATTATATTTATAATTTCGGAACTTATTTAAAGTTATTGACTGAACGTTTTATAATGGTGCGGGAGCGGGGGCGGGGGCGGGGCAAACGAGTTTGTTTGGTGCATTTTCAAGGTCATTGCAAGCGAGTCGAACTCGCAGCTCGCAGCTCGCATTTCGGCCGTTTTTCTTTTTTCACTTGACCCAAATACACACATCGAACAAAACAATTATGCAAACTTAAAAAGTGAAGAGAGCGTTTTAAATCTTAGATTTAAGAACGATTTTCTCTCGCATAAGTTTTGTTATTGTTTTTGTAGATGGCATTCTTGATTTCAGATTGCTGATCTCAGTTGCAGATTTAAATACTTTACTTAGATTAACAATCTGTTTTATAGAATGCCTTTGTTTCCTAGATGTTGAAGTAAAACCACAGATATTAAATATGCTTTTCATAAAATACGTTTTTATTAACATTTCATTTTATTTATTATTTATTTTCCAATAAAATTGCAAACGCTTAAAATTAGTATGTAAATTGTTAAAAATACTCTTTATAAATAATTGAAAATCACACTATTCACACAAAAATTGCATATTTCTTAGATTATTTTTGGTTTTCATTTTTTGTTTGTTTATTCAGCATTTATTTCTTGCATTCGGGAAGATTGTACGTTCTGGAATGTCGTACCAGATAGTGCATTTACAAGCTTTCAGAATGTTTCAGTGCAAATGCACTCCTGACACGCAGCCCAAAACTGTCTCAAAGATGATATGCTAGATTTCGTCTATATGTATATAGATAGCTATATATATACATAAATATACGTATATATATATATGTAATAATATATATTTGTTCAACTGACACACACAACAACAACGAGGAGGCGGCGGCGTCGTGTCAGTGTGGGCGTGGCAGACTCTCAACGGCGCACATCGGGAACCAGTTTTAACTTTTATTCAGTTGGGCCTCGTTACAAAATTCTCGTTATTATTATTTTTTCTCGTTTTTTCGTTTTTAATTGTTATTCATGTCATGTAAAGCCAAAGAGACAAACCAACAAACTAGAAACAATAGCATACAAAAAGAAAAGAAAAATCCAAAACAAAAAAGCTAAACATTTTCACATGCAGCACACACTCAGAGGGGCAGGCGGGCGGGGTGTGGAAGCAACGTTATCTTTAGATTTTCAATTTAACAAATGTGATAAGCAAAGCCACAGAAGGAGTAGGGGAAGGTGGGGGCGGGGGTGATGGTTGTGGTGCCGTATTTGGGTCAATGTGTGCGTGTGTTTATGGGTTCAGAATCGCTTGTAGAAGAGTCATTTGTGTGTCACAACTGTCGCCTAGCAAATACCCTGTGATTATCAATACCTGCAAGCATGCCAATCATCAATCATAACGGCATTAAGCGGAAGACAGGTATAAAGGAATATAAAATACCCTAGCAAAACCAATAATAGATAAAGTCTGTTCTGATTGTAGGCAAACATCAAAGCAAACCTTGGCCTATTATTATTATTATTATTATTATATAAATGATATGATATAGTGCTCCTATCCTATGCTATAAAAATACAAAACTGTATCGAGTTTCATTAAGATTGTGAAAAGGATCTAATAAAAACAATATCTTCTCCCAAAAAGGTGCAGGCGCAAAACGTTAGCCAAAGTCAAAATTCAACAAATTGAATCAAATGGATTAGAAAGCTGAGACGACGCTGGCGGAACCAAACATTGATAAGATAGGAACGTGTGCGCACCAAAATAAAAAAAGAAAAAAAAACCAAAAAAAAAGCATCGAACGATTAGCAATTTGTTAATGCCAAAGTCCAACAAGGCAAAGTGCCATAGAAGAGAGAGAGAGTTCGACTAGCAAATACCCTGAATCAAGTCAAGCTTGATTAAAGCCGTTGAGTTACTTTAAATCATCAACAATTCAAGCTAATTTTAATGTTTCTTTTTTTTTTCAATTGTGCGAAATTCTGTAGTCGAGTGAGCTTGTTTATAAGATACCTAACAGCCAGCTCGTAATTATAATAGGGTATTCAGTATCTAGCAGGGCTGCAAACCCGAAAGCCAATTCCAATTCTTGTCATTTGAAGATTTCAAATAAAAATAGGTTTAAGTTGGTTAGAAGAGAGAGCAAGATCAGTCAGAGCTGATCTTAATTATAATTGAGAATTGAATCCCGCAAATGAAAATCACCAGCTTAAAGCAAATCTATAATCAATAATGGATAAGACCAGATCTTTACGATTATGCCTTTTATTGCAATCGAAAATCGATTTGTATCGTTATCGTTTCATATCTCCAGCTCATCAAATCTCAGAGATGAACACAGCTAGAAAAAACGACTAAGTCCATATAAAATATATATGATTTATGGGATCGAGTCTGATTTCGTTCTGCGCAGCTTCATTCTATTCTATTATTATTATTTTTAACGAATTCGCAGCTGAAAGCGAGTTAAACAAAAAGTTTTGCTTTACAATTTGCTTGTGAATTCGATTTAAACAATTTTTAGTTGTTTACAACAAATGAATTGGTGCGTGGCACAATTTGCAGTTAGTAGAATGTTTTTAAGTTTTGAACATTTGTTGGCATTGTGCAAAACTCAATTGGCCTTCAAATGATGGCTTGCTTCAGTGGCTTTACGCGCTGCGCCTAAGGTGCGGCGGCTAACAACAGAGAGATAAACAAGTAAAATGACAGCAAATTTGAAAAGTTTAAAAAGCGATTAATAAATAAACCTTCAACTCCCTTTTAGTACCGACTGCAAAACTCTGTTAAGCTGTAGAAATAATACAACAATAACTAAAAAAAAAAAGTCACGCAAAGGAGAAGTAATTAATTGCGTATACGCCGCATGCGCCGCACAATTA